CAATCACGGCAAGCCAATGTAAGAAAACTCTACATCAAATTTGCCCTGTAGCCATTGCAAAACTGCGTCAACAAGGCTACGTAGTGAAATGGCCCCCAGTCAATATTCACTGCGATGACTTCAACGCACCATCGTCAAATCGTCGTGGTCGAGAGCGTAAGTGTTAAAATGCATCATCTTCTCCTCAGTTTACCTTTTCTTTATATGATGTTCCCACTCAAGTCGTCGTGGTTTCCAGCCTTTTTTTAGTACACGAATGACTTTACCAGGAATATGGGACGAGATGTCGTATGGATCGTAATAAATCAACAAGTTGGCGGCGAATATTTATTATAAAATATGTAGGAGTTATTTGATCAATAGTTTCATTGTTTACGGCGTTTGAATTCAACAAGGGCATGTTTGAAAAGGGCATTCAGCAAATCATTGGGGTTCCTAAGATCCACTTCATTTTTCTAGTTACTTGATGCAAGTAACAATATAATTTTCAGTACAATAGTTTAGGTCATACATGAGGTGAAACGTCGTCAAATACGGTAACTTCCATTCGGATATTCAATAGTGCGAAGTTTACAACAAATAGATGAATGTTATAACTGGGTAAAATCAACAGGTACCCAGTGGCTTTTAATCATGGCTGTATCAAACTCCAAATCCCCGTAAAAATATCATCTTTTGTTTGTTTGTCAAAGAATAGCTTCCGACAAAGCATTATCACTGATATGTATATTACACTGGATAACTCATCCCCATGTATAAAATATAGTAACATAATTGAAGCCGGAAGTTGGCTCATCTGATTGTGACCTTCGTGGGGGGTATTGTTCCCACTTTACTATACTCTTGTATTACAAAATCACGGTTTTTGCGTATTTATTCGTTCTAAAAACTTTTGATTCGAGCAAAATTTTTGTGAAAGGGACAGAACAACCGGCAAAGATATTTAATCCTAAAAAGTTTGGTCTTCTTGGCTTTATAAAGTCAGAAAATTGAGATGGTACAAGGTCGACCTGCATTGTTTTGAAACAAACTGCAGATTACATGATGCTGCTGCTTCTTAAAAAATGTAGAAACAATTACAGAATCCTACTACTGCTACCAAAATTTCATCTGCAATGACGTTTATGGAAGATTGCTACAAATTTACTTAAAAAAACAACACTCACATCGCTAATATCATAATAATTTCAAATTACGTCTTTATTATATCAGTGAAGAAACAAAACAAATCGACATAGAAAAATAATCAGAAAGACATTTTGATGAACACTAGTAAGTTGAAAACGTTGTCATTAAACTCGACGAGATGTACATCATCAAAATATGCGAATTAAAGTACCTCTGTTGTCATTAATCGAAGCAAATTTCAACCAGGTCATATGTGAACAACTACAATATCGATGAATATGCTAAAGATATGAATCCCTTTTTTCTTACTTTGTTGTAAATTTGTAAATTAAGTATTAATCTTCTAAAATGCCTCGCACTGTTGGAAATAAGTTATATTGTTTGATTGTCCTACTGACAGAGAGATAAAGTCTCCTTAATTATTATAATTTTTGTTAACCAATAGACTCAGCAAAATTTTGAGTGATGTTTTGTTGTGAATAGAATGAAGATATAGTCTGAGTGAGTGAGCACTATATGTATGAAATAAACATTGCAAGAGAATAAATTTCGTTATTCATCAGGCTTGAGTTGTTGCATCCATTTGACATAATCAAAGGAATATTGCCTGGGCGACGGGCAAAATTTACTAATCACGGCTGAAATTTTCCTCGTCACCTTCTACCTTCAAATTTCAATACAACATGTCATCTAATTCCATCAAAGGAGGAATTATATAACAACAGCGTTGTTTCAGAAGATAGTAGCAGATTCCTCACATAAGCTTCATGACCTTTTGCCTCCTCGTTTAGAACGTTCAACTATGGAACTTAGGACTCAATCTTCATTCAATACTAACTTTAATACCAAACGTTTTAGAAATAGTTTTATAACTTTTAACTCATTGAAGATGTAATTTAGTTAATTTATTTATGTATGTATTATATGTAATCTTAAACGTATTTCAGCAATATGGCTGCCAGTTTTTAAGAAATAAATCATCTATCTATCTATCTATCTATTTTTCAGTCGTTACAAAGCCAAAAAAACAGAGCTTAAGGGTTAAAACTCTCTACTGGTTTTCCTCTACATGTCATAAAAATTTTGCCTTAATCAGAAGTTTGTAAAAGGAATAAAAACGCGAAAACTGTGATTTTGTAATACAAAAGTATAGTAAAGTGGGACCGATACCCCCCATGAAGCCAGTAGCAAATGATCGATCTTCCTGCTTCAGTTTTTGCAAGAGATGCGTTATCCAGTTTAATATACATATCAGTGGAAGCCATCTTTGTTTATGCCGATTAGTACGTAATGTAACTAATGTTATGGCGTATAAATGTTTCGATGTTTCCCCAGGCAAAATTCAAAATTATGAGCGTAAGAAACTGGTCCGAATCAGTCAATATTACGAACGTTAGTTCATGCATCGAAACATTGAACTTTTGTTCGAGCCCAATGATAAAAAATTCGAGCGCTCTTACTAAACATTTGAAAAACCTGAAATTTAAAACGAAGTGGCACGGATATAATATCAACTCTACAATTCCAATAGGAAGTAACACTTTACAAATTCGAAAAACAGCACGCACAAAACATTCCAAAAAAGAGCACTCGGTGTTCACGTGTTACATTTGGCTAATTTCAATATTTCAAGAAGTGCTCTAATATATACAAGGGGTGCGTTCCTGAGTGAGATTTCTCAACGCGGAACGTCCAAGTGCTTTGTTATGTTCAGAAGAGCAAATTCAAACAAGGGTTGGCAATTGGCATATTATTTAGCTAGCTTTCATGATGCAGGTCAAATTCATCAGAGAGGAAGCATGAACAATAAACGTATATCTATAGCAAAAGAATTCAGCCAAAGTTCTCATTTGGCAATAAAAATAATCTGCTATAGTTGACGTCGAGTTATCCCAGATCTAATATTTATGTGAATTCTGATTTTTAAATTGCACAATATTCGCGAGGATAAATGATTCGTTTGTAGATTCATTATCTCCATAATATATTGGACGTTCCATCATTTCGTGAGAGCACTTTGTTGTAGTTTAAACGATATACAAATCTAAGAAACCGTACTTGTAACTTTGTATACATGATATATTTCAAACCAATCAGCCGTTGCTTTGAAGTGACTTGGAGTACACGTGGCAGTAATTTTACGTTTTTATGGTTTGCCTTCGTCATTTACTATATATTTACAGCTTCGTTAATCGCTTGTGAGAATTTAGCGGTCATATTTTAGGTTATGTAAAAACAGTTACAATACCTCCTTCTAGTTGCTATTTTCAGAAACAATTACTAAACGCTTTTAAGTGTTTTGATGGCATTTTCCAAACACTTAGGAACGTTGCTAGAGTTAAGAAAAGCGATGCAAAATACTAGCCTTCGTCTCGCGTTTCGCACACTTTTCCTAACTCTCTCTTAGTTCCCGTGTAATTGGATCAGACCATCTAAACATGGATGGCGTTTAATAGTTGTTGAACTTGCTTCCCCTGATCTACATTAAAAAGTTAACTATAGAATGTGCAAATAGACCATTGTTTGACTTTTCTTTTCCGAACAGAACAAAGTACTTGGACGTTTCGCGTTGAGAAATCTCACTCAGGAACGCACCTCCACCCACCCCCACCCCCTCTGTATAAATCAGAGCACTTCTTGAATTATTGAAATTAACCAAATGTAACACGTGAAAACTGAGTGCTCTTTTTTGGAATGTTTTATGCGTGCTGTTTTTCGAATTTGTTAAGTGTTACTTCCTATTAGATCGTAGATTTGATATTATATCTGTGCCACTTAAATTTCAGGTTTTTCAAATGTTTAGTGAGAGTGTTCGATTTTTTTATCATTGGGTTCGAATAAAAATTCAATGTTTCGATGTATGAACGAACGTTCGTAATATTGACTGTTTCGGACGCCCATACAATTTGCCATTATGTTTCGGCATCCTACTATCTGGTGCCAACCGCTGACAAAATCTTGGGAGCCAAATGTATCAAAATATTTCTTGTAATTGATTTAATCATGAATCTTAAATCTCTACGCTAAGCTAGTTAAATTTGGACGTCATTGTCAAATATGATGTAATGAATTAAATTTTGAAATTGCATCATTTGTACGTTGTAAAATTTTGTCTTCTCTTTATTTGTAGGTATCTATCAATACCAAAACTATATGAAGGCCTTTCACCTCCTCCACCCTCTATAACTGTAACTACCTCTGAAAATTCTGTGCAAATCAACTAGAGCAAATTGCCAGTCAAGTATAAAATTGGTAGCAAAGTCTCTACGACCATTCTTTATAAGAAAAAAGAAGAAAGGAATGCTTCCTATGTACTGTCTCGTTTGTCTGAAAAAAACTTTAAATTTGAAACAAATCTTCCGTTTAATACTCGATATAATTTTTTCATCGGCTCCCTAAATAGCAATGGGAAAATCATGGGTAGTCTTCAAAGATTTGACGTACGGTTGGACAAGATGCAAAAGACTCCATTTCATTTCTGTTCAGATGTTTACCACGACACAAAATTACCGAATTTATTTGGTCATGTTACCGTAAATGAAACTGTTTTATCTTTCTACCAATTTGGACCGTTGCTGGATACAGGATGTTCCTCTGATTTGAAAAATCTTCTCTGTGCTGCACATTTCTCACGTTATTTTGCAAGAAATCGAACACTTTTACAACCATGTCCATCGTTGTGCAAGAAGGTTGTGAAGTCCTGTACCTATGCAATAAATGAATTAAAGTTTAAATGGCCAGTGGAGCTGAATTGCACTAACTTGAGGAAAACAATACCGTGTCTTTTTCGTAAGTATATAGTTAATACGAGTGAGACCTAACGTCAAATGTTTCGATGTAATGTCAGGATTCCTTTGTCCCTCTTACATTAGCAACTTCAAGTTCGACTTAAGGAAACGGTAGGTTTATTTCATTTTAATCCTAACTATAAATATATCATGGCCCTCGAATATCGATATATGGGGTACTCATGCATATTCATGTGTGCGTGTTAAAATCTGTAGAAAACAATGGATAGGCGTAGGAAGATCAATAATACGGGGGGAGGAGCTTCATGTTCATATATGCTTCATTCATACATATTGATATCTAACACCCCGCTTATTTCATTAGACGACTTTACTTAATTGATTGAAGAAGAGCCTGCATGTTGCATGTTTTGGAAGAAGAGTTGCTTTATTAAAAATAACTATCCGGTCGAAAAAATTCGTTCACCTGTTTGTAGACCAAACTGTAAGCAAGGTGAATGAACATGGAAAGCTTTTTAGTTTAGGTGGAAAATTCAGCATTCTGATGTATTTATTTGGCCGTAATTGCCTGTTTCAAAGCAAAGTTATCTGATACGTAAAAGTGAATGTTTAAGTTTTGGATTAATCTGTGGTATTCGTTATCATGTTAAGTAAAGTACCGTACAACTATTTTGCTTGATGCTTCCTTGTTCAAGTAGATTTTGATTTAATCAGCAACACTAATTTTCGACAAACAGTCTGATAATTAGAAAAAGTTAATTTGTGATCCATACTACAAACAAGAAATTTGCAAAGTGTAAAAGGAAATTCACCAAATTCATTTCATTCTTTTTATTTTTCAACACAAGGATTGTTTGAACAATTTAAAAACAAATAAAAAAAATTTTGTTAAAATTGCGACAGAATTACTTTTCCGAAATCCTTTTTCTAAATACTCTGTGGTGGATGTCTATTCATGCAGATAGCCATTTTTATCCTTTCACACACAGGGCAATGTCCAAATGATACAACGGGTGAAGAGATAACTCAAGGAATATTCGAATGGACGAGAGTTGATGCAGAAAGTGTGCAGTTTATCTCATGTCCTTACAGCCCTCAACCTGATGTCCTGAGAAAAATTGCTAGTCGAAGTTGTTCATGTCAGGATAGTACATGTAGGAATCCACGATGGCGAAAACCGGACACAAGACAGTGTGGTTATAAAATAGTAGAGGATCCACCTATTACAGAAACGCTTTCAAAATTATATCAGGTATAAATTTATAGCAATGCAAGTTGAACAGGAATTCTGAGAGTTAAAAGTCGTGGTTTATGCTTAACCACAAAATAAACTAGTGAGCTACACATGTTGTTGATATGCAAATAACACATTCACGTCAATTTGTTTCAGAAATCAGGCATTTTTTTTCGTTAAAGGACAAGACAAATGTCTTAGATGGCTGACTAGACTTTCAATTAAAACAGCTTGTTTTTTAGTCTAATATTGTTATACCCTCAAAAAAGTGAAACTATTGTACCTTAATTACTATTCTCTATTATACTCAAATATAGTTCAACTAACTGCATGGTTTTTTTATTTGTTCAAATAACACAATTTAGGAAAGGATGGAAAAAAAACCCAAAAACGCCCTCCCCCCTATCCATTAAGTCCTTTACGTTTTGTACACGCTGTAAAACTGCTAATTTTTATAAACTATTTCTGTGCGTATGTGCCATCTTTCTGCGCAAGGACATGATGCTAGGTATTGCTGCAGTAAACATGTTTTTAAACTTCATTGTTTTACAAGAGTTTTTTTGTTCAACCTGTTATTTATGATGACAACATATAACTGTTCATAATTCGTTTGTGCTTCGTGTTTTTTCCTTATTAAGTCATTTCATAAAGAAAAAATGTCGGTAGTGAGTGTCACGAAGCAGTTGAAATACATCACCGGGATAAATGTCACGATATTTACCGTGGATGACGTCATTTTAACTACACTACTTCTGGAAAGAATTGTAATGCAGACTCAGGACTTAAACAAGGTTAGGCTGTATAGCTTTAATTTTCGATGAAAACAAAGGAAATGACTAGTCGTGTGATTGCCAACCAAGACTTACAATCTTTTAAGAAAGGGTGTTGGGATTTCTCTCATGCAGGCAGTGTTTTGCATGTGCGCTTAGTGCTTTGCAACCTTTAATGTAAAAGTGTACTCCATATTTAATAAGTTTTGCATTGTACCTTTTTCGCTAAAATATCTTATAAATTTCTTTAAAATATTTAACCAAACTTTTCAAGGTTAAGTGTTTTGCTTTTGCATTCATATTCACGCTTCATCATAAATATGCACTTCTTTTACAGAAATCCCCTCTAAAAATGGCAGGCAAAGCTTGAAAAGCACAAATCTCAGCTTCAATACACAGCTAGAAGTTTTACTTAATGATATATTGAGGTCATTTCATCACATTTATAAGTCATCAATTTAAATCGACACACCTTTAAAGGAAAGAGCATTCTTATATCAGAAATATTCATTATACAAAATCTACAAACTTAATATAAAGAAAAAATTAGTGGTTCTAATTCTATACTATTTTTCATTGATTTATGTCATGCCAAGAAATACGATTTTCTAGTCGATTAAGTTAACCTACTTATTCGTACGTGTTTTTTAGACTGGCGTGAATATTGTTAACATTGTTGATAATCTCCTAAATGCTGGATATGATATCCTGACCCAGGGACAAATGAAAAGCAACACTTCTGCGAGGTACTTTATCTTCGTTTTATTTTTTGCCCCGTTTAATCCATTTTTTAAGCTACGAACTTACATGTTCTTTTCTTGACCTATTTAGAATTGTGAGAGTCCTTGATACGTTTTTAGGCAACGTTTTCCTTCGTAATGGAACGGCATTTCGGCAAAATGAAACAAACCTAGCTGTTTTTACAAAAGACTATAGTCCCCGCGAATTTCAAGGAGCTGGAGCTGCTTCAATTAATAAAATTGTGAAGCAAAATTTTGAAGTGTATGACAATGACATGGAAGTAAAACAAAATACGTCACAAGTGTCGATCACACTGCCACAATCATTGTTTGAAAACTTAGACATTGACTCAAACAGTCGAAAACATCGAATTTCTTTTGCAATATATCGCTCTACTTTGATTTTTGAGAGTTCGAGAAAAGCTTTAGAGAGTATGTCTATGAAAACTGTGCATGTAATGAAGAGTTACGTGATATCAGGCTCAGTGAAAGGGCAAGAACTATATAATGTAACGGAACCCGTTGTCACAACATACAAACCATTAAAAGCAGCTGTTGATGACTCGACAGCTTGCGTGTTTTTTAGTTTCAGTGCAAATAACGGCAAAGGGGACTGGAAATTTGATGGATGCTCCTTTCAAGGATTAGAAAACGGCGTCGTCAAGTGTTATTGTACACATTTGACCAACTTTGCCATTTTAATGGTAATGCATTTATTTTATTAGATGTTCCAAGTATATTCTTGCACTTCGATTGTTTGTAACGCTAGAGGTGCTCCAATAAATTCATTTCTGCATAAAAGTAATAAATTCATAAACATTTTTGCTTTCCGGATGTTTATATCCACGACAGAAATCCGACCCACGACAAGGCGCTAAGTGTTATCAGCTATGTTGGCTGTGCTATTTCACTTGTCGGTCTTACTTTGACTATCATACTTTTCTAATATTCAAGTAAGTTGCTGTTTGACGCATGGGTGCAAAAGACCAATTATTGGAAGGAGCCTCATATTTAAGTAATCATGAAAAAAATTAATTTAAAAGAAAATTATTTTGCATGTCATATACACAAGAGAATCCGCCCTCCTGCATAGTTAACAATTGCTGTTTATAGTGTCAAATTTTACCATTGTCTTTTTCTCAAAATGCAATTCAAGTTTAATGGGTTTTTGCTTTAAAAGTCTGGTTTTCGGATTATATGTCATTAAAATTCTCACTGATCATAATAGCTAGTGAAATCATAAAATACGATGTATATTTTTAAATGCCTTATTAAATTTTATAGAGATCTTCGAACCAAGATTCCTAAACAAATCCTTTTGAACTTCTGTATGGCTTTCACTCTAACGCTAGTTGTGTTTCTTGTGTGTGCAGAAAGAGCACGAACGTCCTCAATGGCATTATGTCGGACTGTGGCCATTGCAATGCATTACTTCGCGTTAGCCATGTTTTTTTGGACGTCGATTCAAGCTTATAATATGTATTTATCTTTTGTCAAAGTGATGCCAAGATACTATTCTAATTTCATGTTTAAAAGTTCTGTTGTTGGATGGGGTTTGTATTTTAGCATATTTATATTGGTAGTTTCTTATGGAAGAAGGGAAGAGGGCATTTATCTGTACCTCGCCCGCTAAGTTTTTCATAAGTACGTATATACAATAAGTAAAATTCACTTGTTTGTACATTAGAATAATATGACTATATGTTGTTCAGATTTGTTCGGAGGAGTTGAAATTTGAATCTTAAGCACTTTTCCAAAGTAAAAATACCCTCCAATTTTTTTTCAAAAGACTCCGCTACTGATGTGTAAGATGAGCAAACAGTTGAATATAAGACTTTTTGTTTTTAAAATAACAATCAGCGTGTAGTAGAAAGTGTGTAAAGAAAGTTTAATGATCAATAAAATGGTATCAAAATATTTCTTATATTTAATGATAATAAACAGAACTTGGTGTCTTACTGGTATTCCAGCGTTGATTGTAACGGTTTGCGCTCCTGTGGCAGTCGAAAAATATGGTGATGAGCAATTGTAAGTAGATGAGGATAATATTTTCTCGATCCATTGTTTTACTGTGGACAGTGCGCTAGTATAGCTTTAAGGTTTCAAAAATCAGTCAGAAATACTGAATTGCACGTTTGTTCAGGGCCGTTAGAAGATCACTAATTGAGGGAAGTGTGTAATATTTCTATATATGCATGTACTTATACCACAGAATAGACATCTAACAGAAGGCCTACTCGTCTAAAATCGTCACGTATTTTTTCACTACGCATGTGTGACTTCCCAACAAGATATTTTCACAAAGTCAGTTTTGAATATTATTGCACGAGTATGCTATTTCACTAATAATTCACGTTTAAAGCAAAAGTTTGCCGAAACTTTTACAAAGAGTTATCATCTTGCAAAGGAGATGAGGTTCCAAGCTTCAGGAATGCAAAACGATATCTTTGTAAAAAACATCTATATTTTCTATTACGATCTAGCGGAAGTATCTTGCTAGAAGGCGTGTTGGCTTAGAATTTGCCTAAAAAAGTAGGGGACACGAGCACTAAAGGTTCCGACACGAGTGGACCTTCTGTTAAGATATCTATTTTGTGCTTATACGTAGAAAACAATAGATTTTTGAAGGAACTTAATACAGGGACGGAGGAAGATAAGATTGATTATTGGAGCGGGGGCTCGTAATACAAACTAATAACGTAGAACATGCATAAAATGCCCATATTGTCTCTCCCCTGAATAACTGAAATTCCTTGGTCTCTGAAATACAGACTCTGAAATATATCTTACATATGCATTGGTGAAGTCAGCCCGCAATTTTTCGTCCTGATATAAAAATTTCAGATCATCAGCATTATATTCATTTCTATAGAAATTTAGTGTTTTTACAATACTAGATCACAAAATAATTTACTTGGTAGGATAAATTTGCGCGATGGCCACGCCCCTGCGTTAATGAATATAATAATATAAAACCCTTGGTATACTGTAGGTTTTGATTGGAATTTTTGCAGTTTCGAACGGAATTGCTAATGAAGAAAATCTCTTATTTCTTTCTGAACGATATAAATTTCCAGGAAATGTATATTGTATAGAAAGAAATGAGATATTTTCTTCGTTGGAATGATGACATTTTGAAAATTTTAAAGCCGGTAAAAATGTAATGTCCATTTGTAAAGCTCTCGTAGAATCATTTTGGAAATGATTATTTATCACGCAATCGTTTATTTTGCTTTACAGCTGTCGTGTACAAGGTTCGCCATTTTATTATGGTTTTCTAACTCCAGTTGTTTTAATTATTGCTCTTAATTCTGTCGCTTTTGTGCTCATTATTAATTCGCTGATGAATGCTGGATCTAAGATTGCCGCTAACAAGAGTGCTACTGGTTTGCAGCACGTACGACGAAGCACCGCCATTTTGATTGTACTTGGACTAACCTGGATATTTGGCGTGTTTGCCTTAAGCGACGCAAACTTGATTTTTCAATATTTGTTTGCCATACTCAATTCATTTCAAGGATTTTTAGTATTCGTATTTTACTGCCTGCTATCTTCGGATACACGTGCCAAGTACGCAAAACTTTGTCAAAATCAGCGTGGATCGGAAAATAGCCGAAAGAGGTACACTCCTCATACGACATCCAAAGGCTGATTCCAAATGATCAACATGAATAAAATAAAGAAGGAAAACATACATAACGTTAATTTAAATAACTCACCAAAAACAAGAGAAACTTAGAATGACATTTAAAGCATAATAAATCCAAACATAAAGTTTCCTGTAACTAACTAAACAATAGGAAATCCTTCTGATAATTTAACTAAAATTGTTCGATAACTATTTCAAACTCTCAAATACAATGATTGAAAGATTGTTAATATTTTCATTTTTGTTTTACCATGGCCATTCATGTTACAATAACCGTGAATAACAAAAATTGAAGAAACGTCAAATTCTTAAAGCATTCATGACACAGTATATAAAAATTTATTTGATTGTATTGTAAAAAACATATAGAATGATTTTATGACGTCTAAAGTACAATTAATTTCTTTTAATTTTTTCTGTTTTGCAACGCGCGGTTGGAAGGAGGTGACAAAGCTTCCAATGAGATGAAAAAATTACATCTTTGTTTAACTATTTTTTGATTTATATCCTGTTTTTGTACAGTTTCTTCAAAAACACCGAAATGTTTTGTTTTGGTCGTTTTTATCACATGCCCCAAAAGACTGGGAAAGATATTGAACACCTTTGGCTTCAGATTTCATGACGAAGGTAGCATTCCAGTTGTATTTAGTTTAATGATCTCCCTCTTTTGGATCGGCAAGTTTTCAAGAAATAAAGCATTTTTGTCGAGTATATCATAAACGAGGGCATTAGCTTAGTGCATGTACGCCAAAATTAAAGATTATGAACATGAAACGTAAACACATTGCTCGAAATGAATGAATCATGGCTGGAATCCTCCATCAAAAAACACCGTCACAACATTCCCCAGGATACAACCTCCAACGGTCAAAACGCACACCAAAAACGCTTTACAATTTCGATGCTATACTCGGAGACTGCAGCTGTTCAATGATAAATGTGGTTCTACTGCATTTGAAAATTTTTTGAACTGCCTTCTCTTTTCCATTAACGATTTAGCTATTATGAAGTACGTTACGGCCATGAATATTATTGGAAAGCCTTGGAGCAATAATGTATAACTTATTAATGAATAACTCAAAGCAAGCAAAAGATGAGCGAGGGCTGTTTCTACAACAATACCTACTACCATTACAAGCGCAAGAATGCACGCACAACCACAGATGATTTTCACTTTTTTTCGACTTAACAAAGGTTTCAGAGGATCGACAGTTGCACGATAACGTATGACTGATATAGTTAACATCATACAGCTCCGGTTGCTTGAAAGAAAAAGCCAAGAAACAGTACCATGTAAGCTAATTCTTTCATGATGAAAATGGATAGCAAAATCCAAACTATGAAAGTGCTTTGTATTGCTAAGGTATCGCATATTGCAAAATGCAACACAATAAAGTAGTAATTATTGTTAAAAAGTCTTTTTGTTTTCAATATTGAAATGATGACCAATGTGTTTCCAATGATACCAAATGCACATAATAAAGATGTGAAAATAGTCGCTACCTCTTCATGGTCAGTTTCTGAAAAGTGGAACAGATCTACAGAATGTATATTAAAAAATGAGTATAGTTGGGAAAATGTCACTAGTTTCATCAGCGCAGGGTTGGGAAAAATCTTCTGTGAAATAGTTAAGCATCAAATGGTTTTTTTGACAACAGAACAAATAGTAGCTAACCATTTTTGGAGTGAGTGAGAATTTTGTTACCCAGAAGCACTTTTGAAATTGCTTGAGCACGAAAATTACAAAGTGAAAAAGCAATTGGAAAACATAATGTTAAAACATGGCACATGTTCCTAAACCTAATAGAGCTTCATGAAATTTGGCTAATGCGTACGGGAACGATAGACATTTTATTGGCGAGTTTCTGGCGTTTTTCTAACTATTATTAATTATTCATATGTAAATTAATTTAAGCTCTCTCGTACGCATAATTCATTAGGATTATAAATTAGGATACAATATTATTTAAAAACGAAACGTCCAAAATAACACGCAATTCGAAAGGTCCACATACACCTAGCCAAATTTCGCACCTCCCAAACAACAAATGAAAAGAGCAAGCTACAGCAACTCCATTCATGTGACTGAAATTATGATACATGTATCTTAAAATGTTTAGCATGCATGTATAATATACACATATTATGGTACTCATATGCATAAAGAAAAAGTACAGTAAAAACTTGAAAGTTTTTCGTGTCGAACCCTTTTCCTGCGCGGTCACTTTAAACCTTGACCAATACATTTGATTACAGTGGCGGTCCAGAGTAGGTCATCATCAATCACAGAAGATAATTTGAAATTGAAAATAATTTTAAAACAAACCAATTGGTTAAAAATTTCAAAAGAATATATAAGGCTAAAATACTCCCAATAAGACTGCCCTAAAGCACTTTAAATAGAAATGTATTTTCAGTCATGTATTCAGCCTACATTGAATCCGCTTCAGTTTGGTTATCATATTATGCCATTATGTTATTTAGTAGATCATTTGTCATCCTGTTTCTTCGCACTAACACAAGGACTTTATAACTATAAATTGTTCATTTCAATATGCGCACTATTTCATTACACTTGTGCAAACTATTGTGTGCTATCTAAAGGCTAGTTAACATTTGGCCTTCCGTGTCTTTTGAGATTTTCAGTCGCCCCAATCCAGTCTTTTCAGTCGTATGGATAAAACATTGTCCTAATTGAAAATGCTTCATGACAGAAAATAAATTACTGTTGCATGTTCCGTTTGCGTGCTTATAGCCAGTTGATTGCAAGCGTACGTATACATTGTGGTGGGTTTTATTTTATTTTAATCTATGTATACAGAACAACGATTTATTATTAGTGAGAAGCTCAAGACAACTTAACCTGGCAAACATTTGGAACCAATTGACTTGTTTCACTTGTGCCATTAAGTTTATCGAAAACGAAATATCTGACTAATCTATGCTTTGACGTAAGTTGGACACCGCAGGCCTCCTGTCTTACAGAAATCTCACACACTGTAAATATCTTGTTTCATAATATTCACCACTTTGATTTTTGTCGAGGCGATTCTTTTGTTCCAAATAGATGGTGATAAATGAAATTTAAGCTGTGCTACATGATTTTTATGTTATTCGCTCATGCGAACTTGATCTATTATTTTTCATGATTAAGGTGGAGCAGATTGTTTCAGCTTCCATCATTATATTTTCCTGTAAAAACTTATAATTAAAGTTATGTATAAAACATTCACGGAAACAACTACGTTGAAAGGCAATATATAATCCTCACATGTATCTCGCCAACGTTTATAATTATTGGTTAAAAATTTGTCATGTGGATCCATCAATCATCTTATCCCGAAAAAACTATATTACCAAACAAGAAACAAGAAGATCACCAGCATGATATTTTGCAGAGTTCCTTGCAAAATACTTGGATTTGCCCATTTACAGAGAGTTGGGAAGAAATTCTCATTTGCATGTACGTACAAACTGCTTAGTAACTGTTTCTAATACATTTTCATGTTGAAATATTTTATTCACACAAACGATTTTATTTTCGAAATCGTCGATCAGCAATTAATTTGCCCAAGGTAGGTTTATGTAGGTAGATAAAGTTACGAAGATGAATCGATGGACGAAATAAAGAATATATATTTATAAATATTCTTTATCGCGTCGGTTATGCCATCGTGAATGTACATGAATGAAATGTTACAAGATATGATACGTACATATACATGGTGATAAGTTAGTTACTACAGATAGTTGAGATTACTACAGTGTTACAAATATTTACAAGTAAAGTCAGACGATACATAATACGCACGAACAATTAACATGAAATTATATTTACAAATTAAAAATGGCGTTGACTTGGCGAACTTGCTTGTGAGAGACTGGGCTGAAGGTTGTAAGCCTCCTTATATTGTAATTGTATTGTATTGTATTGTAACAATTGGCAGTGTCGAGAATTGTAAAGTAGGTGTCGGTCAGGGTTCAAGCATTGACGACTCATTTCTATGCTATGAAACACAACATAGGAATTTTGGAGGATTTTTGCAAAGTTTGCACGAAAAAGAGGAAAAACTTATGACATGGCGATGGAACACCCACAACACCTAAAAGCTTCCAAAGCTTCTTGACTGTCGGTATATAGTGAGTTGCAGTTAGGTAGGAATTTAGAGGAATTAAGTACTATAAGATGTGTGATTTTTTTGCGATGGAAATGTGTTCTTTCATCTGGTAGAAAAATGGCACAATGTTTCGCCAATATATAGCGACTGTTACAAGCCACCGGATTTGAGATTGAAAGGAATGGAGTCTTTCAAACTGAAAAGATTTCAAATTTTTCACGGCACAAATATTAATTTAATTTCGCTTTAATGTGACTCAGGAGAAATACCATTGAAATGGAAAATGAAAATATCGTGTGATGTTAGTATCGTTAGTATCACAAAAATGAATGTTTTCCACTACACTTCTCTCAATTATCTGTCAATAATGTCAATAACTCATCACTACTTATATATATATAATATACGCATTTAATATATACGACTTTTTTTAAAATAGACATGTTTCGACATCTCATGATGCCATCTTCAGTATAAGTGAAATAATAAATAATACAAAGTTTATATAAAACTTAATATGATACATAAATTACAACAATAATAAGGAAATAAGATAAATTAAGAAGACAACAAAGTAGATGAACTTATTTTTAGCAATGAAGTATAAACGTATCGAGGACCAGGTTTTTGCGCCACATAGAATTTCTAGTGCAGCGACTTTAAGTCGAGTTCATATACTGTAGCCTTTCAAGTGTAAGCATTCAGGGAATGAAACTGATGTTCCATTCAAGTAAAAGTTCATCTTTGAAGGACTGGAACTCATGTACGAAGCACTCAAAATACTATGAATTTAGGCTTCAACTTTGAATCGATAAATATGTCTTTATCGTAATCTATTGCGCTTAACATATATGCTCTGGAAATCTAGTTGTATTATGCACATTCATGCTTTCCACAAACACGTAGTCGTGCTGAGTTTGTCTGTAATAGAAGTAGTTTTCATGTAGGTTTGAAGATCCAGAAGTGCTTCAGGACATAGGGTTGCTTTGCACCAAATAGAATTTGGTTTATCAGCAATTGAATGGAAATTTCTTTCCAACAAACCATTTTTACAGCGACTGCAGGTTAATAAAGCATCTGTACGAGCATCAATAAAGGAATGTAAACTCAAAACAAACAGAAAGAGTCACGGCCTTTATCAAATAAACATATTTATTACTACTCTTGAAAATGGTAAAACTTACATATACGTATTTTTAAAATTTAAACACCATGCATTGAAAGGAAGATCTCCAGTAACAGAGTGAATTTGAACGAATGAACGCTACTCTACCCATTTTCGTCAAGTTGTTGGTTTTCTTTTGTAAATTAGTTCTTTTTTTCCTTCTGCATGACACACAAACCTTGCTGCCGTGAACAGAAAGTCGCTCAACCTAGAATATTAAAGTAATGCGATTGACAAACCCATAGTTTTGACGTGAGTCTCTTGAAACCTGCATTTGGGATAGTATGTACACCGACTTTTCGACAACTTTAGCAGAAGTCATCTGCAGAGTAAATTGGGGAGTAAAAGTTTAGGTTCGCCGTACTTGTTGTCTGATATTGTGATACAAAGAAGAAATGTGGGGGTGTCTTCGTGAATTGTTGTTGTGGTTTGTTCAAAGTGATAAGTTCATCATTCGCTTGTTTGAGTTTGTAAATATGCTGTTTCTAAGGTGCCCGGTGATAGTTGTGATTGGTGAATTGATTTTGTTCTAAGTTGGTATACAATTGTGACACAATGTATCGTCAATGTAGCGGAATACAAACGAATACATATCAAACGAATACATATTAGATGAAAGTCGGTGTTATTTAACACACGTGATGTTCACCTGTTTAAATATCGCAGGATTTCGGCATCAACATTTCCGGCACGAACTAAAGGGGCAATCCTTGAAAATGAAAAATGAAACACCATCAATAATAGTTATGAAAAGAAGACGTGTGAATAAAAATGATATTGAAAAATTTAAAAACAGTTGAGAAGCCAGCATGCAAGTTTGTTCGCGCGATGTGAGTTTGAGTTGATTAAGATTATGCATTTCTTTAGAAATGTAGTGTTTCTACATCAACCCTTTCTGTGGCATTGAAGAATATCTGGCTAACAACTTTTGAAAAAATTCACAACCATTAACCGAAAAACGAAAGATTTACATAGCACAACCAAGCTAGCAACAACATTGAAAACAGCCATACCTGCACAAATAGGAGAGAAATAAAAGTGAAAAACTATAACCTAGAAACTAGTCCACACATTTCTAAATAAATACAACAGTGGAGTAGAGCATGACAATTACCATGTATCAAGGGAGCAAAAACACTAAACTATTCGACGAAGTAGATACCACACGTTCTTAGCTACTTTCACAGAGATCTTCTATCCTGAGTAACCTTGCCCGCCCCCCCCCCTCTCCCAATTACGGCCCTGCCTCTATGAGAAAATCGCGGTGTTTGGCAAAGTCAAATTTTAAGTGTTAACCTTTCTTTCTCTACCAAATCTTTTCATCAATATTAATTAAATCAGTTTCTGTAAAAATACTTTATGAGCACATTCTTCAAGAAAATATGACCGTAGTTCTTGACCTAAGGAAGCAGCTACCACTTCACCACAGGTACAGAAGTCTCTACATTGCTCATGACATGTGGAGTTAATAAAAACACATTCCTTAAATAACGTAGCTGCATGAAACTTCTTCCATTTGTTGATAATGAAGTCTTTAGCAATAGCCCCTAAACCAATCCCTGCACAACCGCAAAATTTAGCACTCTACATGCAGGTGACTTTCTTTTAGCCTACACATCCAAAACTGACACTTATAAATAGCTGATCCATGGATGACCATATGACACATCATGCCCTAAAGAATTTACAAATGATTCTACACAAGATCCATTATCAATGTCAAAAGAGGAAATTAGAGTACCCTCATTCAGATCAATATCGGATTGCATAAAGATGCACTTTTCTGATTCAAACAATTGTTCGTTTCTTGGCAAAAAATGCAGTAGATTCATCTTTTAACAGCACATCATATTTTTCACTGGCACCAAAGGATCGGGCTAAAGCTATTATTTATTCAATTGCTGTCTGTAAGATTAATTTGAAGGTGCCTAACTTGTGAATGAGAACCAGAAGTCTTTTCCCTTAAACACAGTTTTCAAACAGCAATCCTTGAAAATCTATATTTTAGGATACACCATCACTTTTTAATTGGGCAGGTAATGACTTTTTGGTTTAGTTTAACTTAAGTACAGCTATCTTTACTGTTTTCCTTCTTCAAAAACAGTTCAAAGGTTGACAACTTTCCAAGAAGGAATTTTCAGGTTTATCCAATGAAAACTGAGAACTTTACCTTTATATGGTTGATTTTTATCTGGTCCATAGTAAAGACTGATCAAACAAATGTAACTAATTTATAAGCATCACATTTATCAATATTGGGCTACAGAAAGAAGCTTATTTATATTTTTCTTCAAGTGCCTTTTTTTGCCATTTTTGAAGGAAGTACTGACATTATTAAGCTTATGGTTAAGTGCAAGCTAAAGTCTAAAAAATGTATCTGTACACGACAGAATATTTCATTTACAATAGAAGATATTAAATAAAGACCATAATTGTGCTTGCGTAGTATCTCGTTGGTTCTCTACGACAGATGTTAGAAATACCGTGGTAAGAAATCATTGCATAGTTCAACAATGTTAAAATGTATTCGATTGTTGAGAATTTAAAGTTGTGTTAAAAGCAAGTCTCTTTCATCCTGGTATAAATACGAAGGTCAGCCATTTAAAACATTTCTGACTGTAACGTCTAGTATCTGTATATGATATGTGCGATTATCGTAGCTCTCCGAAAAATCTACTCCCTGCAATATTTAATAATCAGAACACGTGCTTTTCCTATACTACGGCAGTCATTCTATTCGTACGCATGCCTGCAATGGTATACGTCATTATGCAATCTTCAGTTAAGAAGATCAAATATCTTTGTCCCCATGCGACATGCTTGGCAACAAAAATGGCAAACAAGGTATTGCCATCCTCTCTCCACACGGTCCAATTAATAGTTTACCAACCTTCTTTCTGCTCTTCTGCAAATGGATCTCGCAAGATGGAGACTAGAGCTGCTTCTTCCACCTGACTATAGAGCAGGCCATGAAAAACAAAAAGCCGGTGCTTCATTTTCAGCAACTGGTTATATACGAACAAGATACGGCTATGAAAATTTAACTTACAGGCAAAATAAAGTTCGTCAATGATGGCAAATGGGCGTCGTATTTATCGATCCACGCTTCAAGGCGTTCAACTTCGCCCAAATGAAATTTTGTAAGACCTATAAACAAAAATATGTGAATTGTATAACAAATATCGGGCTTTCGTCAGGAGTGATTTCATCAACAAATTTGAATTCTAACACCAGACTCTTGTCAGTGTTTTAATCACGAGTGACCCATCGTTTAAAGCTGTGTATTACATCATTCCGCAAAGAATGACACAACCTTAAGAGCGGTTTTTTGAATACTTCAGTATTGAAGTGAGTTTACAATACAAGTCAAAGTTTACAAAATTGAAGTTAGAAAATGCTTAGCTGAAGATAGCTATAAAAAAATATTCTGTTCAATTGGTTATGGTCAGATCCTCCAGAAAAGGCCACGTAAATAAGTGAAATTATGATACGATGGTGGAATCTCGCTTGTAATTTTCTGTATTTTATTCAATTTGTTGCCAACCAGCACAAAATCAACACATCCATTAACACCAACAATTATATGGTGTCATATATGTATCTCTCACCCTCCCAGAGTTCGTGTGTACGTATATTATTTGATTTCATCTGGATTCATGTTACTCAGTTGTTTTCAGCAGAGCCGACCGATCATTCTAAATATTTTGCCAACTACAAGTGGATTTGGCTCGACATACGCAGCTTAATTTCTTTCATTATTTAACTCTTTTTGTGGTACATAGAAGAGCTCTAAAAATTATTCCCGCGCATCTATAATATTTCATTTTCAGACACATTTGCTCATTTTTGGCCATTCAAAAGAAAAACAATGAAGTACTGGAATTCTCTTTCCATTTTCATAGAAAAACTTGGCACTAGCGCATAAAATAAACACTAATACTATTTGAGGCCTGGTTAGTTCAAACTTATGCGGCATTACAATGTAAAAATAAATTGTAAATGATTTAAAATACTCAGCCTTACTATTTACCATACTATTTACCTACCGGGACATCAGTACTGAAAATTTTTTTAAGAGCGGACCGACATAACGAGTAATAACATATTTAATTTTTTATTTTTATAACGAAGAAATTCGCGTTGTGAAATGGTCAAACGTGGCTTGTTTATACTGACTTTGTATTGTTTTGTACAAAGTTCACTTCGTCTGAAGAGTGAAATTCATTCTCACTATGATCGACCGTCTGAACACATTGTTCTTTCTCCAAGAACAATTTACATGGCTTTTACACCAATTTTAAAAAATTTAAATTTTACTAAGCAAACAAATAAATTGCCAAAACAATGTCACTTTTGGATCACAGTCAAGATATTGTATACATGAATCTGCCCGATACTGCAGCCAATCACATAGCAGGAAATAAAAAATATCATTTTGCATGTATAAAGAAAAAATATCCTAACCAACTTTATTTGCATTGTTTGATGACCTCGGTGTCGCTATATTAGAACCAACATCTTGCAGAATACACTGAATCTGAAAATGGGAAGAAAAGGCCACACCATACCTAATTCAAGAAGTTAAATTCACTATGAATAACTGCTATTGGTTAAATACCTCATAAAGATCTTCAACAATCTTGTGACCTCCTTCAGAACAAAAGTCCAATGCTAATCTAAAATGGACATAAAAATCAAGGGACAGTTAGTTGCTGAAAAGGTAATTTAAGGGCAGATTCAGAACGCAGGATGCTCGCTCGAATTAAGAAAAACGGTGCGAAACACTCGCATTCATCTCGTCTTTCGTGCGCTTTTCCTAACTCTCGCGCGCTTTTCTCAACTCCGATCCCGCGTGTTTGCACCAGGCCATCCAAACACGGGTGATTGTTTAATAAATCATAATGAACATCAACAAATTACAAAATGTAAATAAATGAAGTACTTTAAAATACAATAAACACACAATAACACACAATTTGGCAATTTTTTCAGTTAAATGGCGGGGTACACAGCCTTTCCGATGCGCCATATTTGGTGCCGATGCTCAATAAAACATCAAGTGCTCTTCTTCTTCTCAACTTCTTTAATTCTACCCCAAAGTAGCTTAATTTGTTTGGCAAAGTAATACCAATTCGCTATACTGGTGCTGATTACGTAATACAACGTTACGTCGCAGCTTAAGCTATCACGCCCCTCTTGTTATCACACATTTTTAAACTCTACTCAGCAATAACTTTCGTTTGGCACGACAGCCTTTGTCTAATAGGGCGTTTGCATGTGACGTCAAAGCGGCTATGTTGGAGGACTACATTATAGCGCCGACTTTGAACAGAGCATGAAATTAATAAAAATTCTTTTCACTCTATTGGAGTTTTCTTTATTATGGCGACCGATGCAAACCATTAAACTATAATACATGGAACACTACCTGTAATACAAAACCCTAATAATTTTTTGAAGCCGTGATTTTACCATAGACACGCTTGTGAAGTCAATCAATTTTTACTCCGCGAGAGAATCTGGAAACACGAAACACGCGTGTCTGGGGTAAAATCCCGTGTGTCTGGTGTAAGATTTGGCTTCAAATATTAGCTTCGTGTAGCGTTCCACGTATTTTAGTTCAATGATGCAAACAACCGGCCGAGTGGTACCGTCATCTGAATCAGACTTGGACGATTTCAACTGGTTTGCAAACAAGTCATTTCTTTCATTTGACAACAGCTATCCAGACTTACATGCTGCTAGCTAATACTTCACGCCAATAATTTAACTTACAAAGAAATAAATTCATATTTACAACCCTATAGCCGAGGAAAGCTCATCCGTTGTGCCAAGAGCTTCGAATATTTCATCATCTTTCTGTCTCCGCTCACCAAGAAAGTTATATGAGTAGCCTAGAAGAAAAACAAAAATTTTTTAACAAAGTCAGTGTCGTAACCGTTATAAGGACATTATACAGTCAACATAATCCTCGTGGTAATTCTGCTCATAGAGGGAGATCTAAGCACGTCGTTAACGCTGCCTGAACTGACCTCCAGCCCTAGTTATCTCAAACTGGAAATTAATCGATGTTCTACGTTTTTCTGTTCTTTTTTACGTACATAAAAAGAAAATAACACGCATACCTTATACCATATGTTTTATGTTGCTGTTAAAAATTATTTTAATATTTGTACTATATAAGAAAAACTAAAAATATATATTTGCATTAAATTTTCACGTAATGGTAAATCAACTGTAACTCAAAAGTGCGAATAAACGAGTTTGCACACGAAAAACGCTTCTATTGTGAAACAAAAGCTAAGGATTCTCGAAATTCAAGACAGGCAATGTAACACAAGTGCACATCCTCACGAGATAGGCAGTGGAATGTCAGCTTTCAAGCAAATAGAACATAAAAAGATAAAGTTGGAGTTCAACCATGCAAGCAAATCAAGTGGAAGAATTATCCCTTACATGCATGCAAATATCAATACATTTTTAGGTATAACAACAAGCAGCTATAGAAATGTGAGGGAATTTATTGAACAGACATGCAGTCCATTTTTGAAAAGGTCGAAAGTTCAAAAAGAGCTCAAGGAGGCTCAAAATTATTACGTAAGTTGAAGACATTGAGAAAATCTATGTGTTGAAATCACACATATACTTTGTTCAATTTTGATACCACTGAGTTCGCAAAGTTAACTGAAAAATAAAACCTGATAAAGGTTGTCGTCAAGCAATATCTGAAGGTAGTAATGCTGAAGTGGTGTCACTTTAGAATACAACAGTCAAACAAAAGGGCCGACATAATTTAGTTCAATCAATTGCTCAAAACGCAAATTTATGTCCACGAAAGTTGGAATGACACGCGATGAAATCAAGAAAAAGAAATGCTATAGAAAACGTACAAAATAAAGTCCTACTCCCAAAACCGTATTTAAAGTTCCGTTCTCAAAATGTGGAGGGAACACAAAACTGTAACAATTGAGCCCTGCTCTTGCATTGATTCGGTATATTGCGGACCAAGCCTAAGATATCGTGTTAACAAAACGAACCTTTATCTCCTTTCTTGGTGTAAATCTTCATACTTGATACACTGCACAAAACGTAAAAAGTTAGAAAAAAATCATTTAACGTACACGAAGAAACAAGGAATGGCTAAATTAAATAGAAATTGAATGAAATATTCGAACTTGTCGTCAACAACCTCCTGATATTGTCCGTAACACATATTTATAGTTCGCTCCCTCCACTCTCTCACATAGATGGCTCAAATTTGCTCATGCGCGAGATTGGTAGAATACTCATACACCAGAACGTCTAGAAGGGCACAAGATCTATCCCCGACGAAATTTTGAAATTTGTGTTTTTGAAATGGCATTTCTAGCGTTCATGGAGCATATTTTACCGTTGAACTATGGTTACCAGGGGCCTAGGGTCACCAACGTGCAATAAAAATCCTGTTTATTCAACGGTGTGACAAAATTTTAAAGTCGTCTTCTAATTTCATTCAAGGTTGTTGACATATCACGTATAATTAGACTTCATAAAAAGAAAGCATCATTTGAATAAAAATTGAACAAAATAAATAATTAAAGTATAAAGGGTAACAAGAACATTTTAGAGGCTTTGAAGAATGAGTTTGGTTGACAATTTCTGTAAACAGATGATGCCTCCTTACAATAAAATGTATTTTCAGGGGTGTGTTGAAAAGTTTAAGGGGTGGGGTGAGCTGGTAATGAAGTGATGAAAGACAAAGTAAGCATACAAGGATTTTAAGGGTGGTCGGGTAGTGTAGTCAACAAATGTCATGTAAAGTGTTGAAACATTACTTGTTGAAAGTGTTGAAACTTAAGTTCAACTATAATACTGATTTGTTTTGCTAAAAATTTTTGGGGTTAAATATTTTCTAGAAAATGAACAATTTATTAAAGGGGTGAAATCTAATATTTTGGGGTGGCACTCCACAGAAAATCCATCAAGTAAAACTCATGACGACTGATGAACAGAATGTTAATTTCTATCCATACTGTACATTGAATTTTATGCAACCTCATCATTTATGACTTAAAGCAGTCCCAAAAATTTGAAAACATTCAGTACATACATTTTCAAAAGATTAGTATGTTTTTTTAATATTTTACTACATGCACACATCAAAGTTTAGCTTGGCTTTCTAGCAAATTAAACAACATTCAAATGCTTAAGATATCAAAATCAAGATCAAGAGCCAACAAAGGGCAGTAATAGAATGTTTTACTTTAGAGTTCAGCACAAATTAAAACAAAAATTGCTTTCCAAAAAAATGTATTATTTTTCTGCATTTACTACAGGTACGGCTCACACATGCAAAAAAAATGCTCTGCCAAATGGGTTTATGCAATCTTCTAAAAATGTGATGCATACACATTACAAACTGGATATCAAGTTAAGATTTAAAAGTGAAATGCTGTAAAAAAAGTGAAATGTAGTTTATAAATATGTCAATAACTTGGCACGTTCATAGCTAGCTTAGATTTGAATGTCTTTGAGACAATGAATATTGATGCCCACCCCCACCCCTCCCACCTCAGGACAAGCAGGATTTCATATAATTCATTAGTGTGTGTATGTCTACAGAAGTCTAGATTACTTTTGGGCTTTACACAAATTTTATATTTTCTAGAGAATTTCTAGGCTCCTAGGTGGAAGGTTGCATTGCAAGTAAAAAATGGAATGCATCGTACGTTTGCACGGTTGTACCAAATTAAATTTAAAATAAATCCTAAGCAAACAGGAAAATGATGACTAGTCTTTGTTACCTTGAAATATGGACGCCCCTCCCGACTACACTATAAGTCTTGTCGCCAATTTGCGATAAAAACCTGCTTCCAAGAACCTTCCGTAAATTTGCGGCAATCCAAGAACAACTATAGTTAATCGCCATCCTAGTAATTGACACATGTAGCATGTAGTCTGATACACAACTGATATGTATAATATATGGACCATGTATAAAATATAGCAGGAAATTGAAGCCGGAAGTTGGCTTATTTGCATATGACCCTCGTGGGGGTGTAGCTCCACTTTACTATACTTTTGTATTATAAAATCACAGTAAGCGTTTTTATTCATTTTACAAACCTTTGATTCAAGCAAAATTTTTATCAAATAGACAGGAAGACCAGTAGAGAATTTTAACCCCTTAAGTTCTGTTTTCTTGCCTTTGTACAATCGAATTTTTGCCGTAAGGACATGATTTGACGATGAAGGATGATTTACAAAAAATTTTTAACTTTTGTGTGTACAAGACATGAAAAATGAGTTTAAAAAATTTTTCCTCTTTGAATGGTCGCTGAATTTTTTGGAAACTTTGGAAGTCGAGTGCATTCAACAAAAAACTATTATATTTTAGAAAGTATGTATCAAAATAATGTATGACAAGAACAAGAAGTTTCAATTCAAAGTATCAGATTAACTGATCAAGCAACTAACTTGTACGCGCTAACTTTTCGTACTTCTAGTTTTTGCTTCAAAATTTCAGGCAATACTGTGACTTTTGGCCAATTTTTCCTGATTCGAAAAGTTTTACTAATATTTTTCAAATTCCGTAGTCTTTTTTAAAAATTATTGGGCTATTGAAAATTGGGGGGTGGGGGGTGGGCTGTTATTCACATATGCTTTTTTTCCTATTAGTTTCTGTTGAAATCAATTGTGTTTACGGATTATGACATATGAATGTATGAATATAGCCCTCCCAATCATCAATGTTCCGTCGCCACTGGAAATATCTTACATTTATTTTGAATTATTTACAAATAGTGTGTGAAAAAGACTGGGTCCAGCAAAAATGAGAAAATATTATTTTAACCAGCCCCCTATTTTTAACGTAACATATTTGTTCCATTCACATAGCCGCTCTACTAACATGTATACAACTTATCTTAATTATGTTGTATATCCTAGTTTAAAATAAGCCGCTCCAGTAATAGAAGTCAATGACAAGAAGCAAATCATCATGGCAGGCGAAGGAGGCGAAGTTTACAAATGTCATCACTTCCGGACTATTCCGGACAGATTTTCCAGATTCAATTTTACGCTCGCCATGTATTTGTTGTGCAGAAGTGCACTAGAATAGTAGAATTAGGTCATGGAAGAGAAAAGAAAGCGTCTCACCGAGAAAAGCAGAACGGAAAATGTAAGAAGCAAAAAGCAAAGGAAAATATATCAAACTAATACTACTGTTGGAACTTCGATGGACAAGAGAAGAGTATTTGATGGTCCTCTTGTAACTTGTTTTAAAAGGCAACAAGAGCATGATAAGGAAAGCGTCTCTTGCCCAGTTTGCTCACAGCTCGTGTACCTGAATCACATTAATGAACATTTGGATACAGGCTGCAATAAGAAAATTCTCACCTGCACATCTGCTCATTTTTCTACAACAAGAGGTATGAAAATTTGAAATCGTATTCTGTGAATTGCATTGTTTATGAATGAAGAAAGTGTCTGGAAAGTATTAATGCTTTTTGAATCACCAACTGAAGAAATAAATTAAGCGCTAAGCAACACCATGTACTTCTGTAAGTCTGTAAGGTACTACTGGTTGCACTCAACAATATTGTTGTTGCTACAATGTTTGCATGTGCAAAAATATTGTAGAAAATACACCAATGCGAAAAGCCATCACCATTTCATAATACATATTAAGAGCATTGACAACTTTTTCATGTTTGTTGTATATTTTGAATATTCACCAACAGTAAAGGTTGATTTCATCATGCGTGACCAACATTACCTTCACAAAATATTTGTAATGAATTATGAATTGATTTCCCTTCATGAATTTAAATCAATAGAATTTTCTGCTATACATTAAGCGGTCATATCTTGAATGAAAAGTCCTAAGGAAATATTCTTATTCCTGACTTATGAATGTAAAAATGATGGTGACAGACATTACACAAATCTGAATTTGTAACTAGTGCATTTCAACAATTTTTCTTTAACCTAATTAAAGAACAACATTATTCCTTGATGGAGCTACTTGAAGCCCATATTTTTATCAATTACAAATTTTCGCCCCAAAGCAGTATTTATAAGTGACAAACTTGTATGACAGATGTTACATGGCAAATAAAATGCACTAATGGGCGCTCAATGATTTTATACTTCATACCTAATCACACTATGAATGCATTGAATGCTATATGTCCCTGACAGGCACATTTTCTATTGTCATATAAAAGCATTTAAGATTGCATTGGGAATGATAAATGTCCTTATATGCATATTTAACATATTAATCTTAATGTACCATGCCTTTCATAGCATTTAGTTTTCTGTGTTGCAAAAAATCACTAAGAACATAACTATTTTAATTATGCAAATATAATGTCCATTCTGACAGGATTTTATAGTCCAAAATACAAATAGTCCTGTTTCATGTTGCGTGCATTTTAGCATGGAATTATCCAAAATGTTTTACAATGCACTTGTTCTTCAAATATCTGTTGCTTGTAAGTACTATCCACACAATGTGACAATATATGGAAAGTTTTTACCAGATCTGGTCAGATGAAATCAAACACTCCCCTTTTCTGAATTTGGCTACTATACAAAGCAGGTGGGAGAGTTTAAGTTCATCTGACCAAATTTGGTAAAAAATTTGCTTGTATGGGCACAGTATAGGTATTATACAGTATGCTCACTTTCGTCGGAACTTTACAACTTTTTGTCCTCGCGCATTGGAGGACAGAGGAGTGAGATTGCTGAGATTTGTATTACAGAAAAGTGATTTTACAATTAAATGGCAATATTTTTGCGTTTTCCCCCACCAACTGGCTTTAGCTGAATAAATTAGCTTAGTTCTATATTTTTCACCAAGCACTCATGAAACTACGCAGTGGTATCCTCAAAGCAGTTCTTCTAAAAAGATAAAGCCGATAGATGCGTGAAAATCGAAAAATACTGCCAATTAGTTGGTAAACTTTACATTTCCGTAATATTCTCACTCCTCTTTCCTTACTGACAACATGGCGACCACCATGTGCAAGCTAACATACGCAAGGACAATTTTTTCCCAGAGTGAGCATACTGTATAATACCTATACTGTGGTATGGGCATGCTGTATTCAGGACTATAGAGATGTGTTGATGGTGTCATATATTGTATAATGCAGAAAGCAATTTTAGATGATGAATTAGTGGTGAACATGCTACTATGTACTTGTGATTGTTGTCATTTTAAAGATTGTTGCTTGAGAACTTCAAATATATCTATAATATTGTGGCCTGAACCAAGAGGAAAAAGTTGGAATGACTTTGTCCTCTGTGTCAGGAGAAAATGTAGCAAAGATTCATGAATCAATTTGCTTGTTTGCAAATATTTATATTCCAAATTTAATTATTTACAGTCAAGCATTTTGTGACACATATATTTGAAATAAGTTTTTGTTTTTAGGTAATTAATTCAACATCTGTGTAATGTGCAATGATGAAAATGTAATATACAAACTATTTCAGGCATTTTATGTTTCAATTTTATCTGTAGATTCTGACATCACTCTAAAAAACTTGCTATACATTTGTAGTTGCTTCTAGCTTTGTAGCTTTTTCATGTACATATTGGAATCCTATTAAACATATTCTTTCCAAAGACATGGTCTTTTTTCATCACTTTTGATATACCAACTCCTTGTATTATCCCATTTTGTTTTCTTCCCCTTTGAATCCAGTCCTTACCGCTAGTCAAACCATTTTGACCTTACTTGGTAATTTTTATTGTCAGTTCTACTCTGGTAACCTTAGACAGCGCAACCTGCTTTAATAATTGTAACATTTGGCAACCTATGGTCAAACTGAATGAAACCACGTTTTTATTTCTCTCGTCTCAAATATACAACCTGTCTGTGTCACTGTTAGAGTGCAATGTTCTGTATATTCTATGGTAATAGGAAAGATGGAATGGTTGTGTTTCTTTAACGATGTATAAAAATTGGAACCTGTTTGTGAAGAAACATTGCTGACTAGCTATTTAAATTTGGAATCCGTGCAAGTTGCCAAAATAGAAAAACTCGAAAAGGTTTGCCCTTCTTAATCTTATCCTTTCTTCAAGCTATACACTTGCTGCCAAAATTGAATTGTGTGTTTCTTTGATACTTTTGCTTTTCACATACTTAATCGCTTGATTTACTCTACCAGTTTGAACCGTGAAAAATCTTTTATCCACTTTCCTAAGGATATTATCATCACATGTTTATCTTTCCTTCATTATTTCTTTTAGTTGTTCAAGAACGATTCTTTATTCATATCTGCTTCATCATCACAGACACTATCCTCTTTTTTATGTATTTCTTCTCCCTCTGTCCCAGGATCCATTTCCAATTGTTTCTGCTTCCCCAATTACAACTTGCCTTTCACACGCGTTATATTAAGGCTAGTCTTCTATTTGCCTTTATTGTTAAAATTCTAATTCTGATAACAAGCCCTTCTATGTGATTGCTCATGCTGGGTCACACAAACAACACTCCGTTGTTTCAAACATTATCCTGTTCTTCCATTCTCAAAACAATCTAAACTTATATCCTTTAGTATATAGGTTTACCATGTTCATCAAATGGTCCACTTCTGTAAGAACATTCCATTGCTGCCCTGTTCTCATCTTTATTGGTTAAACAGCAATTTTAATTTTTGAATTTACGAGATAAATTTGACAGCGAGCAAGTTTATTTCAAAGATTGTTTCAGTTCAACTTCCTAAAAGCCTGCCTATGATGTGTACACCCTTTTTAAACTTAAATGCAGTATTTTGAAATAGATCGGTTCATGTTTGATGTTATCGTCATTCTACTAGATGACATTGATGTTTTTAACTGTGATGTGCACATTTGATCACTCTAAAGAAGATAAACTCTTAAACAAGTCGTAAAATTATGATTTCATTATCATGTTTAGAAAGATTTTCTAAGAATTGTGCGGAAGACCGATCAGTGAAATTACAGATAAACGAGGATATTTGCAAAAAAAGAATGGATATGCAAGACTCGTGCTCTGATGAAGTGTTTAAAAGTTCCAAAGTGTACAAAGAAGATGAGAAGAATGATATTGATGAGGATTCCATTACAGAACCGTATTATTTGAAGAATTTGATGTTTATTGTTGATGCTGTACTGGCGGACGGCCAATATTGTGAATTGTTTAACGCTGACGATCAAAAAATTCTAAAACGCTTTCATAATTTGAGCATAAATTCACGTAAACTGTATGCAAGACTCTTTCAACGCCAGTACAAATGGTTTAGAGCCTGCAATATCCGGTATCCAAAAATATCAGAAGATTTGACAGCGTGTTTTGATGAGCTAATCGTGACAGGTAAATTGCTTTTATTTACTCTATGTACTAGAAAACTCAATGCCAAATGATTAATAATCCCCGGATAAATCTTTGGCTTTTGTAAGATGGGACGATTTCGTTTCGTCTTTTATGGAATTTTGTTGAAAAGAAGCTTTTATGCTCGTTAGGGAATGCTGGGTGGAATAAGTTGAGCAAAATACTGTTGGCAGCCAATTTTGTATAGATTAGATTTTCGTAAGTTTAGAAATGATCTTTTTAGCTCATACCATAAAAAGGTAAATATATCGTGAAGCTTTATCAGCCTAAGGTTTTTTGCTAAACGTAACCCTTAGTAGTGGTAGCGGGTCATAAGAAAAAATAATCTTAGCCAGAGATTTGCCACAGCTGCCACTGACCATGTACACAAAGCGTAATATTCTTGGTCGCAGTATGCATGAAATAGTCATTGTACTAGCTAAAGACTTATTATTGTAAGTTGTGCGCCTTAAATTGTGTACCGTCACATTCTGTGTTGTATGGACAAATTATTAACAGGATGTTAGTCTTATAATTGAAGGACATTGCTTTGCTCGCAGGTAAGGGTCACTTAACTATGTTTAGAAACTATGTTTAGAAAAAATAATCGAAATAGATGTACTCATGCATTGTTCTATTCGATGAAGTATCGTGGCTACAATTCTTGCTCGTTTTCAAAAATCAATTATATTTGATAAAGACATGAGAAATAATGAATGATCGACAAAATGTGAGCAATTTAGTAATAAAGATCATAAACTATCGCAATGTTGACTGCATGGTACGTATTTCTTTACGCACTAGATTATCTGGTGTAAGGCTAACAGAGATGAAAGCGTAGATAGATACGTAAAGTGTTTCAGATTATATTTTTGGTTACCATTTTCTAATGTTAAAGGATAAATATCTTTGATAGATATCACTTTTTGACAAATATCGCTGTCCAAATTTCAAACAATAATTGCTGGCCTAACAGTACAGTTCAAACTAGCGCATGTATTTTGTATGCATTCAAAGGTTTTTTGCTCGCTGATCTGAATGATTTGGCTGAAATTCTTAAACTTCTTTCCGCATCTGAAGTAGTGGATCTTGCCAAATTTATGCATATCTCAAGAAATTCCCAAAATAAAAGTCAATTGGTCACATTGCTTTTGAAACAAAGCCGTCAAAACTCATTTTTTTCTAAAGAGGAGAACGGTGTTAAAAAAGCAATCTGCAAAAGGTATTCTTCAATTGGTTTCTCTAATAGTTTAATTATGATATCAAAACATATTTTAAAGGCTTTTTAGCTATAGGACATGTTTTAATTTGATTAAATTTTCATTGTAAAACAGAAAGAAAATCTTCTGACATTTTCTTACTTTATTGTGTTTACACTATAAATCTTAACTAAGCGCAAGCTATATTGTTTTCTGGTTTTAGACTGTTTGAAACTTTTGCCATTCGCCAAATAAATTGTTAAAATGTTACTGTATAAGAATCCAATTCTGACTATTTAGGGCAAATGCGATGCTGGGAACAGTCGTGAAGCTTGAATCCGACAAGAGATCCGTCTTCACGAGGTTAATTCTTCTCTACGTACAAGAAATAGATGACCGTAATGATAACACACAGTTGTAAGTATTTTAAAGTTTATAAGTTATATCAAAAAACTTTTTCATTCACATTGCTAAACGTATATTTGAATTCCATTTCCTGTGATGTCTGTTTACGTCGCGTAAAAGTCTACACGATTGACCGCCATAAACTTTTTTTGCTTATCCTTCAAAGCATTTTGATAGCATGTGTGAATGTTAGCATTGTTTATAGATTGTTTATTATTTTAGAAGAAAAGTTTTTCTTTTATAAGCCCTATTTATCTTAATTGCTTTTGTAAATCACTTGATTTCGGGTTTGGTTCTATTTTTAGGTCGACAATATTTTTTAGAAGAATTGGACAAGGTGTTTACCCTGATTATGTAATTCGCAGGGTTTGTAGAATCTTCCGAAATAGGGATGATCTGATTTGTTGCGACGTAGCTAATCAGGCGCTTTTCTGTTTGAACGAGGCCATTGAACGAAAGAAATTTGACAAAGCCATGGAAGTTTTCGAAGAAGCATATGAAAAATTCAAAGCAATAATGAGAAAATTAGCGTTGTGTGACCCGGCAACACTTTACGTAAGCTTTTTAGTTAGATCAGAGCATGCGACTGTATTATATTTTAACATATTTTAAACCTTGTTTTGCTCTTATAGTCTTCAGCGCTCCCCGAACATTTACGTCAGTTTACGACGCCATGGCTATACACTAGGATATGCTCATGTAGTGTGGAGATATTACAGCGGTACAAAAAATATGACAAAGCTGTTGAATTACTGCGTGAGCTATTGGGGCAACAGGACTTTTGTCCCAGTAATCGCGGAAGATGGTGGGAGCGACTGGCTTTGAACCTACATCAACATATGAACAAACCTGCTGAGGTTAGCGTTTACTTCTGATTATTTCTGGCGATGAATTCACTTACGATATAGGAAATTACACTTTGGATTTATGTTTATATATCGTCTCATGTTAACAATGTAATTGTCTATGATGACATGGTGACTTGTGTCTTAGTCATCTATAACTTTAGAAGTAAGCATTTAAGTATTAGACTTCCGTCTTTAAACATTTTAGGCATTAGATGTGGTCCGTGAAGGTCTTGCTGACACTAGAGTAAGAACTGGACATAGACTGGCGTTGGAAGAAAGAGCAAAGAACATTTGTGAATCAAGAAAGAATGCGAGCCTAAAGAAACATCTTTCCTACATTCAGTTTACTGAATTGAAACAACCACCTGTTGTATGTTTCTTCCATTTTTATGTTGAAATAATATAATTGGCCCTCCTTGCAACACGATCGAAAATTTTGAATTTTTTTGTATTTATGAACTGTACTTTTGTTTAAAAATTTCATTTATAAAGAAAAAATAATTAAAAACTTCAGTTATAATAAACAAGCAATTCGTGTTTCCTCCAATATTACTGAATCAAAAATTCCTAAAATCGTATAGCTACAGGCAGAAGTCGATGGATTAAGGGTGTGATGTTCATTTGTAACGACAAATATACATTGGTTTGTAGCTATGTTCATTGTGCTGTCAATTGTAAATTATTCAATTTTTCTTTTGCAATGCTCATTATTCCTCGACAACACATTTTAGGCTAGTTTCAATTTATTTTGCAAAATGGCGTTTTTCATAGTAGCAAAGTTTTTCTTTTTCGCCCGTGTGCCTATTAGTCGTGACTTGCAAGGTGCGCCAATTGGATTATCTTGTTGATATGTAGCAACGAATCTTAATACCTGGTTCATGTATACTAGTTTCTGTGGAGGTGATAGCTAATATACAAGCTAGCCAAAAGCTCGAGCTTTGCCCAGTGGCTTTAGTTTTTTTATTGTAAGTTGAATATGCATGTTAAAAACTGCCTCACATAGCTCAAGTGTTCCTTGTTCATTTCAACTTTCCCTGTTCATTTTAACTTTCAAAATTTAATGCAAGTCAACAGTTTTTCAACATGCAAGTCAGTAGTTAAAAAACCAATAAAACTACCTTGGGGTTGAAAATTCTCAACTGCTCTTGTTCAGATGTTTAATTTTTATATCAGATGCGTTATCGTTGTGATCTATTTTCTAACGTGATTTAGCTAGGAGGCTAAGTTGAAACTAGAGTACTTGGAGTTGATAGCAATAACTCTTGTCTGAAAACATTTATAAGAAGTGGAGTTTTGTTTCATTTGAATTATAGGAATGCTTTAAGTACAGCTTATTTCCCGAAAGGTTGTATTTGCATTAAAATATTTTGAAAAGTGTAAGATCCAAACCGTCCTTTGTTGCTTTGAACCAGAAAATTGCCACGACTTTTACTAATAAAATTTCTTTTTAGGTAACGATTTCTGGTGTGCGACTGTCAACTGAACCAATTTTCATTGTCAAAGATGAGAAAGATGAGAAGAGCTTTTGCTCAGTCGAGCAGCTAGCAATAATTCATTACCGTGAACAAGGATACAATGAAGGCATTCACGGAGAAGGAATGACGTTTAATCTACTGTTCACTCTTATCATGTGGGATGTTATTTTCTGTGACACTGTTCCAGATGTTTTTAGAAATCCTTATCAGGTATTGAAAGTGATGTAACATAAGTCTAGACGAAAACGAATTTGTTATTGTTGCTGTTATCTACTGTTTGTAAAGTCTACTGCAATTTCTCATTGACAGTCGGCTCCACTTGACATTTATTCTGGGAACTTTTATGCTAATCGAAAGGCGATGATAGATGCCCGTGTTCAGGAGATTCACGATTCTCCTGTCGAGGTAGGTGACCATACCATAAGGGAAGATGTTTTGCTTTTTTAGATGTTAAAATTGGCTCATGCAGCCATATTGACAGGAACCTGTATGCCGAGTGTATTGGCAAGAATTATGATAATGTACATGGCAAGAATACAACTCTTGGTGGACTTGAACCTGAGGCTTCGATTTCCCCCAAACTGAAATTTCAACCACGGGTATTTACCATTTCCTAACTCTAGTTTTAATACCCTGTTGACTTTTCATTTCGAGTTTGCTTATAAATGGATTTCAATATTTTCATATACTCAAGCTTACTTTGTAGTGGGGCGAATATGTGGAAAAAAACACTAATTTTTTGTGAAGAAAGCACAAAATTTAGCAAAGAGGGAGCTTCTAGAGTACTTTTAGGAATTTGATATACAGCCATTGCTAAAATACACTATTACCCTGGGATTTTGCTTGTGTTTTACACGAAATTAAGGTCATTTAAAAAGATGACATTGAGACCTATAGTGTTATATTAAACCTGACTCAACTGACGTTTAAATGGTTTTTTAGTCATTAGAGCTGTCAACAACTATGTGAAGCTTTGAATAAGTCTGAATGAATTTTTTGGAGATTGGAGGTAAAAATTTAAAAGCAATTTTTCAAATCAGAATAACAAGCAATGTTATCATTATTTTCTTTTGATTCTTTTAAATGGATTGCCAGTTTTGCACTTTGAATAGTTGCATTTAATTTTAAAACTAAACGAGACTTACCCGGAAGTCGAAGTTTGATTGTGATTCTATCATTTCATCAGTCAGGAACGAAGGAGTCAAATGAGATGCGCATGCGCATTGCTGATCAGTGTTTAACTAGAGGAACCAAGGAACGAAGGAGACGGGAGGGATGGGATAGCTGAGCATGTGACTCCTTCGTTCCTGATCGATCGCAGGAAAGAATAACAATCAAACTTCGACTTCCATGTAAGTCTCGTTTAATTTTAAAATTTCATCGTGTCATCAGTCTACGTCACTACGGAGTCACATGAGATTTCAAAGTGCTGTACTACGAGCTAATTAGTTAAGTAAATCCAACATAACCATATAATTTTTAAATCTTTACAATCATGTGATCCAATTTACGGCCCTAACAAAACAGTTTCCAAGTTTAGGTTTACATTATCTGTTAGTTTGTCATAAAATCTCGCAAACGTAGCGGAATTGGACCATTCTGCTGCTTCCAAGATGTCTTTAATATTAAGTCCTTTTTGCTTACAGTTGGATGTTGCAGCTACACGAATATTATGCGCTGAGTATTTTGCAATATCTATTCCAGCTGATTGTAAGACCTGTTTAACCCATCTAGATATAGTGTTCTTTGAAACAGGATAATAGGGTTTTATATAACTCAAGAGTAGTTGCGTATGTTCTTTTCTGTATGGTTTGGTTCGGCGTAGATACTCTTGAAGATGTCGTACAACAAAAAGCTTTTGATCCTTATAAAAAGCTTGTAGCTCCAGTGGTTTCAGGTGTTGTCCAGGTTTAGTCTGTTTTAACTTATCATTAGTAAATATACGACATCTGTCTGGTAACTCTTGTATACAATTAATCTCGATCTTTTGAATGGTGTGTCCTCTCTGACCCGAAGTGAGACAGAGTAGCATAGTGAGCTTCAATGTAAGTTCTTTTTGGGCATCTTGCTAACATCATCAAATGTTTTCAAATAATCCAAAACTACCTTGACGTCCCAAATTTTTGAATATCTAGGCAAATCTGGTTTCAGCTCAAAAACACCTTTCATGTAGCGGCACACCAATGGATTTTCGCCGAATTTAAAACCGTCTATACAGGTCAGTACTGTAGATAGTGCTGATCGGGCAGTGTTTACGGCACTATATCTGTTTCCTGCGGCATACAATGAGATAAGAAATTCAATAGGGTGTTTGATTCCCCATTCAAAAACGTTGATATTGCGCTCCTTGCAATAAACTTCTCATCTATTTAAATAGGATCTGTATTGTTTAGATGTCCTTGTTCTCCACGTGGCCATAATTATGTTTTGTCTGCTTGCTAATAAATCATGTCCATCTATGCTCTTCCAGACTAGAGGCAAATAAGGAAGTTAACTTTCTTCCATATGGGGTGTGTTTGTTGTGGGTGACTTGGTAGTTTGAGTGAGTCTTTGCTTTCTTTGAGGCTCACTGGTTTTACAGCCATCATTTTGAAAGCCTTGGCAAACCATCTTTGCGTCAGCCAGTCGGGAAGTACGCAGATTCCCATGCCTCCCTCTTTCTGAATCTTTGAATCTTTGGATCCGGTCTGAACGATACATACTTGATAAGCCGAGCGTTTACCCGAGACGCAAATAAGTCAATTTCAAGTTTAAAATCAAGTTGTTGCAACGCGTCATGAAATAATGACTTCTTCAACATCCACTCAGATTCGGGATTCGTAGACCGCTACTAAATTTTGTTTACCTGGTATATGTATGATACTGAACCAAATGTTTTGCTAATGCACCACTCCCAAATCGCTTAAGTCATTTGGTTACTTTCTTCCTAATCTTTGGCAAAGGTTTGTAAACCGAGAAAAATGGCTGGCATTTCTAAATAATTTATGTGATACGTAGCTTCTCCTGGTGTCCATTGCACCCCCTGATGCTATCCCTTGACATTCCGCTCCCCACCCAGATAGTGAGGCATCTGTTGTTATTTGGTATGATGGTTCATCGTGTGATAACCTCTGGTAGGTAGACTCTACATTTTGTATCCTCCATTTTAGTTCATTTTTTGAGGCTTGTGACAAAATCAATTTTGCATCAAAGTCTCCTTTTGCCTTAGTAAGAGCATTGCTTTTATCCCCCTCTAAGTTCCTATAATACAGGGGCCCATGCATAACTCCTCGAAAACTGGCAACTATCTTTCCAATGACCCAGGCTACTTCCTTATTGAATTTTGTGTTTTAGAATGCAGAAGTGCTTCACAAACTTCTTTTAATCCCTTGGCTTTGTCTGGAGTGAGTCTAATTGTCATTGACACCGAATTTATGATGAACCCAAGGGCTACAATTTCTTGAGAAGGTATAAAATTAGATTTAGTGGGGTACACCACAAAACCAAGACTGTCAAACAGTAAGACAGTCAATTACATTAGTGATTCATTGCTTGTATGTTTGCCTTTGCAGGTAATAGTCATCAATATGTGCAACTGATATGTGCCCTATTGTGTGAAGAGTTGCTAGAGCTGCTTTTAGAATTTTTGTGAACTTTCTAGGTGCACAGGACAAACCATTCGGCAAACATGCAAACCCTATACAAGTGACCTTTCCATTTTAATCGTAAGAATTTTTGGTCTGAGTGTTTTATAGGTATTGAATAGTGGGCGTCTTTCAGATCCTAAGAGGCTATAAAGCAATTAGACGTTACTAAATTGACTTTAGTATGGATTAAATCTATCTTAAAATGATGGTAAGTTACATAAGTATTGAATTACTTTAAGTTAAGAATAAGTCGGCAAGATCCGCCCTTTTTTGAGCGTAGAAATATACCTGAAACAATTTGTCCTCTTTGGCAAGGTGCTTTTGTTATTATTTCTTTCCTAAGTACTTTGTTCACTTCCTCTTCTAAAATGGGGTAGTCATGAGTATGAAATTTTTGAAGAGGAAGTAGTACTGGGTTGGTGGTTCTATGGTCTTTCCGCATTTGGGAAAGTTGAGTATGTGCATGTGACAACCAAACTACAGCATCAACTGAATTAGCAATAAGATTTCCCTTATCTCCACCAAGGTTCTTGGTCACCATGGCATCGGATATTTGCAGTAATGCGAAAGTCGCCTTAAGAAGAGTTTGTTGTACGTTTTGTAAGTGTACATCATTTTTCATTTCTCCATATTTCTGGGTTGCATTTCTTACCTATCGTGCTGGCACAATTTAATGGCCGTTTATATTTAGCAAAATTATTCTTTAGTTTATCGTAGGTCAACTTTTCGTCCCATCTTTTCCTGGCAATATCAGTCAAAGTTGATGTAGTCTTAGGGCCTGTTGCCTCGTCATCATTGGAAAAAGCCTTTGCTAGGTCTTCGAGCAAAGCTGAAGACGGATTACATTCGGGTGTTTTTCCCGCTTGTTTTGTATTCTCTGAAAAGTGCTCGTAAGAAATCTCAAGTCAGCTTCATCCTTCATCAACGTAGCTGAAGGCGAGTTCGTTTGATTCACTTGACTTTTGCGGCTCGTCAGCTTTATCATGCCGGCAGTATATTCGTTCCAGAATATCAGTCAGTCTACTTATTTTGTCGTTGAGACTAGCTAGTGCATTGTGGATTTGTGGTTTAGAGTTTTCTCCCTGTTGTAGGTTCTCCGTGCTCGTTGAAGCTATGTCTTCCAACGAATCTGTCATGGCTGTTCGGTCTTTCTCGTCCATACACACCTAAAATTCTCTAAATTGAAAATTTCTTGCTACCAAATAATACTTACATATATTTTCTCGCTTTCTTCAGCGAAATTAATAGGATTTGTATCCCGATGGTTCGGGAAATTTTGAGATCGAGTCAAGATATATTCACCTTGTTGATCACTTTCCAGCTAGACGCTCAGCACTGATCAGCAATGCGCATGCGCATCTCATGTGACTCCGTAGTGACGTAACTGATGACAGGATAGAATTACGTGTTAAAATTCAAAGCCAGTCAAACCTGTATCTGATAGAATACCGTTTGCTCCATAACGAGTTTGGACAATTGACTTTCAATTGCTACATATATTTCCCGTCTGTCTACATATGTTTCTTTATTTTAAAGTTATACTATGTCAAAAAAAGTACGTCTACAAAATTTTTCTAGTTTTCTACAAAATTGTCTCCTCTAAACGCACAGGGTGCTGTGCACTAATTTTATGCAAGAGCATTGCTCTCGACATTTTTGCTGGCACCCACATTTGATTAAAGCTGTATAAGAGTTGAATAAATGTCAGAAAGTGTTGCCCTAGTGACTCTTCAATTCCCCAATCACTTGGAGAAGGCAATTTCATTGTAGGAACTATTGATTGACCTTTGCAAAATAGCTTTAGGTAGACTGCACTTTTAGTGTGCTCCTGAATTGCACCTTTAGTTGGAGGAATGGCATTAAAGAATGAGTCTCGCGGTAATTCTTTGCGCGCTTGTACACAGAAGTAAACATTTCTGTTAATGAAATTCCCCTATCGAATACAGAGTTGCATAATTACCTACAATATTGCACAAGAAATAACAGAATTGAAATAAGATGAAGACGATTCAAACTATTGCAAGGAAGAAGACGATTCAAACTATTACGGATCACCAATTCAACAACCTGATCATGAAGAGCAGGCTGTCGTGCAAACTGCTATAAACCAACTCGACCCACGTACTGACGTTCAAGTCTTTGTACATCGATGGACAAACGAGCTCAAGGATTGTTTTTCTGGCTGATAAAATATGACTACATCTTTATTTATTTCAATGTTTGTTATGTCTTTCATTTCTTGGCCGGCCGTCAATTTCCCAGACTTAGCAGTCGAAGTAGACATATTGCTGCGCGCAAAGCATTACCGTGAGACTCATTCTTTAAGATTCCTTGCTCAAGATTACTCATATAACGTAATAATAAGTTTTAAAATGATATTCAGTAGTTTAATTATGATAAGATGATCTCCAAGTGTACCAAGGAATGATAAAGGACTCCTTGCCGCTTTATAATAAAAAAATGCACATAACTAGCAGATGAGTTGCGAAAAAAGATGTATAACACTGCTTTTAAAAGACAAAAGGGAAACTTAGAATTCAAAAGAGAATTATCTCCTACAAAAGGCATTTTTTCTTTCGAAAAATTTGGGGAGGCACGTGCTTCTTTGCCACCCAGCTCCTACGCCACTGTGCAGAAGAGACAGTTTTGTAGACAACTAAGTGACCTTAAGGTATTGGTTGAACATGGTATGACGTTAAAATAAGGAAAAACATGTAGATAGACGGCAAATTTATGTAGTTATTAAGTTTGGTTGTCTAGCATCGTTTTGGTACAAACACTGCTTTATTAGATATAGGTTGGACCCGCTTTAAATTATAAAACGTAATTTAAGCAAGTAATTATTGAAGTGCAAAACTGCTATTTTCATTTACAAGAATCGCGAAAAAATATTAATAACTATGCTTATTTATTCCATATTGAGAGATTGCTAACAAATTTTACCATCTACTCCCCTATAATTCAACCAGACTTGTTCATTTCAAAGCTTTACTTGCGTGTTTTAAAAGATGTGATGACTAAATGAAACATGTAAACGTCAATTGAGTTAGGTTCAATACGCCATTATAGCTTTCAGTTTCATATTATTGTTTTCCCTCATTTTCGTGCAAAATACCCGTAAAAACTACCTACCATTATGATTTGGCGATGGCTCCATATCTAAATCATAAAAGTACACAATACGCTCTGACAAATTTTGTGTTTTCTTTGCAAAGTGATTAAGTGAACGGTTTTGCTCAAATAGGCCTGCTCCTTGGCTACTAGGCCTACTTAGCCTTGTTTCGTTGCTACTCTGGGATAGCAAGAAGCAGGGCTGGACATAACTACTTTAATATTTTCATTACGATAAGTTTTATCGAAAAACTTTTCAATCCTTAAAAAAGGCGTCAATTCATTCGGGCCATAAAAATAATTTCATAAAGTTGTTTGTCCGTTAAATAGTTGGTATTTGCGGCTCTTTTTCTTAATGTAAGAAGTATTTTGAAATACGCAAATACAAGTTCAATCAATTTCCAGACATTTTGATGGTTGGTCGATTTGTCATTCCTCTTTGTTGTAGAAAATAAAGGACGACATACGTCTAACATGGCAAGAACAGTTTGGAAAAACGTGCGCTGGAGTGAATTGGAACTTGTTTGCAAATGTGAACAAAGTTTTGGTAAAACGACCTAACAGTTATACTTTAGAAAATTTTCTTGCAAATCCAAACTGGTCTCAAGCATGATAAAACTATTAGCTAGAAAACTACTAACGAATTTTTATTGAACCGCGTTTAATGTGTTTGAAAGTCTTTGCAGCAAAACATATATAATTTTTAAAGTTTCAGAGAAACATTTGCCGTTATCTGTAGCATTACTATCTGCGAAGTTGTTCATAAAATCAGTTTGTCAGATTTTCTACATGTAATCCTCCTTTCTGTTTTTGCTCTGGTTTGAGCTTATTTACATATTTTTGAAATATTGTAGCCTGTCTGTTAAACTAATAAAGGATTTTATTGTGGCCTGTCTTTATTAGTTTCAACTTTATGTTGTTTCAAAGTTGCGGATCTGTTTCTCGTCTCTTGCGTCTATTTGTTTTAAATAATGGAAACGGCAGAGCAAAAGTTTGATTTAGCATTAAAGCATTTTTCAACCCGATCAACGCGGAATTCTGCTCTTTAATAGATCTTACACCGTTTATCTTTAAACATTGAATTATGAATGCAAAGTCTTGAAAAGAATTTTGTCAAAAGACGTTAATGTTAAAAGTAGTAAAGAAAGTGAAATGTATGTTTCTTTTCTCGATCTAGGAGTTCATCAGTTGTGTAGGAAGTGTTGTATTGGCAGGTATATGCTCTATATTTGCCAAAGATTATCGCCACACACGATCTGGCCTACCTGATTTAGTCGTATGGAACTTCGCCTGTTTGAAATATAAGGTTAGTGCTCCTTTGAAATATCAGGTTAGTGTTTTTTAATTGAGGTATTTAATCAATGAAGTGTTGTTTTTTTGCAGTGTCCTATGTCTGCCATCATTATCGATTCGCTCTCATTTGTAGATTGTCGAGGTAAAAGGACCAAACGACAAACTTTCTACCAAACAGAAAGTGTGGCTAGATGCTCTTGTTCGCCTTGGTGCTTATACGGAAGTTCTTTATGTCAAAGGTAGCGTCATTGTTTGTTTGTACAGAAAGAGACTATGTTCTTTCTTCATCAAATTTTTGACCATGGTCTTTATATGAAAAAATATAATCTAAGCCCTTGAGAAAAACGACGATTTTTTTGAGAGCAAACATGTTTCGACATTATCAGAATGCCATCTTCAGTGCAGAATGGTTAGTGTTAAGTAATATGATACGTGATATGAATAAATTAATTACAATGAATAGGATTATGATTCAGTTACTAAATATAAAATATTTACAAAAAAGGAAAAGAAAAATAAGTATTAAGAACTTATAACAAAAAATATTATTATAAAGTAAATATAGTGTTGTAGTGGTGAACTTGGATATTTAAATCGGGATTAGTTTTATTAATGTGTAGAGCTTCCTTGATTTTGAGTGAGAAAGTGGATTGATCAGTGTCGATGATTTTAAAACAGGAAGGTGAGAATTTGTTTTACATGAAGGAGAGGCTTGAAGATGTTTGTAGATAGTGGAGTTTTGTCTGTGTGAGTATGTTCCTTTATCCTGGTAGATAATGGCGAGAAGTTTCACCAATGTAGCGGAATTACATCCCGCACATGAAAATTGATAAACTACCATAGATTTGGAAAGTTCGGGAAGTGGGTCTTTAAACGAAAATAAAGATTTTATTTTAAAAGGTGTGAAAATAAGTTTAACGTCAATGTCAGTGCAGTAGCGTTTAATGATTTGTGTGAGTTTGCGTTGTGTGTGTCGTGAGTAATCACCTATGTAAGGTAGTTTGAAATAACGTTTATTGTCAGGTTGTTGTATATCGTTAGTGTTAGTTGTGGCGTTAGATGAGTCAGTGCTTATCTTGTTGTCCAAATAGTGCTGTATAGTGTGTTGTTGATGAAAGGAAAAGAATTACGTTGGAGAGTGAATATTAGTTTCTTTAAATCACGTTGAAAGCCGATGTCTGTGTTGTTAAGTTTCCGTGCTCTGTCGGTCAGTGTTCGTATCAGTCAATTTTGTAATTTAATGGTGTGAAACTAAAAGTTAGTCAGTAGTCCTGTATAAGTTGGTTTGTGGTACGTAGAGGTCATACAGTTTTCATGTGATTTAGTTAGTAAGATGTCTTAATAACACAATAAGACATCTTACTAACTAAATCACATGAAAACTGTATTCTACGTACCACAAACCAACTTACTGAACTGACTAACTTTTAGTTTTAAATTACAAAATTGGACTGATACGAACACTGACGACAGACACGGAGACATCGGCTTTCAACGTGATTTAAAGAAACTAATATTCACTCTCAACGTAATTCTTTTCATTTCTCACTATACAGCACTATTTGAACAACAAGCACTGCATCTAACGCCACAACTAACACTAACGATATACAACAACCTGACAATAAACGTTATTTCAAACTACCTTTAGGTGATTACTCGCAACTCACAAATCATTAAACGCTACTGCACTGACATTGACGTTAAACTTATTTTCACACCTTTAAAATAAAATCTTTATTTTCGTTTAAAGACCCACTTCCCGAACTTTCCAAATCTATGGTAGTTTATCAATTTTCATGTGCGGGATGTAATTACATTGGTGAAACTTCTCTTATACCAGGATAAAGGAACTCACACAGACAAAACTCCACTATCTACAAACATCTTCAAGCCTCTCTTCATGTAAAACAAATTCTCACCTTCCTGTTTTAAAATCATCGACACTGATCAATCCTTCTCACTCAAAATCAAGGAAGCTCTACATTAATAAAACTAATCCCGATTTAAATATCCAAGTTCACCACTACAACACTATATTTACTTTATAATAATATTTTTGTTATAAGTTCTTAATACTTTTTCTTTTCCTTTTTTGTAAATATTTTATATTTAGTAACTGAATCATAATCCTATTCATTGTAATTAATTTATTCATATCACGTACCATATTACTTAACACTAACCATTCTGCACTGAAGATGGCATTCTGATAATGTCGAAACATGTTTGCTCTCAAAAAAATCGTCGTTTTTCTCAAGTGTTTTTTAAAATTGCTGCTAATTAGAAATTATGATAATCTAAGCCGCTGACGGTATTTTCAGGCGGTCGATTTTTCTTCAGTTTCATTTCCGTTTCGGGCAGTAATGTGAATGCGATATAAAACATAAAGATAGTAGCGAGAGACTTGCCGAGCGGAAATCGAATTCGTGTAATAAAAATTGATGCCCAACATAAAGTTTTGATTAGAGCCATAGAAATAGACCAAAAAAATTGTAAAATTGAATTTATTTTAACGTTTCGTCTTTACTCAAGACATCTTCAGATAAATAATAAATAGGATGTTGAGACAAGATATTATATTTACAAAAAGGTGTTAAATTACTACTAAAGGAGGCGGTGTCAAATGGATTATATGATAAGGAAGTAAGGAAGTAAAATAAAGAGAAATTAAAAGAGGTTAAGTGTAATTTTGTCACCAGTTCGAGAAAGAACATCACCATGTTTTCACCAAATCATACATCTTCCTAATCATACATTTTTTTCTGTTTTTGTATGGATCTGATTCTTCATTTGCAATTTTAAGCCTTGATTGTTGTTTCACAGACAATTTTCAGATCAACTCTTACGATATCTATTTACTCACAGGGGCCGCGGAAGTATCTCAAAAGGGGCACTGACCGAAAAGGGCATGTGAGTTTGCAGCTTACTGTTTTAGTATATTACAGATATGCATTGTTTCATGAATCATGATTAAGTTTCAAAGTCTGCAAAATATTGGTAGACATTCTTAGAATGCTATGCGTATTCTCTACTGCTCGGCGTGCGTGCTAACAAATTGAACTAAGATGACTACATGAACAATTTTATTAAGTATGCAATGCGTTGCCGTAGAATTTATAGTCTCATGTGGATTATAAATTGCGACTTCTCATTGGTTAATTAAGTTACTGGGCGGACGTCTGCGAAGACAACACCAATCGACAAACGCGATTTTTGATCCATCTGGGTAATCAAGATCAAAAACTAAGCTATAACTGATTTCGTATGATGCCGACAGACTTTGTTCTACTCTCGGGGCTACATGTATCTAAGAAAAACTTCTCCAGTCCAATTTTACCTAAAACAAGGGCATTTCTACACCATGAAAAAGGGCACTTTCATTCCAGAAAAAGGGCACATTTTTCCCTGTTGCAAAAAGTGGGGGGCACTTGCCCCCAATGCCCCCCCGGTTCCGCGGCCTCTGTTTACTCATCTCGACGTTTTTCAATGTATTCATCATTGTTACTCAATTCACTTTCTTGAATGAGGAAAGAGTTTTTCTCATAGTATCCAGGCTCTTTCTGTGCGCGTTGTTTTTTTCAATATCAACAGTTTAATTCAAAATCGAATTTACAACTTATTAACTAACGTTTTGAGCCATATGAGAATCACTAAAATTCGATTTTGGGTTCATGATTACTTATCAAAAGTGGATGTTAATACTAAGTGAGGTGCTGGCTGGTATGATAATGTTAATGAGTTAATGAGCAACTGCAGAACGAAATTAGAATTCTAAATTCAAGAATTGAAAAAAGACAAAAAGTCAATGAATTAAGTGACCATATGGTTTTCTACAAGGAAATAACTTTTCACCAGTTGCTTTGCCTCAAAATTATCCAGGAAAAATAGTAATGAACGTAAAAAGGCCAATGAAATCATTGTTAAAACGATCTAAGTAATTATGTTTTATTTTACGTGTCAATTGTAGCACTCACACGTAACGTGATCCGAGAAAGATTTCATTGGTTCAAAGACTTCGTGTCAGTCACGCGTGATTAATCTCGTGACAATACAAACTGAATTTTAATCTTGCGCTTACCCGAGTGGCTAAAAAGAATCGAGTAAATTGATCAACATTGTTGCCAGTGATGTGCCAGTTGGCAAAAAATTTACGATAAAAAGATTAAAACGCTACGGATCGTTTTTGAGAAAGCCATTTGCGTTTGATTTTATAATATTCATCTAAAAAAATAAGTGACGTTTGGTCTTGACGCAAGACATTTTAAGACAGACTAATTGCCGGAATTGTGTTATTAGGAAGTTTTTAAATATATCCATTCACTAGTAATGCACAGGGCGAACTGTATACATTTTTGCTGATTTATTTCACTTTTGCCCGTGTTTTTGAATAACGAAAATTGCGCAATATCTGAAAATCTGACTGATGCACTAGCATCAGTAGCATCACCCTGGATCTGCCCCTAACCTCAATCCTTCTTATTTTTAAAGAAATCTATTACTTGACATCCAAAGCAGCATCAGCCCTCTCAAAATTTTTTGTTGAATTGCTCTTGTGTTAAATTGATACTCTGATTTTTTTATGTTGAGTCGTATATCAGGCTTCAACAACTTAATTTCTCAGATAACGTTTGCTTAGAGAAAAACAAAACAACCAAGAACTTAAAGTTTCAATGCTTTATTGAGAGAAGAGGAAAGCTGAAACTAACGGTGTACATTAATTGAATTTTATTCAAAATTTCCGAGTCTTAATCTTTACCACAGTAACGCAGGTGGCAATTTGGAGGGCGGCTTAGTTTGTAAACTAAATACGGGCCACAGTTGATCACATCAATATGATTTGACCAATTGCAGCATTTACTGCCCCAATGATAGCATACTTTTCTTGTGACTTTTTCTTCTGCCAACGTGGGATGGGTTCCATTTAACCAACCAGAGGCATCCGTACCACAGCGATTCTTTGGAACGCAGGATTTGGGCATTTTGGTTCCAGCTCCACCACCAAATCTGTACCATCCTTTTGTGAGACTGTTGTCACATTTTAGCGTATTACCCCTCGGATTTTTAGAATTTCTGTCACTCTCATTCAACCACTTGTAATTATGGCACTCATATCGTGAATTGATCACTACTAAATATTTGAAAATACATATGTGTATGTATAGGATGTTTTGTAGTTGAGATTTTCTGTATTTACAGTGCTTTATTTTATATACCCTGTACATATATATATATATATATATATAAAATGAACTAAAATAAAATGGACAATTGTTTGCTGTCGCTACTCAGAGTTTCACGCCGTAGGGCGATCTTCAGGCAACTGACAGATAATTTTTTATTTGCTGACTATATACATCGACTAAAAGGTGTTAAGTTACATGACGGCATGCACTAAACATATCGGAACGTTTATGCAGTAACACCTATGTAAGTTTTTGTTTCGTTGTTGTCCGAAACAAAAACTTACATAGGTGTTACTATGCGCTTTTAAGACACGATATCGAAACCACATTAAATCAATTACGAACATTAAATACCGCAACGAGACAGAACTTTCTAAATACACGTGGACACTGAAAGAAAACAAACGTAACTACAACATTAAATGGGACTTCATCAAACAACTTCCACCTCCGAACAAAAACCAAAGAACCTGCCGTCTTTGCCTTGAAGAAAGGCTACTTATCCTGAAAGGACGTAAAAAGAACATTTTAAATAAACGTTCCGATATGTTTAGTGCATGCCGTCATGTAACTTAACACCTTTTAGTCGATGTATATAGTCAGCAAATAAAATATTATCTGTCAGTTGCCTGAAGATCGCCCTACGGCGTGAAACTCTGAGTAGCGACAGCAAACAATTGTCCATTTTATTTTAGTTCATTTTATCTTACGCTCTTCTAATATATAGAATATTGAGCGCTCTTTTATCCAGGAATATTATCCATAATAATATATATATATATATATATATATATACAGAGTCTATAAAAAAACTGAACAGATAGGAAAACGTCGCTAAGGTGCTTCTTCAAAAGACGCGCAAGATTCTTCAAAAACCTAACTTAGAATAGATGCCCAGCGTCATTTTCGAGCCCAAGATTATTTCAAAAGTTCTTCTTTGTAGCACAATTATTACTCTTCAACAAAAGCTTCGTAAAGTATGCTTTTAAGTTTTTCAAAAACATTTTTGAATTAAACTAGACTAAAGTTAAATTGAAGCAAAAACAAATTGTAGGTATAAATTTAGCAGAATTTTTTTCACCTGGAATTAAAAAAATATGAAAATATAGAAACCAGCAGATTGTTTTTAAAGAAGCCCTATGCGTTGAATTTATATTGTTTATCCAAAAAAACCATTGACGTTTCTTCTTGACTCCAGATCTCTTCGTATATATAGTTTTATTAATCTCATTTCATGAACAAAAACAATGTAGCTATGTTCATGTCTTTCCATGAACAGAATGTCCTTTCATGAACATTTCCTTTTAATTACACAGTTGTCTCTCTATAGTTTTACAACTATCTTGAACGGACGACATGTCGAATGTCGATGACTGTTTTCTTCTCTTAACATTGCTTGATTACGTCCCTTCTTAGATTAAATGTTGCTATTCCAATATAACTTTCACAGTGGAGAGGGAAAGTTGTAGCTAAAAGACTTACTTAAAACATTTCGACCTTAATCTGTCCGTCATAAATTCACATTCACCGGTCTTTTCACCAACTTCCACAGCTTATCCCACTTCTATCTAAACACTACTGTCTGCTCTTACTACACCACATACACCGCATGTTTAAACTTTGTTTTAGTTATGAGAGTTGTCATAACTGAGTTGAAATTACCAGAAAAGTGTTCAAACGTAATGCTCCCCCTCCCCGAACATGTTTGATTTCATAGTCCTCCAATTTCTTGTTATAAGATTCGAACAGAAATATTAATTGTATTTTTGTCTTTCATTCACAGGCTGTCACACTTTACAACTCTACACATTTATCGATTGTCTCTGCAATGCTGCTTTTCCTCATCTTATAGTCAGATTTGTCTTTCACTCTTACACAAAATTCTTCATTTTTCCCGAAGAGTTTTTGCCACCCTGCCTCTCTCTCTCTCGACTACTTTAAAATAATCTTATCTCATCTTGCTCTGATACATTCTAACTCATGATCGACGAAAGCCTCCTTGTGTCTAAACTACACTAACATAGGAAGCTCGATATTGTTGGGGCCAATATTCATATATAAGTATGCTCTGTTCTATTAATTTCCTTTAAAATCTACTTTTTCTGCGTATACTATAACATGCATATAGAAACATTCTTCACTCCGCTGTTATCGATCTTCCTATATTTCCTGAATTAAAGCCATCAGTTAACGCTCAAAGAAGATCGATCCCTTTTTTTCAAGTTAAATTGCGTGGCCGTCTTTTCGTGTTTTTTTTTTTTGTATCTCTTGTTTCTCTCCCTTTCTTGCTCACTCCCCTTTGCATTTCTTTACAACAATTCTCCATACATCAGCTTTACATTTCAAATGCACATCTACAGTAATATGATACCTTAACAATGTAAATAGTCAGACTCGTTTTGTTTTTCCTTACAACAACATCCCTGTAATTAGTCTGACGATGTCTTGAGTCAATGTGGTTTTGGCTTTCGATAAATCGTATATCGATGTAAATCATTGATTATCCTATCATCGTATGACATTTCGTATTCTCTCTTATTTCGTCTCTACAACGCTGCTTTCCCTCATTTCAATGTCAGATTCGTCTTTCGTACCCCCACACGAATCTCTTCATTTTTCCCCTTTAAGAATAAAATTCCCAAGTCTCTGAGATCTGGTGTTGTTTATTTATACACGTGTCGATGCTGTTCCGCGTCGTATGTGGGTCAAACCACACGCCACTTACACACCAGAATCTCGGAACACTTGGGGATCTCTCCTTTGACTGGAAAACGCTATACTAACCCATTAATGTCAAGTATTCTTTCTCATAGTAACACCTCCAACCACCCTGCTTCGCCAGACCACTTTAAAATCATCTCATCCTGCTCCGACACATTCGACCTCATGATCCACGAAAGCCTCCTCATCTCCAAACTAAAACCTTCACTTAACACCCAAGGCAGCTCCATCCCTCTTAAGCTTTTCTAGTCTTAACACCTCACCCTAACTATACATCACATCACACTTCCACTTCCACAGTAATCTGATACCCCAAACTATGTAAATAACTCTCTCTCTCTCTCTCTCTCTCTCTCTCTCTCTCTCTCTCTCTCTCTATATATATATATATATATATATATATATATATATATATATATATATAAAACGTTTCTCCGGATTTTTAAATGATTTTTATTGAGCTTTCGACTCGTTGCTTCGAGCCTTCATCAGAATGAAAATATTATTTACACGTGCTTTTAGCTTGGAGACGTTTAGAGCGTCTAATTGGATGAGTGGGTGGATTAATGTGATTGGATGGAGTGAAATGCGTTGCCATGGGTTTTTGTGTGTTGTTAATATGGTTGGTGTTAATAATATTGGGGTGTAGTGTTTTAGTTTTGGTGTTGTTTGTAGTTTTTGTCCTTTTCTTTAGTTGTGAGTATATGATGGGTATGTCGATATGTCTGTTTATTGTGTCGTTGTCTTCACTGTACCAAGCTTCCTTAAATTCGCGTGCGTGTTTAGTCTGTGCGCGTCCGAGTACTTTAGTTTCTGTCCAGTCGAATGTGTGGTTGTTTCCGTGGGTATGTTCTGCCGGTAGTGAGTTCGGATCTCGTCGTTTTATGGCGTTTTTGTGTTCTGTGAGTCTTGTTTCAATTTTCTTAGATGTTTGTCCTATGTATTGTTTTGAACAGTCTTTACATGGTATCATGTAGATCGCGCCAGTTGTATCATGAATTGTTGTTTTGTCTTTATGTTTGGTGAAACATGATTTGAGTTTTTGTGTAGGTTTGTGGGCGACGTTAATATTATGTGGTCGAAGAAGTCTGGCAGTCATTTCTGATGTTCCGTTTATGTATGGTAATGTGATGATTTTACTGTTTCGTCCGGTTTTTGTTGTTTTGTCGGTTTGTGTTTTGTTTTGTATTTTGTATATAGTTTTGTTTATGAAGTTTCTAGGGTAATTGTTTTAATAAATGTGGAGTATAAGTAGTTGCGTTCTGTTTTTTTGGCTTCTTCCGTATTACAATGAGTGTTTATCCTGTTGAAAAGTGTTCGAATGCAGCTTATTTTGTGTTGTGTTGGATGATTGCTGTTGAAATCGAGTATTTGGTCTGTGTGGGTGGTTTTGCGGTATACTTGTGTGTTTAGTGTACCGTCATCTGTTCTGGTTAGTAGGATGTCGAGGAAGGTAAGGTGTTTGTCGTGTTCTTCGTCTTTAGTAAAGGTAATGTTCTTTGTGGTATTGTTTATGGTGTGTAGGATTTGTTCAGTTTCGCGCACAGACTAAACACGCACGCGAATTTAAAGAAGCTTGGTACAGTGAAGACAACGACACAATAAACAGACATATCGACATACCCATCATATACTCACAACTAAAGAAAAAGGACAAAAAAACTACAAACAACACCAAAACTAAAACACTACACTCTAATTATATTAACACCAACCATATTAACAACACACCAAAACCCATGGCAACGCATTTCACCCCATCCAATCACATTAATCCACCCACTAATCCAATTAGACGCTCTAAACGTCTCCAAGCTAAAACACGTGTAAATAAATATCCTCATTCTGATGAAGGCTCGAAGCAACGAGTCGAAAGCTCAATAAAATCATTTAAAATCCGGAGAAACGTTTATCTTTTATATATATATATATATATATAAGTTTGAAAATTTGTAATCAAGGCATTGAATACATAAAAGGACGAAAAAAACTACAAACAACACCAAAACTAAAACACTACACTCTAATATTATTAACACCAATCATATTAACAATACACCAAAACTCATGGAAACGCATTTCACCCCATCCAATCACCCCATCCACCCACTTATCCAATTAGACGCTCTAAACGTCTCCAAGCTAAAAGCACGTGTAAATAAATATCCTCATTCTGATGAAGGCTCGAAGCAACGAGTCGAAAGCTCAATAAAAGTCATTTAAAATCCGGAGAAACTTTTTATCTTTTATATATATATATATATAATTCTTGTTAACTTCATTATTAGTCTGAAGATGTCTTGAGTCAAGACGAAACGTCACTATTTTAATATATTTCACAAAACCAAATTGTTTATGACTATGTTCAAAATTATTTGTTGGGCTCTAATATTTATATTGAGACTCTCTTATTTCATAATGCAAAAATTGAATGTCTAATAAACAAAAAGTTAAAGTTGAATATTTTTAGTTAAGTTTGACTTTGATCTAGTTGAAGTTTGAATGTGAATATAATCTTTCTTTATTCATGTAGAAATATTATAATCACTGCAAAGGTTTGTCAAACTTGTTTTTTGATTGATCAATTTAAGTCGTCTAGTTTTAAATTAAGGTCTTTTTAGGTCATAACAATAAAATGATATTTCGTACCAGATTTGTTGCTGCACAATTCATTGTAAGCAGTCTCAAATGTCTTCACATCTTTTTCGATATCGCCACAGCAGCCTTTAGGGAGATTGTTTCCAGGAGCACAAATGACTGCAAAGGCATTTTTCTTTTTCTGAACCATATCCTTGATCTCGTCACAGCACGCGCCATATGCAGTTCCAGTACATATCAGTAACACAATTACAATCCCTGCGACAAACAACTTCATCATCACGGTAGCTATATGTAAAATGAACTTTAATGTTATCTTGGATTAATTTTGAAATTAATGATTGTTTTGAGTGAATCTGAGCCCTTTTTATAATGTGAAAATTTGTAACTAAATAATGTTTAATGTTAATTATTTGTTTATTAATCATATGATGACGAGACTGGCAGTTGGCAACGGCGTTGGCGGTGCTCAAAAATTAAAGAGTTGTACATTATCTTTAAATTTTTTTCTACAAGAAAGTAATTCCTTTTTAATGCATGGGGAATAGTTCTAACAAGAAAGACTAGATGGTGCTGCGTTTAGCCGCAGTAGGAATATTTTCGATGTAGTAGCGACTCCTCGTCTTTTCGTTCCGCTTTGCAAATTTTTTTGCTCAGTTCATTGAAAAACAATGAGCGAATTTCATTTTTAAAGACGACAAATAAAAAATTCGCACGATTAGAGTTGTTGGAGAATCAGTTTGAGTTTGATTTGCAACAGTCGAAGTCGTGGAACGGATAGCTTAATATTTCATTTTAAAGGTTTTTTCTAACAGCATGTACGCTGTGTGCTACTTTTCTAAATTCATGTAACAAATGTTATAATTACAAACTTACAAATGTTCATACTGTAGTAATTACTGATTTACTAATGTTAAAATTTGAAATAAACAAATCTTCGTAAGCTCGGGGAAAAGGCCAGATCAAGCAAATAGTTAAGAGTAGAAGTTGTCGTAATTCTTCTGACAAGATGAGTTGCGTTTACTCACAATCAATTAAGTCGCAATTTTTCATTATTGTTTTTTTATGAAAGGAAATTATGAATTACATTGAAAACACTTTTGTTACTAAGAATGTCATGGAAACTTTGTGACTTGCGTATTGAATATATAAATCAAAAGTAACTTAAATGTTTTTAAAGTGCTAAAATTATTATAGCTACAGTGTTGTTGTTGTACTTTGCAGTAGATCAAAAGAAAGAACTTAGATATACTTTTAAATTTTTTTATTTCATAAGTTTCATACGTTGGGAAATTTTTCCTGCTGGGTGAGACGATAAAAACCGATTACTGCGTCTCTGATTACATAAGTGAACTTGATGTTTCAACGAGAGAAAAGAAATAAGTAGAGAAATTACAGTTAGAAAGAAAAAACGGAGATGAGAATGAATCGAAAGTAGTGTTGGACAAGAGAAGAATTTTTATGTTAAGAAAGAGATTCCGTGCTATGATACTCTGGTACGCAAATGCCGTGTGGTTTAAACCATGACGTGGAACAACATTGACATTTTTATGAGCAGACGACTCGTGAGCTCGAAAACTTGTGTCTTGGAAAGTAAGAAGAGATACGTTCAGAAGGGCTTGGCAAATTAATGCGTACTCAAAGTACGGACAATTTTTAACAAACTCTCCCCTTTGTACACAAATGTTCTGTATTAATTCAGTTATCCCGTACCATTTATAAAAAAATGTACTTTACTAATTCAAATTTCTCTATCTAGCAATGTTAAACGTCGGATGAAAGTAAGCTCTTACAATTGAAATCAATGTTCGACTGATGCTGAGCTTTCTATAATGTCTTTATTAGCCAATATCTTTGTAAAAGTTAAGAGAAAAGGCCAGACATAGCAAACACTGAAGACTGCAATTTGTCTTAATCCTTCTGATAAGATGAGTGGCAATTAATTTAATTGTCAATCTCTCACTATATTATTTATGAAACCAATTTTAACTGATTTACGTTATTGTTCAATCTGACATTTCAGAATGCTCTCATTTTGAAGAGCATTTAAATATTGTCGTAAATTCCATAAAATTGAAACTATCTGCAGTTAAAGCAGCTATCTTCATCGCAAAATTTGCACCCTGACAAGTTTGGGGCCTAAACATCAGCTTTAGTACCTAATGACGGCAGTTCTTGTAAACAATGAGCACGCAATACATGTTAGACTTACAAAAAAACATGCCTGTATCTGCAAAATTTCATCGTGATTTTCAACGGAAAATACTCATCAAGGTCAGGAGAAATAACGACTAGTTTAAATAGTTTATTGGTGGAGGAACGTACTTGCTCTTCTTACATTGGTACCTTTCTTTGACCGTGAAGATGAAAGCAGCAACGAAAATGGGATATTACCATACGATTTGGAGCTGCGCTCTCGCCACCCATCTTCGATATATGTTCTAATACTTTCTACCTATGAATGCCTTCTTATGCATGTCTATTTTTTCCAAATAAAACAATGATATTAGAACCGAGTAAAAATAAATCGGAATAGTATTCCAATATTCTTAACTTTTTTATTATGGTTACAATCGTTTCTTTCCAATTTATGGTGACATTATAGGTACAAACGAGAACGAGAACATATATTGATGGCGCTCAATCCAGAACAATTAGAACACAATTTTTCCCATTTTTAGAAACCTCTTCATAATATGATCTGGGTATTCTCCACTGAATTTTTTCCTGCGATAAATGAATGATGTGCTTGTTAGCTGCATGAAATAGTTAGGTATTATTTCTATCTTTACGTTTTTCTTTTTCTTTTTAGCAGTAGGGGGAAGGCAAGCGTAGTATTTGAAAGTATGCTGCTCGAGCGGGACGCAGAATTTCAAGTTCCTCCATGTTTAAGTTGAGCCTTTCACGATTCTATTGGAACAAAAAATCGAAAGAATATAAGATCACATTTCGATAATATTTGTATATATAATTCTCTACGTCAATCAACTTTGTGGAAATAGTTTCGCAACTTGCTGATACAAAGAACAGGATTTCTACTTAACTTATATAAAATGCGATGTCACTCTCACTTTTGTATTAAAACCGTTTACGTGCACGGACCAGGAGTCTCGCAATGCTGTTGGTTTCTTTGGGGCCAATTATATGGGGCATTTTAGCCCGGCCAGAGTTTCAACCCGGCCACCAGGCTGATATTTTGTGTGATCAAATGGTCAATTTCAACCCGGGTTGAATTTGCTCCATGTAATCGGCCCCAAAGTGCCTGTATTTAGATATTAGATGAATCATCGCCGGAAACGACGTACACGGGAGAACACATGCATGATGCATGAAAGATATAGCTTTATAATATCGGCATTCATAAGTATTCTCTAGGCTTAATCTGGCTCAGCACGTTAATTAGGTCAGTCTGTTAATATGGCCTTATTTTTTGTCCAGTTCGTGACCGTATTTTGTGGGTTCCAATTTAATTTTTTTTCCTTTAGGAATTATTGAACATTTCATTTGTAAGTAGTCTTGTGTCGATAATATCAAGGGCGTACAAAGATTGATATTTGGGGGGGGGGAGGTGGCTCATATATAAATATATATTTATAGCATAATCCTTTGAAAACAATGGATTTCAAAGAACTTAACTCTGTATATCATGAATATATGAATATGGGCACACACCCCCTCACCCAATTATCGATCTTCCTACGCCCATGAATAATATCATTCTTAGATTGTCTAGCAGTTGGTGCTATATTTTTGGATTGTACTTTTCATATAAACTAAAAAATTCTGTTCCTTTCTGACGTAAAATTACTTCCTTCATCGTGTCTTTACTATGTCTTGTAGGACTTGCTGCAAGCATGAAACGTTTTGCACCTTCATTTGTTACCTTACTTACCATGGCCAGCTTTTTTCAACATTAGCATTGTGGTCGAAGACAACCAGTTGATTTCGAACCAACATTTCAATATTGCTGAAATATTGATGTTTTTGGCACATATTTTGCCATCATGGAATGATATGCTTCACCTGTAAGATGGAGCTCGGTTTCTTATTTGTTATTATTTCCTCGAAAGCAACAAAAGCTGGGAAATTACTTTTATATTAGCTTTTTGGTCTATTTTACAATCCTAAACTTGTAAACTAAAAAGATTCTCCGCACGCACGAGCCATGAAGTAGTAAAGTTTACTTTGTTATAATGTGACCCAACCTCCGCATATTGATGTAAAAGGTGAAACTGCGCATGCAATTAATAACATTTATTACCATTGACTAACGGTTTTAAACAGTATAGCAACTGGTTGCCGATGTTTTAGAGGCTACCATTTGTACGCGGGCGTACCTAGTTTTGCTATTATGACAACGTCAGTTCCTTATTTGGAAACGCGGAAGTTTTTATGTGGTCTTCGACGTTCGATATATGGCCTGGTTTGGCCGTTTTACTTCGTTTGTAAGTTCCTGCCATCCGAGGTTCTATGTTTAAGGATATTCGATCAAGATTGGACGCTTCAATATCAAGGAACGTTTTTCTTTTTTTATTCTGTCGAATATAATTTCTGCATGTAAATATGACACGAAATCATTAATTTTGTTGCGATGAAAGGCCGCCGATTTGCGAAAGGTGTTGAAGAATGGTCCAAAGCTGGATCATTCGTTCGAAAACCGGAGAAGGGTTGGCTTCATTCTGATCAATCTATTAAGGATGGAGGAGTTTGTTATGCTTTGAAGGTAATTCCAACTTAATTGCTTTCGACGTTTAATGTCAGAGTATTGTGTATTTAATGTGTTATTTATCTTCTTTCGTAACCGAGATAATTTTCGTGGATTTTATTTCTTGTCTTCGGCGATTTGTTTAAGATTGTTTGTGTGTTTGTATTTTGGCAAATTCTTATGCATTCTTCTCTACAGTGCTTTGAATTGAATCTTGTATATTAGAATCTATGATGTCTATCGCTTCAATAGAATGAATACTCTGCGCCTGCTGTTTGTATATTTTGAGACATGCTTTATATATGCGAGATCTTCGTTGAGTAGCCGAATTACCAGTAGTTATTTTATTCATCTGTATTTTCTACAGTATTTGGGATGCATTGAAGTTCTCAAGTCCATGCGCACTTTACAATACGATGTGAGGCAGCAAGTCACCAAGTATGTGGTATTCTTTGAACATTATTAAATCTTTGAAACTGTTCAGGCTGGGTTTTCTAGCTTGTCGTCAAATAATTTTTATTACTTTGTTTGAATGTTCAGTTTGTAGAGCAAGAAATATTATTTCACAAATTTGCTTTTCTGTTTGTTATGTGGAATGTGGAAGTGTTTAGTTGAAATTTTCTTTAGATTTGAATGGTACTCTCTCAATGGGAACTATCATTAATGCCATTAAACTTAATGTAGATTTAAGTTTTTTGTTGGAATTGTCAAAATAGAATTTAAATACTAAACTGCTCACTGTACCAAACCTCTACAAAATGGACTTGTACCTAGTGAACACTGCCTAAAGCTCTAAATTTAATCTCATATAGTTCATTTGTAATAATATAATCTCTATTCATTGACACCGCCATTAAGCAGATACTAGTCTTTTCCCTGAAGGTGTACATTTAATAGTGGTTTGCTAATAAAATCAATTTCTTCATTAATTTGCCATGGATGTCCTTCAATGCCCTCTTTCGTGATCTTCATGTAGTTTCCATCATCACACTATATAAACTTGGCAATCATATTCAGAAGGAAATATGAAAGTTTAAGAGCAATTTCCATTTTTTTAAATAGCAGTATATTTAATTCATTTGTTGTGTATTGTTTCCTTATGTACACATTTAAGTTAGGATTTGAGAAGAGGATGTTAAAAGGCTTGCAATTTCAGTCCCAACAAACCACATGCTTGCTATTTTCTCATCATTTTTTATTCCCTCCGATTGATTCTTGACCAAATAATTTATGATTACCTACGTTGACAAACACCAGAATTTCAATGCATTCAAGTTTGTTTAGCTTCATTTCAAGTAAATAGGTCATGGTATGTTCTGAAATTTTCCTAATTATCATATATATATATATATCAATCATATCCAATGTTGAATTTCACATAAAAGTATTATGCCTTGATTGAGGTTTGCATACTTTGATTCTCCATGGGACATTAGTTGTGTTGTGATAATACTAAAGAATAAACAAAAAAGGAAGTAAGTGTAAACAATTTCATCATGTTTTACTGTCAGCTTTGTTTTCTGCATTTTCTTCCGTATTTAAATACTTAAAGCAAATGTCTCATTCAGAATCAATAAGTTATGCAATGTTTCTACAAGGCATGTATTGCAGCAAGAATAAAGCAATTTCTAGGCTTGATTTGAATTTATCTATCTGGGGCTTGTTGTTTATCATGGAAGTTCTTTCTCCTATAGAGAAGCACTGTATCGATGCTGCGAAGCCAACGGCTATAAATTTCAAAGAAGAAAAAAGGCAAAAAAAAATATTACCGATCTCCTGGCAGGTAGTATTTACTTTAGTTTCTTAAAGACATTGTAATCACAGGGACAACAGCAAATTGATAATTATCAGTGGAGGGCTCATATTCATACATTATATGTTCAATGTGCGAATTAACGGTGTGCAATGTGCAATTTGCACATCGTTTTAGCTAAAATGAAAACAATTGCACATCACTTTTTCAAACGATGTGCAAAAATCAGCGGTTTTAACGAAAAACACTGTCTTAAATCATATGAATTTGTTCACGTTTAAAAATATTAATTTAGCAATTAGCGCTATATAATAAATAACGTAATATCGACTTGCTTATGCCTCTAAAGAAACACTTTTGTCAAAAAAAATTGCACATCGTTTTTTCTGAACTAATTCGCACACTGCATATGTTATAATCCATAAGCCCAACTGATTTCAATAGAACGTTTTCATTGGTTACCATTCTCGAGGGAAATCCCATGTAGTGAAAAGAATTTATGTTGATTTCATGCTCTTTTGAGCATCAGCACTTTGATGTAGCCACCAAACATGGCTGCTTTGACGTCATGTCAAAACATATTGAATGTATGTAACAAAGTAGAACATGTACATGTGTGTGAATGTTTTCCCCACACCCCTACTCTCCCTCGAATTTGTCAGCCACCATGCATGAATGAGAAGAAACCTTAGTTGAGTGTCAAATATGATTTATACATGTTGTTGACATTTGAGAAGTCAAGCAAGTAAATATTTGTTATTCGTGCTATTTTCTTTGTTTGAATCACAAAAGTATATTGCAGAACTTATATCAAACATCATTTTGAAAATTAGAAAATGGTTATTTGTTATGAATATTGGACAACAAGCTACATATTCTTCATGTATTTGACTATTTCACTATGTTTTGACCATCAAGTTTTTAGGGATAAAGTAGGCTTCATAATCAAAGGCGCAAATCTGTTTTAAAAAGTGGGGCGTTGAATGGATATCTCAGGGTCAATAGTCAATATTTTCAGTTGTTCCTAAAGTGAAATGATTGATTTTCTCGAAAGTTGGGGCTGGCATGTCCCCCCTGGATTTACGCTCTATTTGAGGATATTGTTACTCGACTTGTTTTCCGAAAGAATGAGAATGTTTCTGTTAATTTAATTTGATGTTGCTTTATCATAGATCATCCTCGCACAGTCCACAGTGGGACGATTATCAGTCTGACAGTATCCATTTCTGGTATCGTGCTCACGGAGATGTCAAGCGGTGGAACACTTGCTAAGCATGATATGCAAGGGATATCATTTGCTAGTGGCGGGGAAAAGGTAGGCTATTATTGGATTTACAATTATAGCTATAAGTACGTAAGAGTGGCGGAGAAAAGGTAGGCTATTACTGTATTTACAATTATAGCTATAAGTACGTAAGAGTGGCGGGGAAAGGTAGCCTATTACTGTATTTACAATTATAGCTATAAGTACGTAAGAGTGGCGGGGAAGGTAGCCTATTACTGTATTTACAATTATAGCTATAAGTACGTAAGAGTGGCGGGGAAAAGGTAGGCTACTACTGTATTTACAATTATAGCTATAAGTACGTAAGAGTGGCGGGGAAAGGTAGGCTATTACTGTATTTACAATTATAGCTATAAGTACGTAAGAGTAGGTAGCTATTACTGTATTTACAATTATAGCTATAAGGTAGAGGGGGTGTATTTACAATTATAGCTATAAGTATGTAAGAGTGGCGGGGAAAAGGTAGGCTACTACTGTATTTACAATTATAGCTATAAGTAAGTAAGAGTGGCGGGGAAAGGTAGCCTATTACTGTATTTACAATTATAGCTATAAGTACGTAAGAGTGGCGGGGAAAGGTAGCCTATTACTGTATTTACAATTATAGCTATAAGTACGTAAGAGTGGCGGGGAAAAGGTAGGCTACTACTGTATTTACAATTATAGCTATAAGTACGTAAGAGTGGCGGGGAAAGGTAGCCTATTACTGTATTTACAATTATAGCTATAAGTACGTAAGAGTGGCGGGGAAAGGTAGGCTATTACTGTATTTACAATTATAGCTATAAGTACGTAAGAGTGGCGGGGAAAAGGTAGGCTATTACTGTATTTACAATTATAGCTATAAGTACGTAAGAGTGGCGGGGAAAAGGTAGCCTATTACTGTATTTACAACTATAGCTATAAGTACGTAAGAGTGGCGGGGAAAAGGTAGCCTATTACTGTATTTACAATTATAGCTATAAGTACGTAAGAGTGGCGGGGAAAAGGTAGCCTATTACTGTATTTACAACTATAGCTATAAGTACGTAAGAGTGGCGGGGAAAGGTAGCCTATTACTGTATTTACAATTATAGCTATAAGTACGTAAGAGTGGCGGGAAAAGGTAGCCTATTACTGTATTTACAATTATAGCTATAAGTACGTAAGAGTGGCGGGGGAAAGGTAGGCTATTACTGTATTTACAACTATAGCTATAAGTATGTAAGAGTGGCGGGGAAAACGTAGGCTATTACTGCATTTACAACTATAGCTATAAGTACGTAAGAGTGGCGGGGAAAAGGTAGGCTACTACTATATTTACAATTATAGCTATAAGTATGTAAGAGTGGCGGAGAAAAGGTAGGCTATTACTGTATTTACAACTATAGCTATAAGTATGTAAGAGTGGCGGAGAAAAGGTAGGCTATTACTGTATTTACAACTATAGCTATAAGTATGTAAGAGTGGCGGAGAAAAGGTAGGCTATTACTGCATTTACAACTATAGCTATAAGTATGTAAGAGTGGCGGAGAAAAGGTAGGCTATTACTGTATTTACAACTATAGCTATAAGTATGTAAGAGTGGCGGGGAAAAGGTAGGCTACTGTATTTACAACTATAGCTATAAGTATGTAAGAGTGGCGGGGAAAAGGTAGGCTACTGTATTTACAATTATAGCTATAAGTACGTAAGAGTGGCGGGGAAAGGTAGGCTATTACTGTATTTACAATTATAGCTATAAGTACGTAAGAGTGACGGGGAAAAGGTAGGCTATTACTGTATTTACAATTATAGCTATAAGTACGTAAGAGTGGCGGGGAAAGGTAGGCTATTACTGTATTTACAATTATAGCTATAAGTACGTAAGAGTGGCGGGAAAAGGTAGGCTATTACTGTATTTACAATTATAGCTATAAGTATGTAAGAGTGGCGGGGAAAAGGTAGGCTACTACTGTATTTACAATTATAGCTATAAGTATGTAAGAGTGGCGGGGAAAAGGTAGGCTATTACTGTATTTACAATTATAGCTATAATACGTAAGAGTGGCGGGGAAAGGTAGCCTATTACTGTATTTACAATTATAGCTATAAGTACGTAAGAGTGGCGGGGAAAGGTAGCCTATTACTGTATTTACAATTATAGCTATAAGTACGTAAGAGTGGCGGGGAAAAGGTAGGCTACTACTGTATTTACAATTATAGCTATAAGTACGTAAGAGTGGCGGGGAAAGGTAGCCTATTACTGTATTTACAATTATAGCTATAAGTACGTAAGAGTGACGGGGAAAAGGTAGGCTATTACTGTATTTACAACTATAGCTATAAGTATGTAAGAGTGGCGGGGAAAACGTCGGCTATTACTGTATTTACAATTATAGCTATAAGTACGTAAGAGTGGCGGGGAAAAGGTAGGCTACTACTGCATTTACAACTATAGCTATAAGTACGTAAGAGTGGCGGGGAAAAGGTAGGCTACTACTGTATTTACAATTATAGCTATAAGTACGTAAGAGTGGCGGGAAAGGTAGCCTATTACTGTATTTACAATTATAGCTATAAGTACGTAAGAGTGGCGGGGAAAGGTAGCCTATTACTGTATTTACAATTATAGCTATAAGTACGTAAGAGTGGCGGGGAAAAGGTAGGCTATTACTGTATTTACAATTATAGCTATAAGTACGTAAGAGTGGCGGGGAAAAGGTAGCCTATTACTGTATTTACAATTATAGCTATAAGTACGTAAGAGTGGCGGGAAAAGGTAGCCTATTACTGTATTTACAATTATAGCTATAAGTACGTAAGAGTGGCGGGGAAAAGGTAGGCTACTACTGTATTTACAATTATAGCTATAAGTACGTAAGAGTGGCGGGAAAAGGTAGGCTATTACTGTATTTACAATTATAGCTATAAGTACGTAAGAGTGGCGAGGAAAAGGTAGGCTATTACTGTATTTACAATTATAGCTATAAGTATGTAAGAGTGGCGGGGAAAAGGTAGGCTATTACTGTATTTACAATTATAGCTATAAGTACGTAAGAGTGACGGGGAAAAGGTAGGCTATTACTGTATTTACAATTATATCTATAAGTATGTAAGAGTGGCGTGGAAAAGGTAGGCTACTACTGTATTTACAATTATAGCTATAAGTATGTAAGAGTGGCGGGGAAAAGGTAGGCTACTGTATTTACAATTATAGCTATAAGTACGTAAGAGTGACGGGGAAAAGGTAGGCTATTACTGTATTTACAACTATAGCTATAAGTATGTAAGAGTGGCGGGGAAAAGGTAGGCTACTACTGTATTTACAATTATAGCTATAAGTATGTAAGAGTGGCGTGGAAAAGGTAGGCTACTACTGTATTTACAATTATAGCTATAAGTACGTAAGAGTGGCGGGGAAAAGGTAGCCTATTACTGTATTTACAATTATAGCTATAAGTACGTAAGAGTGGCGGGGAAAAGGTAGCCTATTACTGTATTTACAATTATAGCTATAAGTACGTAAGAGTGGGGAAAAGGTAGGCTATTACTGTATTTACAATTATAGCTATAAGTACGTAAGAGTGACGGGGAAAAGGTAGGCTATTACTGTATTTACAATTATAGCTATAAGTACGTAAGAGTGACGGGGAAAAGGTAGGCTATTACTGTATTTACAACTATAGCTATAAGTATGTAAGAGTGGCGGGGAAAAGGTAGGCTACTACTGTATTTACAACTATAGCTATAAGTATGTAAGAGTGGCGGGGAAAAGGTAGGCTACTACTGTATTTACAATTATAGCTATAAGTAGCTACGTAAGAGTGACGGGAAAAGGTAGGCTACTACTGTATTTACAATTATAGCTATAAGTATGTAAGAGTGGCGGGGAAAAGTTAGGCTACTACTGTATTTACAATTATAGCTATAAGTATGTAGAGTGGCGGGGAAAAGGTAAGCTACTACTGTATTTACAATTATAGCTATAAGTATGTAAGAGTGGCGGGGAAAAGGTAGGCTACTACTGTATTTACGACTATAGCTATAAGTACGTAAGAGTGGCGGGGAAAAGTAGGCTATTATTGCATTTACAATTATAGCTATAAGTACGTAAGAGTGGCGAGGAAAAGGTAGGCAGTTACTGTATTTACAATTATAGCTATAAGTACGTAAGAGTGGCGGGGGGAAAGTAGGCTATTACTGCATTTACAATTATAGCTATAAGTACGTAAGAGTGGCGGGGAAAAGGTAGGCAGTTACTGTATTTACAATTATAGCTATAAGTACGTAAGAGTGGCTGGGAAAAGGTAAGCTATTACTGTATTTACAATTATAGCTATAAGTACGTAAGAGTGGCGGGGAAAAGGTAAGCTATTACTGTATTTACAATTATAGCTATAAGTACGTAAGAGTGGTGGGTAAAAGGTACGCAATTATTGCATTTAAGTACAGAAGGTAGTTTTACCAGTATCTCTATATCGGTGCTCACATTAATACAGTGGTAAATAACGTTTTAAATAGCTGCACAAGTACTAGCTGACGCCGCATTATATGTAAGTCGCTTGTGTGCAAACTGCAAAAGTTGTTTGTGTTGAAAATTTTTGGGAATCCAAAACCTAGCGCGAACAAAACTATTTGTTTCAAGCTGCTTGTATGAAAATCACATTTACGCCAAAGACGGTTGTTTTGTTGAGGAAAAATGGGAAATTGAGTGTCTAATTCGATTATGCGTTTCACATTCAGTCGCGTTTTCATATTTTTCATGTGGTGTACACTCATCAAGTCTCGAGCATGTGCAAACCTTGACCTCCGAGTTCTCTTAAAGCTCTTCTTGGTTTTTATAAGCCTGTGCAAACGCAGTAAACATCTTTTATTTCTTAAATGAATATGTCGGTCTCCCACAAATTGTCCTCTTTCCACGCCAATGCACTTGTGCTATAACACAACACCTGTCACTTTCTACGAATTTCGGTCCGCCATGTTGTGTTGCTTAGAGTGCGCGTTTACATTTCTGTCATTCATAGCGCATTTTTCGTTTTCTTTTCGCACGCGAGAATTTTTAGTCCATCCACAGGTGTGGTTCATACGATTTAATAAAAAAAATAATGTTTTTGAAGATCGAATTCCATTTATCGTAATTTGTCAATATTCATCATAGAAGCATTAGCGAGTGTACTTAGCAAAAAAGGTCTTTAGTTTGGCGAGAAACGAAAGCTACTTGTTAACAAGTTTGCTGAGTAGTATTTAATCTTTTGTTGTGTTTTTGATGTAGGATTGTCCTGATATCGTTGGTTATGTTGCCAAGGATGCCAAAACCAGACGAGGTGGGATAACTTCAATTTAATGGGGTTTTTTTAGTTTTTCAGCAAAAGCTTTAAACAAAATTAATATTAGCAATTACGTCGACTGGTGGATCTATTGTTTTTACTATTCGTTATATTTTTATTCTTTATAATTATGTTCTAAGCACACGCATATTTTCTCAATCTTTAATGCAAAACAATTCAGCACCGTTGTAGGAAAGTGCTTCCTACAACAAGTTTGAAGCATCTCGGATTTAGGATAAAATATGCCTCTATAAAATTGTCATTAACGTCGGTGCGCACGTTGTATTTAAGTTCCTACCAGTCCACAAAAATACGTTTTTTTCTACGTAAAGTACAACTGGGGCCGGTTCAAGGAGGCTGGATATCGTTATTTATTGGATAGTAAAATTTTCAAACTTGTAAATAAGTTTTTTGTATTTTCCTGACAACATAGGAACTTTTGTATTCTGTGAAGCAATATTTTCTTTGCCATACAGTGGATAGTGTTATCTGGCCTTCGTGCATTCGGCCCCTATTCCAGACTTGCGACATAAGCGTAACCATAAGCTCAACATTATCAAAAGTCTACGTTCTTCTTATGCGTATTTATGCTTATGCTTATTGCAAGAAAGGACAACGCTTAATAGCAATACTTATATCACATTAGGCAAAAATAATTTGTAAAGTCTAGAAATTTGTTGAAAATCTTCTTTTAGCATGCCATGTATTGGATTGTCCTCAAAATCTTGCGTATGATGTTATCAATACAATTGGTCAAGCGTTCGAGTTGCGTTATAAAATGTTTCTTGACAATCCTCCGGAGCTATTGCCTGTTCCAAAAAGGTTTGATATGTGTGATGTATTTCTATAAACGTAATAGTATATAGCTCTATACATATGTCGATGTCTTTCATGTTCTTGATTTCATTTTTTCATTTTTTCCGCTTTAGATTCGAAGGAGATATTTTTGATGATGAACAACAGTCTGAAAGATTGGATTTTGGTGAGCCACACTACGATGAAGCAAGGGAAGAGGTAAGATTCGGAATAACATTAAAGCTTTTAATTGTTTGCTGCATGTTTTGCAGAACTTGTTTTCATAGAAGTGTTTAAATGTCCGGAATTGCCGAAAACAGCCTGCAGATTTCATTCCATTATTCGAATTGTTAATTGAAATTATCCCGAATCAACTATTGCATCATGAAACTCGAGAGCGAGTAATCTAATTGTTTAACTAGAATTATAGTAATAAAGAAAGAGGTTCTTATAATTTTTCTTAATTCGTTGTTTTACATGCATTTGTTGTTGTTGTTTATATTAAAAAGCGAACGAGTTATTTTAATTCAATCTTTGTTTATTTTACCTAAAATGACTTGACTTTGTCTTTAGTGGTGACTATAGCTATCTCTAGAATTGCTTTTTAATGTAAACGATCAAGTTTATCATCAGAAACTCGAGTAAAACGCAATATGGAAGCCATATTTTTTTTGCCACTACCGCTTTGTTGAAAATTTGGTAGCTAGAAGAGTAACTAGCCAAATTAAAGCATTTGCAATAGAATATTAGTGGCTATGATTCTGATGATATTTTTTGTATTAATGTCAATGCAAACTGTTTTTTTAAATCTTAAGCATGCTTGAACTGAAGAAATATAAGTCATTCTGCAATTCAGTCCAATAGTTTTGACTCTTTGGCGGCTGAAGCCATGCTCGTTTTTTATCGTTATTTATCGATGTATCTGTGTTTTGTTATAAAGTTTTGGCCGTGATTGCCGTGTGAATTCTAATTTACGTAATGCGAATTATGCGTCCTAAAATTATCTCAAGAAGTTATGTTCCTGAGATGCATTCATGAACCATTTGAGGATGATTTAGTTACATGCAATTATTAAAGAGCTAACGTAGCAAAAGCCTCTGTATGAGCTGTAAGTTATTTATAACGTTACAAAGCACGACAAAACTATTAATAGTTTGAACTATTATAAATACTTTGTACTTGTATAACATATCCACACACATATCATAATTTAGTTTGCTCAATGCAGATTTTAATGCACAGCAACACAAGGACAAAAACGATTAAATAATATCAAAAACGACGTTGAACTTTTTCAGCCATCCTCCTCTTTTGATCTCTTCGATCGTTCCTCTATAGGATGGCGTTCTTAGTTTAAAATATCACTCACGCAAGTTGAACAGCGAGTTTTTAGCACTCTTTCCTAAGTTCTATTTTAATAATCACCGAGAAATGACGATCAGGATATCCAAATTTTTTGCTTTTGTTTTATCAACATCATTTAGAATTTTTTTTCTCAATTTTTTATCATGTCTAATTATATAGCTATGTAAATTGCCACTTTTATACAATGTTAACCATCATCAATGTCTAGACATCTCTTTTTTGTAGTTTTTAACTCATTATTCTTGCAAACATTTAACTTTTCAATCCTTAATTGCGAAAAAGTGTACCTAAAGACCCCACTAAATGAAACAAAACATGAAAATAAATAAATTAAACAAATGTCGTTGTAAAACAGTACATGCAGTTTAAGTCGAAAAGGGCCGTAGAGTCATTTCATTTAGCTATAAGTTACAACTAATATTCTGTTACATGCTTCAATGTTCTAACCGAATTCCTTGTTTGTTTAAGTCTCCGGATGAATTTGCGGACGTGGATTCTGACGAGTTTGATGACGTTCATGAATACGACAATCCGACCGAGGAAAAGGTCGTCGATCAGCGTATTCATGAGGACATGCGAAATTATCAACGTCCGATGTCGCAGCCTCTTGAAATGTCTAACTACGATACTCCTCATTCGACCATCGAAACGCAGTCGTTGAGAAAAACGGACATCTCCATGGAATTTGCGATCGGCACACAATTTGACGCAGCTGCAAACCACCTGCGCCCAAGTGCGCCTTCTTATGATAGTCCTCTTGCGTCTGTACATACTGTTGATAATCTTTCGTTTTACGAAACTCCTGGTGCGACAGGTGAGTGTTATTGTTAGTGCTAAATCGTAAGTCAGTCTCGCCGTTTTGACACTAGCCTGTTTACAATCAAGATATGTCACTATGTGATATGTCACTATGTCACACTGAATGAGTTCTTTTATTGTTTAAAAAAGTTTTGGTCCACTTGACGCTCTAATTATTGTTGGTATTATTCTTTTATATATCTTTTCATATGTAATTCTGAAATTTCTTTTGCCTTTTCTTGCTTAAATTTTAACTTGGGTCGACATCTTTCCTCAAATAAATTTCTTTCCGTACTTCACCAAACTTTAGGGAAATTGCTTTGCGTTCATCGACTATGTCACCGGTCGCCAATCCTCCGCGGTTTTTTACATATTTGACATGCATTGTGAGATTGCCTGGCGGCAAAATAAACTGTTCAATATATTTATGAAAAAACTTGGTTTTGATTGAATAAATTTGTCATTTTAAATATTGCCGATATGCATAAAAGTAATGTGTAAGAGGAAGAAAAGGCGTTCATGGAATCTGCTTTTACCGATCTGTTTCAAGAGCTTTAGACAGTCACAACGACAAGAGTCATTCAACAATTACAAAATCTTTGCAGCCTACAACATATCACCTATTCCGGATTCAACATTGACCTTAACATGGAGTACAATTATATGATGTGCACCAAAGTCGCAAATCATTTGAACCGTTTTTGTGAGTGAACTGTTAATATGATTTTGCATGACACCAATTCTCGTTCGAGTCATTTTAAGTAGGATATTGCTGCTCTGAAATAAAAAGAAAGTTGTTTTGGTTAATTTGAATAATCCATTTTGTCAAAGAGATTAAATATCTGAAAGACGAGTCATACACAGCCTATTAAAGTAAGCACTTAATGAAAGCGTTGCATTAACAGAGAAAAATACTTTACACAAAACTGAAAGGAAAACCGCACGAAGTTCACCAAAGCAGGAAAAGGAAAAGGAAATATCTCAAAAGATCGACTCCTCGAAAAATTAAATTATTGTAAACAATTGTTTGTTGTCCAGAGACAAAGCTTCATCCCTAATGTCCAATGAAATACACGATGTTTGATGTGATGACTTAATGCAGAAGAGCTGAAACAATACATTTAGGAAAGAGGTGCTCTTTTGTCTTTAAGGATAAAAAGCAGGATTTGATCATTTTTGCCAAGTCTCTTCGTGATATGGGTGGCCTATAGATACTGACTTTCACCATGACTCCATAAGTGATTTTATATAGATGTGACTAACCTTACAGGCCCGTGTACAAGTTGATCAATGTTTATCATTGATAAAACTTTCATTTTCAAACTTTTTGGAATTACCAAGTTTTTGAATGGACATATTCAACCTTTAAATCACACCCTTAGCTAATACGACAAGGAAACGACAAGGAACCTTCATAATATAGAAAGGTTATGAAGATTATAGTGCCATAATAGGCATGTTTCCATCATTTTTTCATCACTCTACTTACTGCAAGTGTAAAGAAGCAGCAGATTACGGATGTCGGCACGTTGAAGCTGCTTCATTTCAGCTTAATGATTTCTTCTCTAACAAGAGGTGCTCAGTTACGTCCTTACCTGCATATTGGAACCCGAGCATAAAACATTCCTTACCTAGCGATAAAACATTTTCATTCAACAAGTCTTCAAAGTAAAATGAACATAACTAACTGTGTGGAGTCATGCACTCAATCAATTCACTAAATACCTTTAAGAGGAAAAGAAGCAGATATCCATTTTACCAAAATATAATTCGCTGACCAAGTAAAGTATTGAGAACTCCGGAATCTGGATTATTTACGGATTGATGTGGAAGATATTTTGACAATACTGTTGGCAATTATCAAAAGAAGAAACAAGTTGCAGTCATTTTTTTTCAAAAGCTGTTCTGTTTGTAAAGGAAAGGAGCAAAAACAACTGCTTGTATGAAACATAATCAAGGAATCAGTCGATTATGTTGAGCAATTTACTATTATTGCTGTGGAAGACAGAAAACTTTCACCAATCAAGCAATCCGTGCATCCGAAATTCGTGAGAATTTGCAACAATTTTGGTATTTTAATGATCACTGGAATAAATTTGAATAGTTTTATACATATCTATACTAGTCAAAAAAATTCGTGAAAGAAGACCGGGGAAAACAATTAAAGCATTTTTAAAACTAATTTCACTGCATAAACATATGTTTCAAGCTGCTATTAAACATGGAGTTAAGAAAGAAGAAGAAGCAAAAGATACCACTGTAATATAACGAGGAATTCGCACTAATTATTCCCATTCAAAGAAACAGGCCTCATTGTTTGTCGTCAAAATGGCCGATTTAAGGCTAGTTCTGATTAGGTAGAAGAATGTGCATGTAGTGTTTTGCTCTTTGAGGAAGTTTAATTGACCACATTTGGGTTTGGAATTCAAATCTGCATTTCAACTGCATTCAGTTGGTGGAATGATCAACCCCAATGGCGTGCCATAGTTAAAGATAGCATCGTGCACACTATTTTCAAGTGCAGGCTGGAATTGCAGTACGTGTTTTAGATGCGTGATGGGCGTTATAACGGCATTCGACAAAGAAAGTTGATTACATATCCTTAAAACTGTCAACTGTTTTTTAGAAACTTCGACGTAAAATCATAAAGCAGCTATAAGACCTCAGTGAGAAAAGTCGTGGTCCTCTACTTTACACCGGAGAAATAAGTTACACTTTCTTCAATTCCCAACAAATCCCGTACCCAAAGCCCTTTATCGGCCATCTCAGTATCTTCTTCTATAGATATTTAATTAAACCAGAATTTCTGACCATTTCTTTTCCTGGTGTGCTGCCAATCTACAAGTTTAAGCAACGAAAGATTTCACCAAACAGGTGGAAGAAGTTTTGCAGTGTTGTAATTCTTCATGTTGTTTTCTGACTTCGAGTAATTACAGGCTTTCGAATATAAAGTTTTTGGAACGGTCAGTTTAATTTTCCTCTGCATGACCTGTCCATGGGAGAAGAAATCAAATTTCCTCTGCATCAAAGGGAAGACAAGTGTTGTAAATTCGTGATACCTATCCAGCACTAATTTCATAGGTGTCAGCAAAAAAGAGGACATCAAAACCACTTTCACATTCTTACCAAGGGGAAGACCAGCTTTATTCAAAGTGATGGATATCTGGTTTGTTTGCGTCGTTTTTCTTTGAAGGTGGTGTGTCGACAGATCCTTTCCAATGACGCAGTGTTTTAGCATGTATTTTTCTATCTAACCATTGATCAAGTCAGCAAACAACGCAATGATCTCCTGTAGGCATTTTGTATTACATAGAATAAAACAAAATATGCTTCTTGCTGATCCTTCAACACACTGCAGAATTGTGCAAACCGTGCGAGTTCTGGCAACCGATAACGAGCCCGTTGTTTTATAAAAAGCTTGTTTCTTTTGCAATAGTTTCAATATTTTTATTTTTATATAGTCAATGGAACGAAAAGAAAAGAGGACAATGGAGTTCCACCCAGTTCTAAATGGGAAACTTTTGATGACGAAGCGGCTTGTAATAACGAGCCCACAGGAGCCCCAATTCCCATGCCTAGGAGGATACCATCAGAGCCTGTGCCATCTGACATATCTAACCGCGCAGATCATGATGCGTTGGAATATTCTGTACCATTACACAAGAAACATGAAGACCCAAGTACAAGACGCACACCGCCACCTTTACCTAAACCTTACGAAAAAAAGAATGAAAATATTACAAGTAAGTCAAACAATAAGAAATTTTTGATTTTATTTGCTCAATCCTATCATAGAATAAGTTATCACACGAGAGGATACACGTATGGACACGAGTTTTTAGCATCATTTATAGTTTCTTAACCATTGCTTAACCATTGCTATGCTTTGACCTGCTTATTTTCATCGTAAACGATTCCCGCACCGAGCTATGACGTACGATCGACTTAACGTTATGAAGATTATTGTGCCAAAATGGGCATGTTTCCATAATTTTATTTGGCAAAGATCGCTCGAAGTTTCATGATGTTGTAGCTCATGTCACACCTAGGCAAAAGGAAAAGACTTGGGATTTGGAAAAGTTTTACTAATTGCTGTTCATATTAAAATCTGACTGAAAAATTTACTCTGCTTACTACATAAGTAATAAAAGAGCAGATTACAGATGTAGACGACACTAGCGCTCTGGGGTGAAACTTTCAGGACATTTTAATTCACACGTGAAAGTGAATTATATAAAAATAACTTGCGAATAATCGTGAAAATGTGCAAAGGTGTCTGCATGTAGTTGACTTTGATGTTGACTTTGATATCTAAATGTTACTTATACTTGGTGTAATACACATCAACATGATGCTTTTCATTGAAACACAAAAGAAGCATTGTCTTATTATCAGGCGAATATGTTAACATTTAATTTGGATTGCTTTTTTATTTACGTCCAAATTCCAACATAAAAACTCAATGATGAAAATTCCAGAAATGTACTAAAGTTGCTTTGGAATATACTAAAAATTTCGTTACCTGTGACTGCGATAGATACAGATATTGGCGCAAAATATGTGCATCTTAAAATTAACCATGACTGATGATGTTAATCAACAAATGATGTCATCATCGCATAAGCAAAGCAATTATGCGTCTCATATCGAAAGTCTCGCAAAAGCTATGATATATTTATCGCAAAATAATTTAAATTAGTTTGGGTAAGTCAGTCGTCAATTGCGACGGGAAGCTGCTTTTGAAGTTGACATGGTTTAATATAACGAACGTTATGCTATTTGATTGTGCTGGACAACTCAGAACTTACAATTGTTTGTTGTCAGGTGTTAAAACATCTTTAAGGAATTCGATCCGTTTAGGACGCTTTCACTTATTTAAAACTAAAGACCCTGACATTATATCCTTTGACCTACGGAGTGGATGTTTTAGACTATTGCTTACAATTCCGTAACATTTGCATCCTCTCAACGCAGTTTAACGAAGCTTGTGTATTGTCAATTATCAGTTGAATCCTGTCTAACTGATGTTATACCAGACAGAACAGTAGACATCCGTATTTTTAGTTTTAAGAGGAAAGACATATCTCATTGCACAATTGTGCTTGCGTCCATCACAATTCCAGCAAAAAGATTTTACGATAATCAACTTTAAAATTAATGGACATTCGAGTGCAACTGCCATACAATTGGAAGTATTGACAGTTTTGCAAAACTGGTTAAATCGAGTGACGCCAATCGTGCGATTCCTTAAAGACACGAGGGAAATAAAGACAGCGATGTTGAACTATTTTTTGATATTTAACGATCCAATTGTAGTGCTGTGTTAAATGCGAACGATTGCCTGTAGGATAAATTGACACCTACGATATTTATTGCCCTATTACTTCCCTTCAAAAAAAGCAAAAAACTGGCGTTCATATCAAACCGTAGGTAACAAAAAAGTTGAAAATTTCATCATAACATGAGGTAATTGACATCAAGGATTTTAATACGTCAAAATGATGAAGCGAAGTGTTTCTTTGTTAATTTATCATTTATTTTTGAACTGCTTGAAGGAAGTATGGTCCACTCTGGATATTCTTGTACGCCCAAATCGGAAAAATCACAATTTTTAATATTATAATATAGTACCGTATACACTGCAATACTCATTGGTAACAATAGTGTTACATATAGTAATAAGTCGCATATAAGTATAAAATGCTGCTTTAAATCGACTATAATTTAATCTTGTCTTGAGAGAAAGTACGAAACATCATGCTGTTCTATAAATAATGTTTTCAAATGTCATTGTTTGACATATTATACGATTGACACACTAGCGGAACCCCATCCGACTATGGAGAATCATCATACTACTGGCGAGCCTCTCCGGCCAGCTCCTAAGGCTACACATCCAGACGTGCCGTTACCACCCCTTCCGAAAGATGTTTCTACGTCATCGACGCATAACGATTTATCTCGTCAAGAATGGTTTCATGGTCCCATAACAAGACAGGAGGCTGAAAATCTCATGATCAAGGATGGTGACTTTTTGGTGCGGGAGAGCACTACGAATCCTGGACAATACGTTCTTACTGGTTTGCAGAATGGTTATCCTAAGCACTTGCTGTTGATTGACCCAGCTGGAAAGGTGAGTGCACGTATGCGCTATTTTTCATTGCTCGAGTTTTAAGCTCTGATTTTATTGAAGAAGATTTCTGTTAAAATGTCGTAGATTAGAAATGCAGACGAGTCACTTGCATTGATGTTCCCTTAACGTTAAATCAACGAGAGTTTAGTTAGTCTATTCATATTAGTCTGTGTTTATCGATGGCGAAATACGTCACAAAACTAGTGTAGCTACTACAGCTTGAAACTTCGTGCAAGATTAAATTTCTCTTAACTTCAAATATAAATGCTCGAAACATTTCTTTATACAAGCAATGACTTTTGAAAAATCAATATTTGTCGCATACCGTGCGCATATCTAGCTTGGGAAATCTGTTGCTATTGTATAATGCTTTTTATATTTAACCATATTTAAAGGCTTAGCAAATGCTGAGCTGTAAATTTGGTCGCCAAAAGAATCTGCTTAGCTAAAACTTAAGCGAGGTATTGTTGTTTCTTTTGTTACAATAATTTAACGTTTCCGCCTTTGAAATGTTTTGTTTTGATTAGCTTTTACGATTAATTTTTTGTGTAATTGCTTAATCAGGAGTATGCACTTATGAAAAGAAATTGGCACCGCTGTTTCCTTCTTTGCACTGGTATTTCGTATTTTTTGCACTTGTATTTTCTTAAAATTGCACTGCTCTAAACCAATCAGAATTAAGAAATTTTATGTGTATTATTAATTCATGAATTAAAAATTTCCCTAATAAGAGTAGAAATGAAATTTTTTCCATTGAGATTCGTGTTTTCTTGCAGGTACGAACGAAGCACCATACTTTCGATAGCGTTGAACATCTTGTCAGCTACCATCGTGAAAAAAAAATTCCCATCATTTCGTCCGGAAGCGTTTTATTACTACGTCAGCCTGTTAACAAAAACAGTTCCTTTTTGCCAGGCTATGATTTGCCAGTGTAGTAAGGAAGTATAATTTTTGCGAAAGAATGAAGACTGTTTTATGTATGTATAAAGTTTGAGTCTTGGTGCGCCAGAAAAATTGCCTGCAGTTTTAAAGCTGCAGAAACAGATATGAATTAAAACACTGACGCAATTAGCTTTACTGTTCGTAAATGCGGCTTAATGAAGCAATACTCAACCCGCCTCTCCATCCCGACATTTTCAAAATATGTGAAATTTCCTAAAATTAAAACACGAGACAGCAATAGCTAATTTGTGTCAGTATTTTCATTTAGAACTGTAAGCGTTTGCTCTGTCTCTTTTTAAGCAATCGTGATTTAATAATTTCGCACTTAACGAGTTTTTGAATTTCAAATTCCGTGCACAACTTTGAAGTTTTATCACGCTTGTCTCAAACTAGCGACCAGAATACAAAACTTCACAAAAACAACACACACATGAACTCGATCTAAAGTATATCTCACACTTCCGAAACAAAGCATGCAAAGCACCTTATTAACAATTTTACTTTTGGAAACGCTTTATGTTTGTTTTTGTAGAATATTTGTAGTTTTTTCTTTGGATAATCTTTAAATGCCATTTATACTTTGCTCGAATATCGGGCTGCGTGGTCTAAATTTTGATTCCACACATTTGACCATCCTCATTTTTTTTATTTCATCAAATGTTGGTTTTTAAACGAATAGTGAATTGCAATTCAATATTTAAAGTATGTTGCTGTTATGGGTTTTTTTTAAATTTTCATCCTAATGTTTTTCGATTCTTATTAAATGAACTAGTATGGTTTACCTTCGGCATTAGTTGACAAAAACATGCATGAGTTTACTATCGCTCGGTCAGTGATATTGTAGCTATAGGCTTTAATAGGAATAACTGTATCTATAATTTCGATTAAATGTTTGAAAGACTGATATGTTAAGAAAATACAATGTAAAAGCTAGTCTTTTAAAGTCTGATACTTCGAGACAACTTTTTAGTCTCATAATTTAATACACAACAGAATATTTTTAATATATATACTTGTAGAACAATAAAGCAGTAAATGTTGAAGCAATTTAAAAGTTTTGTCATCGATAATTGCGCACAAGTTTTTATCACCCTTGCACAATCCTTTCATGTTTATGATTTTCGTGAGACTTAATGCAACGCCAATTCTCTGTTTATTTAAATAGAGACTTTGTCGTGGTGACAAATTTAAGAATTGTTTTAAAGAGAGCAAAACAATAGTGAAGGGTAAAAAAATAGTAACGTTATAGTTCTTAAAAGAACTGTTTAAAACCGAAACACTAACACAACAAATCTAAAAGAATTCTAAAAGAACTGTTTTTTAAAGATGAAAGACACTATCTAGTTCGTCAGACTACTCATCAGGTGTCAACGTCTGCTAAATTAAAACTTCAAAATCATGTGATATAATATTAAGAAAAAGTTTACGTCATCTCTAAATTGAAAGAAGACGCTCAAAACAGATGTAACCCTTGAACACGTAGTCCTTTGCCGACAAAAGGATTAGTGGATTACGTGTTTAATTTATCTCTGTTTTAAACGTCGTCTCTCAATTTAGAGATGACGTTAACTTTTATCGACATTATAAATATCGAATGATTTTGAAGTTTTAATTTAGCAGACGTTGACACCTGATGAGTAGTCTGTCGAACTAGATAATGTCTTTCATCTTTAAAAACATTTCTGTTAGAATTCTTTTAGAATTGTTGGGTTGGTGTTCTGGTTTTAAACAGCTCTCTTATTATAATGTAATAATTTTAATCGAATAAGCAGAAAGCGATCTTTTAGTTATTTTATCAATAACCTACTTCAATAAGTGATACTGCATCATGTCACAAGCCAGCTAGCTATATTGCTGCTCGCTCAAGTGCATTACAGATCATAAATGCATGATCAACATGGATTTTGACTCTACATCTTATAACTAAATCTTGAAGGCTTTTGAGCTATTACCTACTTCAAATTAGTATATATAACTCGAATGCAATTACGGAAAAAAAACCATCACGAGTGAAACTTTTGACGACTGAAGCTATTTGCAGTCTTTTGAAAACTTGCGAGTGCATGTTTAGCAATGACCTAGAACCAAATCTACTAGATATCTGACTCCGCCAATATTACATAGTAATGAGTGAGGCAAGCCGCCATCTTGAAAGGTGGCAAAATTGACAGTACTTACTAGTAATACCTGCTTTTCCTGAGTTGATATAGAGTCGCAAAGTTGATAGTCTAGGTTTAATTCTTTAAATGTTTGATAGGATGGGGTTTTTAAACTTTTTTTAACTTACTTTTCATTTTGAGTTTTGCTTTTTGCCACCTTTCAAGATGGCTTCCTTGCCTCAATTTCATACCATAGTTAGACATCTAGAAGATTGGGCTCTAAATCGTTGATGTTTAGCCATAATTGCACGAGAATCTATGCTATATTACGTAATAAGACTTATAATAATACAACACTCTGAGATATTTCTCGACTGTACTGTTTAACTCTGTCTCGCTTCGTTACTCCCTATCGCTTTACAAAAGCATTGTCTCACGGCTTAACTGCTTTTCCACAGTGCCATTACATCTTTTCAACATTGCAATTACACATTCTCACATTGCAATTTTACAAGACGCTTTAAAAGCCGGGCGTTTACTTTTCCAATCATTTTAAGTTAGCTTTTTCCCATTGCGAAACATTTGTTACCCCCGGCCACCAGAGGGTGAAGGTGAATATGCAGAAACTTTATCACTCCAACCTAAGGTGGTTAACTTTTTCCCATGATAAAACATGGTTTATTTCTGTATCAGTCTCTATGACACTTATTTTGAGTAACGAGGACATGTTAAATATGAAAACTGACGATAGGAAGTTTCATAAATCTCGAATTTTTTCAAGCTAAAATTTTCAATGTTTATTTTTCATTGTTTCACAACGCAACTGTTTATTATCTATTAAAACTAAAATTAAAAGTAACAATTGTAATTGTCTGTAAAATTAATGCAAAACAGAGGCAATTATTTGTGTTAGTTGTTATTCATGTCTTAGAGAAACAATATTAGTCCTCAACCAAATGATATTTTTGTTTGGAATTGGAACCAATCTTCTTTGTTGTTTTATCCTCCACCTGGTTAGCAGATAAAACAACAGGTCTTTCATCATATATTGCAAGCGGCGAAAGATTACAACCCACTCTAGTTGTGAAGAGTGCTCGCATTCTTTCAGGCGTTTTGATGTTTTTATATATCAACCGCTCCTACGTCTGCTTAATGGGGCTTTGCAGCAATCAATCTTGCCAAAGCAATCCATTTCTTCCATGGGTTGCAATATGTTTTAAGATATCCCGAGGACCTTTATCCCGCAATCCCAAGACACCAGCTGACAAAAATCAAAAAGATTATGATTAGGGATGATTGTTATGTGGCATGATTTAAATTCTTCATCACTGGCATCAGGATTAAGTTTGGCAAGAATTTCTACATCTTTCCACTAATCAGTTTTTAGTCTTTCCTTGACGAAGTTTCTAAAGAGAGGAGAACTTTGTTTCTAACTGCTTCCGTAGATCGCATGTCTGATACAAACGAATGATGTTGTGATCTTCTGTTTTTCTTTATGTTAAGCTTCATTCAATGTAATATCCACTCCGATGCCTCGCCATTAACTGATCTTTCGCTGATGCCAGAAATAAACATTTCCATCAAACCACCAGTTGCAGGTTTATTCTTCACAGCATCTAATCTTTTAAGAAAGTTGTCTCTTTCTGGGACAAGATCAAAGACAAACACATCATACCGCTGGAGTTTTAATGAAACTCTTGAATATATAGTAATGATGTCGTGTAGAAAGCAAGTTAAACGTAGTTTGTCTTTAATGCAACCAGCTGGAAAAATGAACATTAGCATCAGTATCAGACTTGTCTAAAGATACATGAGTATAGCCCTGATGATACTCATAATCGAACGAAGAAGTTGACTGGTGTACTGAGACCAGTGCACTTCGAAGAATTGTGGAAACTTCAAAACCCTCAGTTTGTTATCATCCTCAGCTTTGTGAAGCTCGTGTGTACGAACACCAGTTATGAAAATAACTGGCTAGCGTTAACTGGTTAACTTCAACAACTGAAGATGAAACGGAATTCCAAGCTAGAGCAGAGCGATGTACGGCACACCAGAGAGATTTTGCCTTGTATGCAAACATTTTGACACTTTGGGGTCAAATTTCATACACTTCTAATCTTCGGCCACGAGAATTACCACTATTTATCTTCTTTATAACATTTTGGTCAACATCACATTTACGTACATTGATCGCCTTGCCAATATTACTGGTAGTGCTTGAATCCGTTTGAGGGGACTGGTTTGACGGAAGTTTCTTTACTTCAATGTCCTCAGTCTCAAACTCACTATCACTTTTAACTTCCAAACCATGGATTACAAAGTTTTTTAATGATTTATTTTCGGACATACGTTAAAAATCATGAGTTGCAATTTAACATTGACCTGTTTTGAGTATTTGTACATGTGACAATGTTATACTTTTTACATGCTCATCTACCTCAGCGTGAGATGTATTTTTATGAATAAAATACTTTAGAATATGCACTATTTGCAATTTATTATGCACTCTATTATGCACACTATTATGCACTTTAGAATATAAATAGTCCAAAGTAATAGAATTGCATTTACTATTAATTGAAATAAAGTGTTGTACCTGAAGCTGAAATAATCAATCTCTAAGTCTATAAATTTTGACTGTCTTTGTCCTGTCCTTTCGAAATTAATTCATTGTTCAATATTGATAATCGCTCACGCTTCTTAGTATTAAAGAAGTGTTGTTGATGCTCTGAACTGCATTATATTCTTATAACTGGAGTCAAATGACGAAGCATATCGTTTCAGCGCATTTTACTAATAATCACATTTTCAGTACACGGGGTAGAGCGATAAGAAGAAAAGAATGGATCATATTGTAATTCTTTTTCTAGAGAACACATATTTTTGACGGGACACAAGGACACATTTTTGATTTACAAGGACACAAAGGTGTAAAAAACACACTTATGGCTGGTGATCGTAATCGGACAGGAGACTTTCCTGAGTTGCCTTTTTATTTCGTTAACAGCAGGGTCACAGAACATAGATTATACAGAAGGGTCACTCAGGTGTACAACGTGTCCTCATGTCGGCCATTATTCTAGCCAGATGTTTAGGATTTCTCACTTGTTTCCAACCATTAAAATTACATAACGTCAATACTTTATCATTCAAGTTTATTTTGACTTAAGAAATGACTTTGGATCATTTTAAAGGTTTGGAAAAAGTCAAAAACCCTAATCATCTGGCTGGAATAAAGGCGGTCACCATGCGCGGCACGACATGCGCGAGGACAAAAACATCGAAGGTTCCGACATGAGTGACTCTTCTGTATATTCTTATTCTGTGGCAGGGTGTTCTACGCTTATAGCTACTTTCCTGAGTAATGAATGCTTCAAAAAAATTTTATTACAGTACATGTTAGCAAAAAATAAAAGAATAAAGTTGTGTAAGTTGTACTCGTACTCATCTTAACAAAAATTTGCTTGACTACAAGTACGACAACTTGTTTTTAGAACCCAGATCCCTCTCGGTCAAATCACGTAGTCGTACTCGTAGTCAAATTTGTTTACATAGAAGAGGCCTTAAATATCGTAATTAATATTCTATTCGTTTTCCTTTCACACACTAAACTAGCTATACCGGTCACAAGCACGAGACTTGATTAAGTCAAGGACTGTGAGTGGAAGGAATATAGCTAATGGTTTGATATGATTGTACGTTATAGTTTGGTACAAGACTTGTAAAGTTTGTTACTCTAAATTCATTGTATTATTTTGCTTTCTACTCACTGTCTATTGAAAGTTAAATAGCGAACCAATCAAATTAAAGCATTTGAAGTAGAATACTAGTATGATTCTGTTAAAGAGTTGAAGAAAAACGGGGTTTTTTAACATTCAACCCATTAGCACCCGTGTTTTTAAAGGCTATCTTATAAAATACGATAACTCATAAGATTAGATCATTCGTAAGATTTGAATGCGTAAGTTGTTCAAGATTATTTGTACGCGTAACGGCGTAAACAATTCTATTTAAGTAATGTACGACATAATTATAAGTCCCATTAATGATTGAATTTATCGTCACCTGAACTGTTCCAAACACCCTCGATGATTGAGTAGCAATCGATTGTCAATCAATGTAGTGTTGCAAACATTATCGAAAGCGTAAGAAAATGACATGCTCTGTAATCTGTATAAATGCGAGTCTTGTACGAGTGCTAACAGCTAAAACGAAAATATCATGAGGCATGCTTTCAATTTTATGCTATGGAGCTTTCATAAATGGAATATTTGAAGAGGGACCATCATAATTAATTCAAAAGGAAGAGATGCATTCAGTAAGTTTTCGTTGATTTAGCAATTAAATCACCTTGACCTTCAAAACTCAATACGAATATTCGACCACTTCCGAACATTTTTATAAAAAATGACTTACGCAACACTATCCTTTATATCGCTGTAAAGATACTAGATCAGCAAAGAACATACACTTGGATGGTTAACGCTAGGGAAGTTATACCGGCAAAACTAAAACATAGCAGAGCGTGAAAATGATTAGTTTACTAATTATAAAAAAAATGAAAAGCTTGATTCCCATTTAGCTCGTGAATTTGCTTGGCATTTGCTGGAACTGTCAACAGAGGGTTTCTTGCTTCTCTAAAATGTCTGCTATGTGTGAATTAAATGACTGGTATGCTTATGTTGATGTTTGTGTTTGGGGTCACGGGACTATAACATTGATATCTCGATTGACAATGTGCTTTGTGTTGTTTTGCGTAGTTTACAATATTTCAATCGAAGTTCTTTGATTATTGAACAAAAAATCGAACGAACATGAACAGTGACGCTTTTTTTTCGTCAGTTCGTGAATTGACTCGTTCAGACGACGCTTTTTTTTTCACGTTCCGATGATTTATTGACGTTGGCAACATATACTAACGAGTTACGACCCAGAAACTTGAGGAGAAGGAAAGAACGATGTTACCAACCAAGTCCTGTTAATAATAGTTATAAAATAAGATTATGGTTTTTATGCATTTGCTTGTTACATAAAATTAAAGCTGCCACGCGTTTGCTGTAAGCTTGTGGCAGCGTTTCGTGACGTGGCGATCGTGTCACCAAAGAATAAACTTGTCAGTCTAAAATTGGACGCAACGCACCGATAAACAAACTGGTCACATAAATGCTTTAAATAATTTAATTATACTTTATCAATGATAAATCTCTATAAATATGCTACTCTGCCGTATTCATATATATATGTCCTTACATACAGACGTTAAACTTACTGTCAGGCGATACCAAAACAAAAGTTTGAAACTCTTCTATCACGACTTAGTTAAAGAGATTCGATCAGCGTCATGCTAATAAATTGATATGAATTACTCAAACTCAGTGTCCTCTTTTACGTTTGGAATCGTGTAAAAGCTTCTTACTTAAATAAATAGATATTTGTTGTTTGTTCTTAAATAATTCGCAATTCAGAACACAGCTTTTGAAACGTAGCTATAATACAACCAATATGTCTGTGGTGCTTGGCACGAATTCGCACTTGTGTGATCTTTGCTGATAAATTATATCAATAGAATTTCACGGGACGACGTTTATGTAGCTTGTTGCTTTAGATTGCAACCAGGTAGATTCGTTTCAGCTTGTTCACATATGCTCACGATGTCGCGAATATTTCGTCAATTAGATCATCCACGGATTGATCGTCTTTTTTCTGCAAGCATTTGGCGTTGCCGGCGTCGCATGGCTGTCGTGACTGGATATTTTTCACTTGTGTGATCTCATTTTTTTTACAATTCCAAACCCCAAACGGGCAATCAAGTTGCCGTTTTTTAGCAGCACCATTCGCTTCTTTTCTTGCTTTTTTCTCCATCATTACTTTTGTGCGAGTGCGTTCCCATCGTCGTAAAATTCGTCTGCGATCGCATTCGGACTCGTCCAATAAGCACAAAACACTTTCGTCAAATAATTCTTCCAAATAATCGCTTAATTTTTGCTGAGGAGGCGCACTGTCACGTTTTACTCGTTCTTTTGCAACAATTTGGGTGTGTTTTTCGCGACGTCTTGGGCAAGCCCATGTGATGTCGGGACAGTGTTGACTGTGGACCACGAAGCACGAGGCAACAATTAAGAGGACGAAGAATATTGCTTTCATTTTTCACTGAATTATACTAACTACAACAAATGAAAGAAAGAGTTAATGCTGATTCAATTATTCCTAAACATTAGCTATAGATTACTTTAAAATTTCGAGTCAAACGCTACCGCAATAGACGACCAAATCACGTGTATTTGTGTCCCAGACATAGTCATAGTTATATTTTTCAAATGATTTTCCAGAACTTTTTCATTCGGAATAAAATAAGGGAGATACTTAGAGCCTTTCATTGCAGTTTTAAAAATTTATCTCATATTTAGGACATCCGCTGTGTGTTTAAAAAAACATGCTTTACAAAATAATTTTTTATTTAAGGGCCACCCTAAAAATAGCTCACATATACGCAAAATATATTTCTGTGTTATGTGAACCGTCTCATTAACACCTTTTGATGTTATTTTTAATCAATGCTCGGTGCTTTTCGTTAAGAAAAAAAACACTGTTGATAAATGTGTAAACAATCAAGAGATTATGTCTTAGTTCAAGTATGTGTATGTGATATGGTCGATGACGAAACACACATGTAATTCAAATCATTGAAATGATCTAGGCGTTGTTGGAGAATGAGCGTGTCTTGGTGGAAAATGCTAGCAACTGGTACAGATGCTAGTAAAAAGGGGCTAAATAATATACTTGCATGTATAAGACTTTAATAATATATAATAATATGATAATAGACTTTTATAAGGCTTGAATAATATATGGTTTCCTCTGTAAATTGTGACAGGGACGTTACACATACTTTCATACCAGCGCTTTAGATACACCTTTTTTATGTTGAAGGTTTCCTTCGCACATTTAAAGTGTATCGCAGCCTGTGTGAACACACATCCGAAGAGGAACTTAAGTTTAGTTAAATATGCGTTGTCATTTATTCATCCCTACGTGGTTACTAAATAAAGAAACTTCTCAGTGTTTTATATAGCTATTTCCCCGTGGTGAAATTCTCTTCCCAAATTCCCTGTTGTTTCAATTTTCTGCCAACTTAATCTAGAAAGATTCTCGAACCTAATTTAAAGGGTGGTATTTCTTTACCTTTACTCATGCCTTGTATCGTATGATAATCCTCTTAATCATGTTCTTGAAAAGAAATTTCTTATGAGGGCAAGAACCAGGCAATGTATAAGATTTTTACTGACTCTATAGAGCAATATCTAGTTCTAATGAAACGCGGAAATTGGGAAATTATAACCGAAAGAAAAGAAAACAATGACTGCTTTGTATGAAAAACAGTGAATTTGATATTTTCTTGAAGAGCGAGTTTTAAAAGCGTAAAACGCAAGCAGTTAGCTCGGTATATCATATATTTATACATAGTATGGTTAAGTACATCATAAGGGTAAGTTCAATGACATAAACACAATGAAAAACGAACTTACTTTTTATTTGTTCTGTTCCCGCACCGTTTCGCAAATGAAACTTTTCAACTGATCCAAAAAGAATTTCTTTCGGCAACGAGATGAACAGGTTTTGTACTAATGTACAATATTTCCTTCTTGTGTTTTTGTGCTACCAACTAGCTTTCCTTGACCTTCACTAGACCGTGTCAATGTTGAAATGCGAACAACGTGTTCGTACGTGGGTTAAATACCTTCCATGCGATATTGGATCGTGCAAAAGCGCCGTTTTAGTCATGTTTCCGCTCTTTTGGCACTGCTGCGCATTTTTTGAGGATTTCGAATTGCTGTCCGTCGGAAGTGTTGTTAATCATGGCAAATAGTCAATTACTATTACGATCTTTTATCACCACGGTAGCGTGTCAACGCCTCTGTTTGTGTTATGTTGCTGTTTGAAATGGCTTCAATGACGCACAGACACGCGCGCGCGATGCTTGCTTTGCTTCTTTCCGTCAACGCAGATACAACGCAATTTCTTCAGTTCTTTGCATTGGCATGTGTTCTACATCAATTGAATTTCTTTTAAAAACATGTCACTCGTTTTGCAGCATTCCCATTCATACATGGAAGTAGAAGTGTTTTGGTCTCGAAAATTGATAGCAAAGCTACTTAAAATTTTTTAAAGTTCATGGCAAGATTAACTTTGAGTGGCAAAACTCCAACACTAGTCTATTTAGCTACTACAGTATCTTTTTTCATCAACTATCATTTTGTTTGCTTATATATTGAAATTGTTTGATAAATCTTTAAAAGAGTGAAAGAAAGCTTTTGTATGTCCTTGTCAAACGAGCAAAGATGTGGTAAATTTGAAAAAAGCCCAAATGATGGAAAGTTCTCGGAACTCACATGGTAGGAGGTTGGTTTGTGGTTTTGTGGTTGAAGGTTGCTGAACCGTGTTGTTAACGTCACTACGTTGAGGGGGTGGGGATTAACAGAATTGTTCTCAACAGCTGAGAGATTTTGTATTTTTACATAATGATTCATTTATTGGCTTGTGTAACCAAATTGTGTTTTTGTTTTCACGCAGATTATTGAAAAGCTTACATCATTGCTTAGCTTATTGAAAAGTTTACATATTGAAGAACTTACATAATGTTTTTATGTTGCGTAAGAGCGCCATTTCGCCCTCACGGGAGGTGTCTCAGTGTTTTGTTAATTGGGAATTTTGCTTTCTGCCGACGTTTCTTTTGCTACAAAAGTTGTAGATATATCTTTGCATCAAAAATAATAGCAAATTTTAGCAACATCATTTAAAATATAATCAATTAATATACTTTCTAAAATACTTCTTTAATTGCATTTATGTTCAATATAAAGCGCACAAATAGTTTTAGTGCAATAAAACCAGATTCATTTGAAGGAAACACACATCCTTTTATACTTTTTTCTCTCGTCAAAAACAATAATTTGCACAGATAGGCGTTCAAAACTATACATTGAACAGCAAGAACATAATTCGTGAGAACGGTTGTAATAGTAGTGAGAATCATCAGAGCAAATATAACCGAATCATTCGCGTGATTATTTAAGGGGTTGCAGCATTTAACATCATGACTCGACATTCGTCAAGACTGTTTCTTGGCTGTTTGCACAATTATGACGACCGTCATGGTCAGTAGATGTACATATTGTCTATTTTGAATATTTGTGGAAACTTTCTGGTCCAGCTGAGTTTTTGAGCCGAACATTCAACAATGATTAAATATTTTTGTGCAACTAACGTAGGGTTTGATTTAATGAAAGCTCTAACACGATGTAAGTTTTATTTAGGTCTCTATATGTTCCAGTATGGCATAGGAACATAAAGAGAGTAATTGTATTTAGCATAATTGTGTGCAAAGTTCAGCTCATTGTGTTGAATTCTCTTTGCCCTGTGTTACTATAGAAATGGACTAACAACTTTTACAGAAAAACATATATAATTAATCTGGTGGATTTTCTTCCGTATTCTCGGTACTCGACCGGTAATTTATTCATGTATAACTCATGTCACTAAATAGAGAGCTTATCCTGAATTTGATCCACAATTCTAACGGTATGCTTTGCGGAAGGTCTGCTTACTCATGAAGTTTGTAAATGTGACTTGAGATCTGTTAAAATGACGTCATCACCACCTTGCTATTCGGAATGCATTCAACGTGTTGTAGAGGTAGACATCGTACCAAAATTGGTCATGTTGGACAGCATATTTTATTCATAAACCCTGGGGTGATAGAACCACCTCACGCAATGTATACATGTTTGGAAGTATGTTTGTGTGTTTTTTTATTACCAGAATGCACGTTTCGCATATTTTATTTCATGCCAGGCGCAAAGTGATTGCTGATAAAATGTATCGTTGATGACTAGTATAGACGGCACTATATATAGTGTGCTGTTGTTGTGTCGATATTTTCATTCTATTTTCCGAAAACTGTCTTATGCTTCTGTGTTTTGGCGACTGCCTTAAACTTCCGTGTTTTGCCGACTGCCTTAATTAAACTCCTGTGTTTTGTCGACTTTTTCCATACATTAAACTTGATTTATAACAGGGTTGACTTGAAAATAGTACACGGTGGATTTGTCCCAAGTACTTTCTGTGATACATAGTAATTTCACATTTTTAGCACCAGCTTGTAGTTTTTTTCTAGTTTACAAATCGATTAAACACAGATTTTCGACGTTTGAAGATGAAAATGTAACATAAAGTTCACTGTTTTAGGTTTGACGTTTGTTAAGTCTTTGCCGCTCGCCCATTCATCCATAAGTTTGATTAAGAAAATGTCTTTGACCTTTCTGAAACAATGTTTTCCCACTTCCAATTTATTTGTAAAAAAAATTTTTCCACTTCGACATAACAGATAATAAACTCATAGTTATGACTCCTTTGCTATAAAAGTAATTAAGTTTATTTCAATCTGGCTGGTGATGCGTAAATCATCCGTTTGAGATAGACGGCGTCTAAGATTAGTTATTCTTGCATCAGAAATTGTGTGTTTTTAACTTATATATAGATCAGACGGCAAGATGTTAAAAGATAGTTTCCACGTTCTCACATTTAAAAGAGATTTGATCACGTGGTAATATTCCACAAACTACGTTCATGTTTTCTGTTTTTGTTCAGGCGCTAATTTAGAAAAGGAAACAACATACCAAAACCCAAGCTTTGTAGCATGAGACGAAAATTACGCATCTGTTCTTCGCTTCAGATAGTATGATTTTATAATTAAAAACTGTCCTTCAACCTGATAAACCATTTTCCAAATAGATAAACATTGCATAATGATTGCATGTTGCATAACTCCATACCTCAACTTGTCTTTTTGGAGATAATATTTTAAACTTTACTAATTAGGTCTCCTGTGGGCGAATAATTGATTTAGTTTGACTAATTTGATGATATAAAAAGACGTTTCTTATCTTTCTAAGAGAAGTAATATATGTACTTGACCGCCGAAATGGAAGATGCTTCTAATTACTGTCGAATTTCTAAGTATCTAACGCATTTTCATTATCCTATAATTAATTTTTCGGGATTTAAATGAAGTAACATGTTCTTAGGTGAAAGGATTCCTTCATCTCCTTTGGCTTTAAAACCTTTCGAAAACCGGTAGATATTAATTTTGAAACCGTCGACATCAATAGCAGATGTTTCTAGTTACTGTCTTCCAATTTCTAAGTAGCCAACGCATTTTCATTATTGTATTGTACATTTTTCGTGATTTTAGTGAAGTAACATGTTTTTATGTGAAAAGATTCCTTCATCTCCTTGAGGTTTAACACATTTTGAAAATCCGTCGACATCAATTTTTAATCAAGCTCATCTGTGGAGTTTCTGTTTGCTAGTCTTTGGCTGGTTTGCTTGCTTGTTTACAATCACTTTCTTAATCGAGAACACTTAGGTCCGTCATTATATCTCATCAATTCATTTATTATCAAAATTGACACGTGATCAAAATTAGCTACATGAGTCATTATCCTATTTTGAACACAGTAACTCGTGCGCTTTTGTTAATGAATCCTCTCTCAGCAACAAGCGACAGAAAATCTTGAATTATGTGGCTGAACTATTGTAAGAATGAATGTTTACTGCTAAATGACACGATTCTCATTGGTGACCTTGCGATACATGCTGTTATGTCATTCGTTAATTTGCCTGTTGAAAATCATATCCAATAATCTAGATCAAATTTGGCAAAAAAATGCTCTCTCTCATGCCGATGTGCATGCAAATTTAGTTCTTTTTGTCATAAAATGTTCACAAAAGTTTATTATTTACGGTTGTATATTGTCGAATTTTCAACATGAGTCCTTACACAACGCCGCCACTTGCGGTATTGTATTTTCCGTTACATCACTTAACAAATGATTTTCGCGTAATAAAAATATGGTCGCGACGTGCGGTTTCGCGTTTGTCGTGAGATTACTGAATTCATTGAATTCCTTCGTTTCGTTAATGAGAAAAAACACACGCTGAAATGTTTCTAGCAAAGAAATTTGAATAAGTAATAGACTATAGACGAAAACTCTGTTTCCAATAATAAGAAATATCGATAGTTAATGTGAGCAAAGCCACGCGTGCGTTTTTAACAAGCGTCAATAAATACCTTTGATGACAAGTGTAAAAATTTCAGCATCGTCATTTATGGAACGTTATTAAGTAGAAACTAGATCGTGGGTTGAATTGATGCGAAGTTACTGTAAAACATCGTATTTTGAATTTAACGACATTTTTAAATAACTGCTCTTCAGTTCCAAATGCTGGAAACACAAAAAGCATGAGGACCATCCAATGACTTGATTATGTACAGGATATAGGGATTAATGGATTAGGATTTTGAGCCAAACTTGAACGATATAGATAGCTTGCATTTTCTAGATGAGGAGACTTTGCCAGAAATAAGAGTAACAGTTTTTCCAGAACAAAAAGATTAAAGTTCCTATGCAGCCGGGAGTCTAGAACAATTGATGGACAAAAGACCCCACAACAATGTCCAAAACGTTTGATATTAATTCGCAAAACGTTTCGCAGTTTTAATCTAAAAAGTGTTTATCGCAAAACATGCAACAATTTTTATTTTTCATTCAGTGTTTGTTAGCTAATTGTTATTCAACAAAGGTATCTTGCATATTAATTCGTTTTTATGGCCAAAAAGGATATAATCTTTGGCTACATCATGGACGAATATTTCAAATTCTTTTGGGAGATAGGAACGTTCTCTAATGAAATTTTTATTAAGCTAGATCTTGTGGAAATCCGGCCAGTAAGCTTATTTCCCAGGATTTGCGAGTTGCACGGCTGAGATGTTACGTCTGCAGGATGTCCTCGTGTATCTAAAAATATGTTAAAGAGTCTGAAAAGAACTTCTTCCTCGTTTAATGACATCACATTTACGTAAAGTGAACATTTTGAAGCGAAAATAGCGCACACTACACACACACACACACACACACACACACATACGCTCCAATTGCATGGTATTAAAAACAATCAGACCATTAATTTTATCCTGCTACGTAAATTTCAAAGCATGATCATGATTCAGTGCACTGACTCTGAACAATTAAATATCGCGTAGCACGACCAAATTTTGTGCTTCTGGTTTTCTATCAATCTGGATTTATATCATCACAGCAGGGGCGGATCTAGAGTATGTCAAATCCGTCGCGCGACTGATGTTTGAAATTAAAAAATTACCTATTCATATTAGTTAAAAATTCATTAATTATTCTTACTTTATTATCGCATTTACTTCGTGATAAAAATCCAGCTTTATTTATTATTGAAAACTAATGACTAATACAACGAATATCTCCTTGGTAACCAGATCAGTTGAATTTTAATTGACCTGGAATAACCGACTGATAAGCGGGGTGGCTTGACTGGTTCGACTTATAAAGGAGTCTATGAACGCCAGAAACGCTATTTTATTGGTCAATGGCCAGATCAGTGGACAGTCTGGAATAATCTCGACCGATAATAGGGTGGCCGGACCTATAAGGGAGTCCAATTGCTATCTTACAATTGGTTCATTTGAATTTTGTCTTACTGTGATTGGTTTGACCGATTTCGACTGATAGCCAACTGAACTAACATAGTCAAGCTCACTGTCTGAATTGAATGTTTGATCGTTCATAGTAATTTTCTGAAGCATGATAGAAACTTAACTACAATCAGATGGAATTTATGGAAATCTTTTACAAATTCATATGTTGACATGAATGCTGCTTTCCAAACTGGGAATTTTTTCAAGAGGGTGAACAATTTATGGATGAATTGTAAATTCTTGGCAAAGACGATCTCGCGAGCGACATTTCAGTCATTGATGTTCAAAAGCAAGCCAACATTGTTTTGAGTTTTATCAGCAGAAATTTACATCGAAAATCGTAAGTAAAGTTCAAGTGAAGTGTATGCATGAATGCAATATATCAAAGTCAATTTATGCGAGTGTGTGATGCGATTTATGTTAATATGGCGTATGGTAAGCAGATTGATGCTTCTAAAATTGTTGTTGCCGAAGGACTTTTAGCTATGATTTCTTTAATGCTTGGGGAATCGTGGCCGTTATATGGCAGCGAAATCCTACATTTCTGCAAATATATTTCAATGGACAAAAAATCTGTAGCCATAAGGCGCCATACTATTATTTACTTTATCATAAACAAATTTTGGGGCTTTTCAGTTTATGATCATTGATCATTCAATCATTGGACAGTTATACTACATATTGTTTAAGATTTGAGAAAACTAACATTGATTACATGAGAAGCTGTTTACTATCACCTGTGATTTTGAGTCTTATGATCCATGAAGCTTTTTATTTTGACAATTTGACTGGAATGGTATTAAACCTGAGTATTTCACATACATGAAATGTTGTCCCATGTCACATATTGTCCCCTTTTCTAACTGAACACCTCATGTAGAGATGTAAAGGTGTGTTAATCTATGGCTCATACCAGATTGTTTGCCATAAATTCCAAAGGGCTATTGATGTATGAATAGCATTTTCTATAAAGTAAAATGTCTTCCAATGTATGCAGATAAACCTTGAAATTTGGCAAAACAGCAAAGTATTTTTCATGATCACTAGGTAATTTTTCTGATGATCAGTATAATTTCTAAACTAACTTATTTCAGATTTACATTTAAACGAGCTTTGATCATATGAAAAGATATTTATCATAACCAGTAAGCATGACACATGAACAAATTTTAACATTCATGTAATTATATAATTAAAGACATGTTGGTTACATTCTGTTTGTATTTGCTAATACAATGCTACTAGTGATTGCTATATAGCACACCTTGCATATACTTACAGAAGATAATAGTCTAGTGAAATGCCTGAAACATTCATGGCATTAAGCTGTCCTTAGCTGCAATTTTCACTTTGATAATTTTCTTAATCTTTGACAGAAAAAATTTTGAGTTTTTCTCAAAAGTGAATTTGCTGGCTCTGATGTGGAGATGGGTAAAGGGTTACAATAAACTTGCATGGTTTGAAATCTGAGCTTTTCTATATTTATGAACTGTCACTTGTAGTACCAAATTTCTAACTTAAATTATTACATAGAGGTTTGAATGGGGTCTCTAGGGGGGTATATGCCTGACAACTTGGTAGAAATTTTTAAAGACTATATCTGTTTTTGAATAGCATTATTGTAAAATAAATTTTACGTTCCTAGACATGCTAATGAGCCATGTATTTGGCATGATAATGAGCCTAAATATTTGGCAAAACATTCAAGTATTGTTCACTTCATTTTCTTTTTGAAAAAAACGTAAGCAAAATGTGTTGTTTTTACCGAAAAACGATGCCCACAAAATACATTTTGTATTGCTCTAAAACGCTGAAAATGGCATTTTAGAGGTTCTGAAATTCAAAATTTCTCAGGGGAGAATGCCTCAGACCCCCCCAGGCGCGGAGTGCCTCCGACGTTTTATGACTGATGTTTGAAAAATCCTAGATCCGCCCCTGCATCACAGCGCTTCTGGCAGCTGAAATTTTTTATTACTGATGTTGATTTTAAGTATGATTAGAGTATCGGAGAAAAAAATTTTCGAGTTGGTAAAAACGTTCCATTTTTATGGCTTTTGTACGGTGGCTCACAAGGGCCACCACACAAAATAAAAATATTAATACACACACAAAATAAAAATACACACACAAAATACATTATACACACGCAAAATAAAAATACACACGCAAAATAAAAATACACACACAAAATACATTATACACACACAAAATAAAAATACATTGTGTGTGTATTAATATTTTTATTTTGTGTGGTGGCCCTTGTGAGCCACCGTACTTATGCAATTGGCAAAAATGCTCTTAGTTTTTTGAAGGAAATGACTTATTTACATAGTCAAAATGATTTGAATAACATTTTAACGGATACGTCCAAAATTTTATCTTAAAGGGATTTTTGGGCTTAGAATTAGATGACTCCGCACTGGAAGTGACGTACATTGGAGAATACGCTCGCTTGGCAAAATATAAACACCGTGTTAAAACATAGAATTTAGCAGGAAATAGTGCCCGAACAGCTCCACTTTTTAAAGTTTATTAACTACTATAAGCCTGTATCATAGAAGATACACTTTTTATGCCAAAACTACGTAATTTCCGTTGATGACTGATTTACTTTTAGGCCCGAAAGACCCATGAAGATGACATTTTCGTCCTATAAATACATTGCAAATGTTCTTGAAATCAATTAACTATCTAAAGAAGTCGTTTCTCTGACCTTTATATAGGCACTCGAAAACGTGTTTTTTTAACTCAAGGCCATAAAATTATGGTTTAATAAAGCCAATATGGCGGATATAAGGGTTATTTTAGGTATGTAAAACACGCGTGTTGTGGATTCTTGTTTTCCAGTCGGCAAAAGGTTTACATGACCAGATTTTTTAAGTTTTGGTCGAATTAGTGATGATTTATTATGAAATGTACAACCTATCAAATAGGTGAAAAATTTGCGAAGTTAACACACCTTTAGAAGCAGTTTTCATTTTTTGTTTCTTTAAGATTGAAAATGCGTCCGTCAAATTTTTGAAGGCAAGAAAATCCAACCAAAAAGATTTGAGTTTGACTTTGATGGCTAAGACTTTGAACACATGTACATTAATACGTTAGCTTGAAGGAATTTTCACGTGCAATTGGTTTGCATGATGATTAGTTACGAAATCACACCGGTCGCTGGCGCCAGTTGCAATTGCACGCGTCACGTGTCACGTGCACGGGCAATTGCACAAATACCCAATTTAACTGAATGCAAACATTGGGATATGCCATATGAAGCAATAATTCCAATTATTTCATAAATTCATTTCGATTTTGTCACTGGATAGTATATTTTGAACAACAAGACGTCTATAAGGCGTTCACTGGGGCAGCTGGAGAACAGTGTTTGGTTGTATTGGCGTATTACAAAAGTTGCCACAGTTATCACAACAAAATTCACTGCAATGTTATTTCCCATTTGGCAATTTGTTATGTAATTAAAAGTGAATCAACTTTAATTATAGCTACGTGTCATTTATGACGCTCACACGTGAACGATCCAAGAAAGATTTAGATTGGTTAAAAGACTTCGTGTCATTCACGCGTGGTTTGTGTAATCTCGTGACAACACTGGAATATGCGAATTTCACACTCGGCATTGTCTTCGGTTAACGCAACGAAAAAAACAAGATAACAAACAATGGTAAACTACTGATATGATTTTATTTTTATCTATGCATTTAGTTTGGGAAAATTCATTTCTCTGTAGCATTTACATAACCTAATCGTCATAAAGGAGCTAGCTGGTTTAGTGATTTTTACATGTCGATAGTTTTCTCAAGAAACTTTGAAAACTTTAATTACATGCATAATATTGTTAAAGTCAACACACCGCCCACGAGCCAGGTGGTCCACAAGGTTTTTTTGTTCTAGGAAGTCGTTGTTCTCTGAGTTGATTTCGCCATTTGTTCATGATCCTAGATGCAAATATTCTCTTTTTGTATAGAACATCAGATCGGCGTCTCCATCTTGCGTACCAATAGGTTGGGAGATGCTTTGTTGAAGTAGAACAGCAAACAGAAAAATGAAACTGACTAGTGCGGCATTGGTGAACAGTTGACACTTCATCTCTAATTTCTATATGAAGTTAAAGTTATTCAAAAAATGTTGTTAGTTTGTATTTTGCCCCAAAATGTCACAGGCTTTTATTAAGCTTGTACTTATAGATCAACCGTAACTAATTAATACTTTGCTTATGCTGTTATTTAAGATAGTCCTACATTGCGCACTCAACTTTTGCGACGATCGCTTTTGTGATTGTTGGCTGAATAAATCACGAAGGTAATGAAACTAATTTCAAATAACACAACTCGTTACCACAAATTTAAAATCCTTGAAAACTCAAAGACTTACCCACTATACAAGCCGAGTTTTAAATTATCCGTAGCTATTACAGTCTTCTCCTGTTAATCGGCACTAAGTTGTGAACACAATGTTGAGTTGTTATTAATGCAACAGCCCACGGACTCACAGCTGAAGTAAAAATCCTACAATCAATATCATTATTGAATTTCAGCTGACGGAAGCAATTGAAAAATTTATCATTACCGATAAATGTATGTCCAATTATGTAACTAATTGCAACTTATTGTTCATTGATCCAATAAAAATTCTACTTTCTTGGTTTTAATGCATTTGTGATATTTGCTTGATACTTTGAATAATACGTTTTAAAACTACTTTCGAAATTGCGAACTTCCAATTAAGGAGGCCTCATACTGTACGCATGTGCTCCGCTGTAATTTTTCATTACGCTTAAGCTCGTTGAAATGGAAGTATAAGTGTTTTGGTCTCGAAATTGATAACAAATCCATGAACATAGCTAATATGTTCATTTTTTAACGCACAGCTCACAAGCTACTTAAAATTTTTTAAAGTTCATGGCAAGATTAACTTTGAGTGGCAAAACTCCAACACTAATCTATTTAGCTACTATAGTATCTTTTTTCATCAACTATCATTTTGTTTGCTTATATATTTAAATTGTTTGATAAATCTTTAAAAGAGTGAAAAAATCTTTTGTATGTCATTGTCGAACGAGCAACGGTGTGGTAAATTTGAAAAAAAGCCCAAATGATGGAAAGTTCTCGGAACTCACATGGTAGGAGGTTGGTTTGTGGTTTTGTGGTTGAAGGTTGCTGAACCGTGTTGTTCAATGTCACTACGTTGATGGGGTGGGGATTAACAGAGTTGTTCTCAACAGCTGAGAGATTTTGTATTTTTACATAATGATTCATTTATTGGCTTGTGTAACCAAATTGTGTTTTTGTTTTCACGCAGATTATTGAAAAGCTTACATCATTGCTTAGCTTATTGAAAATTACATTGAAGAACTTACAATGTTTTATGTTGCAGCGCCTTTCTCCTATTGTCTCAGTGTTTGTTAATTGAATTTTGTGCCGATGTACAAAGATATATTAATGTTATGAGTTGAATTTCAAACAAGGCAAATAACTTTTGAACAGCCAATAGTTGCAGTCTGTTTGTTGAGTTTTACTGATCAGTAGAGAATGCTTTATCTCTCTCTTTTCATTGTTTTAACAGGTAGACGTTTATCGCATTGTTTTTTGTTTTTTACACGACTGAAATTAGTTAGACGCTTAAATGTAACTTGCTCAAACAAAAAACGATTGGAAACGCAACTCGCTGTTGATTGACCACTCAAACGACACCTGAAAAGGAGTTTTCCTGTGCAATTATTTTGCATCGTGATTATTTATAAAATCATACACTGGTCGCACGTGCTTGTTTTAATTGCAAGTGACTCTTGCATCGGCAACTGACACAACATTGCAATTTAAGTTATTGTTTTCTTCAGGATGCAACATTAGTAAAACAAAAGCAATAAAATGCGCACGGTGATTGGTCTATAGCTGTGTTTGCATTAACCTGTGCAAAACGATTTCAGCTCAACAAATCAAATCACTCAATCAATCAAAGAGAATTTGCAAATTAATCATGAATGCGTGCTAGAGGAAAATCAAAACGTTTGCTTGAATTTTTGTCGTTTTCGCATTATTGTTGTTTTATAAACGAAAATAAAGATGTTTTTCGTGTTTGCATTGGCTTATGCAAACCTCGGAAGCGTTTGTCAGAATTCTTGAGCAGGTGCAACTCTTGACCTTCGGTCTCGGACTTGCACTGATCTGCTCTCGAGTTCTCCAAAAGACCTTCTTGGTGTGCATAAGCCTGTGCAAACATGTAAAACATCTTTCATTTCTTAAATAATCAATCAAAAATTTCATACAGTTTCATTTTGATTTTGATTTAGCCACTGCGCTGGATTATTGAAAATTTGAGTGGATCTTCAACACTTATAAGTCGCATGTTCGACACAACTCATAGAATATATCATATATATGCCATATGGCAATGGAACTAGAATATATGTATAGGGAAATCATATGGATTTCAACCTGTTATATGCATAGCTATACAACAGTGGAAATCGTTCACAAAATTTTACTTCCATAAATCTTTCGGACTCAAAAAAATTTTTCTTTAGTTTGATTTTTGTAAATGATCCATATTGGAGTTTTTGTTAAAAATTGCTAATTACCGATGCAAAGGAACTTTAAAAACTAGGCAAGAAATAAACAGAGAAGTGTGTATACTAAATGCTTCGGAATTTACGGACAACACAAAGACACAGAAAAAATCAAATTCATTTGCATGCTCTATATACAATGCAAGATATTATAAATGAGATGCAACAATTACAAAGTGATGGCCAAAGCAACTTCATTTTAAAGTAATATTAGTTGACTTAACTGGTTAAGATAACTATATATGATCGGCAAAGTTTAAGCATCACAAAAAAGATCGTTAACGATTACAAAGTTTTTTGTGATGATCACAGCCAGAGTCGCTTTATTCATAAGTCCTTAAAAGCTGCTTCATCACTGATAAACAAGCCCCTATTTCATATTCAAAGCCTTTTTGCCATTAGTTGCTGCTTCCATGCAAATAGGCTACATTCGTATTTATTTTGCACAATCATACAATTATTTTTTCCAAATCATAGCAAATTTAGGTGCAATATAAGATGCATAATAAGATGCAATATTGTCATGTAGATGTTATATTACCCAAAAGAAGTTAATGGATATGGATTTTTAAAGACAAATGAAAAAGTAAAATTTTTAGAAAGAATACTGATAGCCGTTTCTCGAAGAGTTTCTGCATTGACCCATGCAGGACATGAACTTTGGTCGCTGTATTGACATACATAGTTATGGCCATTCTATATAAAGTATAGACAACGGTATTACTTGATTTCAAGTTTATTTTTATGCTACTGCTGGGAATTTGTAAAATTAATGTCATAGATAATAAAATTTTAATTGAAATTATTTTACAAATTATTTTTCTCAGTATTACCGAGAATAATGACTTTTGTGAATCAGTCAAAAATGGTTCTTTCTTTTCTACATTCTTCTTCAAATCATACAATCATGAATTGACTAAGACATGAAATTATTAAATTCGAGCACTTTGACTAATGTTTACATAAAGCAAGTCTACTACGCAAGCATTTTTTCATGTCCTAAATGTTTTGAATTTTAGAATCAAACTTCATAACCAGAATCAGAATAAATGTATCTTTACAAAAGTTTAGAGTCATTTTAATCATTGATAAAAGAAAAAACAAAATTTGTAATTTATGATTCTGAATAAAGGGGGAAGATAAGTTGTGTGATGCATATATTGTTTACGTTAAGGATGCAAAGAAGAAAATTTGTGAAATTGATAAGTATTAGCTAATGATTCATATCAAAACCATTATCATTAATAGAAATTTTGAGCTATTACGACATAAAAGTGTTGTGTAATCATGCACAATTGCGACGAGACTTGTATCTAATTTAAAATGCAAATATGCTCAAACAATTCATTCTTTTGACAAAAATTTGAGAGAAAAAATTAATTAATCTTGTTTTTAAAAACCAGCTGTCTCTCTATGATGCACTATAAATATTTGTGATGTTACAGATGTTCAGACTCGGGTTTGATTCCTTTCACTTTAACGGAGCTTCTAACATCATAAAGAAGGTATGTGTTTTATCCGTCAAATTCGTTTGTTTGATTTTGTTCGAGAACGAGCAAGCCTGCAGCAGGCCTCCTTGCGTAAAATCAAGGAAGTTTCAAAGTAAATTTTTCTTTATTTAATGCACTTTACTTGTGTGCTAGTGTTATAAAGCATAGATATCATAGAACCTAGATTGCAAACCACATCTCGCGGCCGTAGCGAATTAAATATTCCAAAATGGCGGTTTCATCGGGCAAAAGAACTATAATTTGTATTACGTTCATTGCGGAGTTTCTGGGTGTAAACTTGGATGCATCATAGGAATAACACGACAAATATCGCTTCGTCAATTTTTTTACCAATTGGTCACTTTAATCAAATCGAGCATTAGAATGTAAGAAATATCAGACATTTTAAATGAACGACGAGTTTTTTTATCGTAAACATGTTTCGGCATGCTTATGCCATCTTCATAGAATGAAGGTGATTATGCTATTTACATGATATATATATAAATATGTGTGTGTAGTGGTGTTGAGAAAAATCACAAAACTACAGATTCATCCCGACAAGCCTGTTTCGTGATTGCTCACTCTTCAGGGGATTTAATCCCGGGCATCGAGCACTGTTTTATACGGAAAATCATAAATTATAAACTTCCTATATATATGTGTGTGTATGTGACTATCGTTAAGTGTATCAAATTACAGAATTAGTGTTAGATATTATATTACAGGTAAAATATTGTATTAATGTGGTATATTTGTTTGTTGAGGTCTGGTTTGAGCTTTTTAATGTAGAGCGCTTCTTTCAGTTTAAGAGAAAAAGGAGAGTTGGCGGTGTCTAAGATGCGAAAACATGAATGGTTGTATTTTGATTTGCAATGTGGTGAAGTGTGTAGGTGTTTATAAATATGTGAGTTTTTGTCGGAATGTGCGTGTTCTTTGATGCGTGTGGAGAGATGGCGAGTTGTCTCACCAACGTAACGGGAATTACATCCCGCACATGAAAATTCATAAACCACGCAAGATTTGAGTAGATGGAATACTGTTTTTAAAACTAAAAAGATTTTTTATTTTGTAAGATGAGAAGACCAATTTGATTTTTAAGTCAACACAGAAGCGTTTTGTTAACTTCCGTAGTTTTTGTTGAGTGGTGTGTGAGTATGAGCCAATGTAAGGAAGTTTGAAATAGTATATGTTTGGTTTGTCTTGGTTAGGTTCATCTGATGTTTGTGTATCTGATTGTATTTTGTCGTTGAATGATTGGATGACTTTGTCTATGAAATGGACAGGAAAAGAATTGCGTTTTAAAGTTTCAATTAGTGTGTTTATGTCATTTTCGCAGCCGTTTGTTGTATTGTTGATTCTGTGGATGCGTTCAAGGAGAGTTTTTATAAGTCCTGTTTTATAATTACGTGATGTAAAACCAAAGAAGTTCATTAAGAGTCCAGTGTAAGTTTTCTTGTGAAAGACGGAAGTTATGCATTGAAGTTGTTTCAATGCATAACTTCCGTCTAACTAAGGACTCTTTCACTTTCGTCATAACTAAAGACTCTTTCACTTTCGTCGACGAACTAAACAACCAAGACATCAACAGCA